TCTGTAATACCCTCAAAAACATCCGCGGGGCTTCCCCGTTGAAAATATGAATGTCTAATTAACCGTGACGTCAACATGAACCGAGCCCAAACCCTACAAGAAAAACCGTGCTGGTTTTTCAATTGTTCGTCAAAATCTTCGTACTCCATTTTCCTTTGCTGGTACCTACATCAACCAGATGAAGAAACGCAATTCGGAAAGGCTAGAGAGGTGAGCTAAGGAGATCTCATTAACATCATTGACGATATGCTTGTTTACTTTGACAAAACAGGCCCAGACTTTCGCCATCTTCGATGAATGTTGTGAATGTTTTTGGGTAACATCTAATCACATGGTCGTAGTTATAACAATAGTTATACCAAATGGGTTTACCACCAAAATAGGACATTGCTACCTCTCCATCGGACAGTGCAAAGTCGCTCTGATTAATTATATGTATACATAGAATACAAACAATATTATTTTGTCCGCTTCGCTAACTTCGCTTTCTACGTTGGTCGGAAAATCGCAGGGCTAAAAGTAACATTAGGACAAGAAATAGAAAAGTGGCATGATGTATATTAGAATTACTCTGGTGATAATTCAAAAGAAACATTCGATTCCGTGTTTCATTCCGTAGATTTTGTTTTGTTTTGTTATATTGGTTTTTTTTTTAACAGGAGGTCTTTGTTTCAAGTGAACTAAGACTGGAATAACAACGGTAACTAAACTTACTATCAGTGTTAACGATTCTTGCCTCAACTGAAGTCTCTGCGTTTAGCGAGTTCGAAATCGAAATTTAAGTAATACACAACACGCGAAGAAAAGAGACACTGTCAAGGCATCGCTTTCGACAGATGTGAATAATATATTACGACAAGAGGGAATTGTAGCTTCTCAACCATACGTGCTCGGTAGATTTTCTAGGAAAACTGGTCGCTTTCTCCAGCTATCAAAGAAGCATATACAAGAATTTTCGAAATCTATTTATGTGTTAGACACAGCATAAGGTTTTTTAGAATGCTGAACGCTTTGGAATTGGTTGTATGTAATTTTCATTATAAACAAGCAGGGAATACATATGTCTTGACTTCTTTGTGGGTTTACAAATACAACTGATACAATAGAAGGAAAGCTGCATCAAAACCCTGTGCATTCACTATTGTTTATTAGAGCATTTTCAAGAATGGATTTGCTATGAAGTGAATCACACAATAGTCCCTCATTGTTGTCACAGCAAACATTAATTAAAAGCTCAATTCAGCTCCACAACATCAACAGTTTGGAGTAGATCAGATGATAATATACAACCATTTAAACATATATTTTCATAGTCTTTTTCCATTGTCTTCAATAGTAGCTTAAGTGTTTGAATTCCAATAACTACATGATTTAATAAAAGACTAACAGAGAGAGTAGATGACCATAACACAACTTAAATTGAAATTTATGCTTTTAAGTGATAATACTTCAAGAAGCACACATGTACCTCGAGGATGGCCTCTTGCATGAGAATTAAATGTTTTGAACCCCATATCAGCATTACAATAGATAGAAACACCAATAACTCCCACAGTTAATACAAAATTGGTGCAGTTTTGAGATAATAGTGATTCAAAGACTTTGTAAAGAGGTACAGTACTGATATACTTTTATTTGTCTCTTGATGTACAGTACCAGTGTAAATTTCACTGTATTCTAGTTCATAGTCAGTTTCAAGCACATTTAATATTGCAGGTAATTCTGTCTGCATCAAATAGGACTGTTAAGACAAACTTGATTACAACTGATTTCCAGTATTCATTACTTGAATGAGGTCATTTGTAGAACTGATTCCTTGTCTGTTGTTATAAATAAAGCAGCACAAACTCATTGCAACACACTGTTGTCCAGCGTTTTCTCCAAATACAAACTTATTGCCTTGGCTTTATAGTGCTGCTACCGTTTTGCTGGGATCAACATACACTGAGCGAGGGCCAGGTTTCTTTTCTATATCTTTGCTCAGCTGAGATTTACGATAATTTGCTACATGGGTTTGACTCTTGAAAAGACACATAACTTTGTTACAAGACAACAGTGAGCAATACCGTCTACTTCGAGATTTTAACTTTATTAAACCTTTACGTATTGTCTCGAAGGATTTAAGCATATGTTTCCTAACCTTAATATAACAATGCATTTTTGAAGACTTAGTGTACTCGAACAAATAGATTTGAAAACAAATTCTCTAACCTTTCTGTTCTTGTTCCTCAGACGTTGTAGATTTTGTACCGGAATTCTACTTGGTTCACGCTCACGTCCTAAAATACGATGTCACTTCTGAAGATGCTTTTGATCAAGATCGAGATTTGTTCTAGTCCTGGCCAGGGCAAGGCGTTGTGCTCTTGAGACGTGCGGGAAAAAAAATGCGAGCTTCGCTTTTAAGCTTGGCTAAATCTATATATTATGATTCTCGATGGGGTTCAGTCATAAATGTTCGCCTGCAATTTGATCTCTCGTTAGGCATGCGGATCGACCCGTTCCGAAAATGATCAACTTATTTTCGTGAGGGTCGACAGCGAACGGCGTGTTCGTTTCTATGTGATTTCAGCTCCTTTAAATAGTATCCGTGTTATAAAACTTTCAAACAACAACTTCTGCCTACGATGTGCTCAACGATGTGTACTACTCCATGCATGCGCTTCAAAGCCCAGACGGCATAGCGGCGGAGAAAAATTCAACTCCGTCTCTTGGGAACGTCCAAGTAATAGCACGTGATCGTAAACGGCGTACGTACATGTGAAATCTTCTCAATCTGGGGGTCGGCTGACACTAACTATGAATTTCCTCTCGCCGCGACATAAAGGATTAAAATAAGGACAAAAGGTTAAGACAATTGATCATGTGACTGCTTAATTTACACACCCTCGGGCCTGAAAAAGTGAGCTACACTTTTCGCACACACATGAAGGCGCGTTGAATACTCACTCGAAATACTCCTGGGACTTATCTTGGAACTGAACAACGGTAAGCATAATTGCCAACAAGCTCAGCGAACTAAAAGTTATGGTCAGATATTGATAGAGATATTTAAAAAATGATTGGGTTCAGGAATTTGTTAGTATGTACAGAGACTTCATGCTACATGGAATTTTCTAATAAGAAGTACGACGAAACTGGCCAAAGAACGTTTCGGGATGAAAGCTTTATTCAAAACAGTCTTTTTTATCTGTCAGAAGCGAGAAACGTGCGAATTGCGCACGGGTAAGAATTCAACACAAGATCGCCGTTTCCTTGAATTCGCACCGTTTTCTAAGAAAAAGGTTCATGGCAAAATAAATTTACCCCCTGCGTTGTTGATATCGAAATCGTTTTCATCGTTTATTACCGGTCGCAGTTAAATTCTATCGGGTGTAAACCTGTTTTCTACACCAAGTACGAGCCGGCCTGGGTACGAGATCACAGAAAAATTTCAAGACGGCGGCTGAAGGCAAACGTTCTCGCCCATAGAAGCGTTTTTTAAGACGTTAGAAGAGGGAGTCCGTGTGAAATTGGAAAGGATACAATGAAAAAATGAAAAGTGTGCTGAAGGAAGAATGCATCCAATCGAGGTAAGCACGAAATTTTTACGAATGCAAATGTTACTTGCACTAAAGTTGACTGTGTTTTTGAAGTGTTGTCATTTGCTCTGTAGATCGCCGAGAGAGATAAAAGTAGCAACGAGGTAAAAATCACGTCATCAGATATTCGAATGAATATGATGACTGGAGAGATGCCGATCTACTGGCGAATAATCAGTAACTTGCTCTCGGCCGTTACGCGCGACGATTTTTCACGAGCGATCAATCTTTGGAAGACAAGGCAAGTGCTATGTTGTCGTCTTTCTGGAAACATAAAAATTCGGCCTATTTTCAAGCAAACGGGAATCTCCTGAAGTGCGAATAGAGGAATGCATCGATATAAAAATTTACCAGGAATACTTAGCAGACAATAGAGTGGCGAAGAAGTCAAAAGGATGAAATGTTCATTGTATCAATGAGAATCGCAAGCTTTGTAATATTCTTGGTAATAAATGGTACGAGAGGATACTGAACTTCAGTGGAGATTTGTTATGTAGTTGCAGGAAAGGTACGATTTTAGATCCATGAAAAGATTCCGGTTAGGTAATTTGTTTACATTGGGACAACCTCTTTGAAAGTCATTGAGAAAGACCTTAAAATATATCGTATTTACACTTGTCCGCGGATAGGGCGTCGAAGAAGAATGTAACAGTGATTTATGGAAGAAATATTGACTATACCAACAATAGATGCTACTGGGTGAAAAGCATCATTATATATGGGAATCCTATTTAAAATGATGAGGGATGTAACTAACATAAAGGGCCTCTATTGATTTCACAAAACACGAACGAAAACTGGATAGACAAGTAGACTCATGGTTAGATATGGAATATGAAAATTAATTTTAATCACGAGTTTTCTGAAATTACTCAAACTGAACAATGATTCTTAAACTGTCTTAAACAGTGGTTTAAGTACATGTAACAAGATTAACCACGAGTATATCATGTCTAACCTGCTTGGGTATTTGACCATTTTCACATTGTTTAACCCACTTCCATTCAATTTAATCACATGGGATGAAGAAAATATAGTTTGAATTCACATGTGTTACATTCTCACATGCAAGTCAAATTGCTGTGTCCCTGTGCAGCACAATTACTGCAGTTAAAAATTCTACTTTTCCTTTGGCATCCAAGGTCCTCTAAATACTTCATCCGGTTTCTTTTCTGTATGGTCTGTGAAAGTACATTAAGACCTCTTTGGTTGGTTAACGTAAAGTAATCTTTCTTTGTTTTAATATTCAGCTTCTCAAAGCCTTGCTGAGTGAAGGAGCAAATTTGGCCATACAGTTTTAAGAACTTGGGCACTTGCCAAAAAAGAACATGCACATATGGAGTCACATGCTCGGTGTGATATACCAATAGTTATAGGAATTGATCCATGAATGCCTTAGATTTCTGGTGAAACTGTTCAATACTAAAGGCTAAGATTTGGTGAATTCATCATGTTAGTTAAGGCTATAAATTGAGTCCACAACTGTGAAATTTCAACAGATTTACTTTAATTGGGTAGTATTTGGGCAACATCAATGTTCCTAAATAATTTAACTTTTCTGGGCCAATTAAATCCCATCCTATTTCCCTAATTGTGTCTTGAATTTTCCAAGATCTAGGCAGATGCTTGAATAGCATTGTAAGTTTGTGGTATGCTTCATTTGAAACATTGAATCTCTCTTTGATGTAGAGAAGTAAATTTACTTCACCAATGTCCTCATCAATCAGTTCTTCAGTTTGAGATGAGGTTTGAATATTTTTCTCATCAACCAAGGTAAGGGTCTTGTATTCATGAGTGTTCTCATGAAATACTTCAATTTTAGTGCCCACAAAATTATGAAGCCCAAGAAATGACAGTGATGTTTCACAATCTGTGACTATTTTGTTCTTGAACTCTAGATTGATGCTATTTGTGCAGTGTAATCTGAAAATGTTTCCTTTTGGCAAGGCCTCTTGATTTCTGTTCCTTTTGCAGTTTCATTAATTTCTGAACTAGTCTATTAAATTTAACAGAAATTGCACCTCTCCTCTTTCAGATCATCTTCAAGCTTTCTTTTCTGCCCCCTCAATTCACTGTTTTCATTTTGTAGTCTTGAAGAGTCCAGTTCATTGCATTAAATCTTAAAACTCCACATTGAGTATTTACTACTAGTCCACTGGGAAATGAACCTTTTAAATCTATTGCCTGCTTGGGTTTTGGCTTTCACTAGTGCTTGATTTAATCCCCAGGCCTGGGTTGTTCAAAGCTGGGTTAAGATAACCCAGGGTTAGTGTGAAATTTGATTCCAGGTCTAAAAGCTTTAAGAGAAAGTTCAGTACAAATCTTTTTGCTTTGCAATTTCATCATTGGATTTCCTAAAAGTAATAAGGAAGATTTTTCCTTAAAAAGGATTTTGAACAAAAAAATAAAGAAACCTGGATTAAAATTTAACCCCAAGTTAGCGCTAATCTGTCTTCCAACAACTGGGCCCAGATCTATATTTTGAACTCCTGTACAAGTCTAGAATTTACTATCACTCTAGGAACATTGCATATCTGGCATACTTTTCCCATCAGAATCTTTAAAACAGAGTCCAATTTAGGCAGGTTATCCCTCTTATCCATTTCTTCCACTTCTTGTTCAGCTGATTTGTACATTTTGTAAAGAAATGCCAAAGCAAAGTACACATAGAAAAAAAAACAGATGGGATTAATTGCGGATATATGAAACTGGGCACATATTTCTTGTAAATTTTGACCATGAACTTAACTTATTTATATAGGACTGAAATGAGGAATAATACTTTTTGTGGCTGTTATTCCTGCCATTATTATTTCCAGTATTTCCCTTGTTTTTTTCATTGTTTGGCACTGCTTCTATGACACAAACCAAGGCAAGCGCAATCTCAACACAGTGAGGGACTGGAAGCCTCACAAGATCACAAACATCTCTGGACTGTGATTGTAAAAAAAAAAAATAAATAAAAAAATAACAAATCAGCTGTTAATGTAGCATCCTATAAAACCTTCCTACCTAAGAACCTCAAGATATTTCCTCAGGTATTTCAACCCCTATTGATTGCTTGGTTAATTTAATGTTAAAGTATAGATGATAGAAAAGGAGGATATAATGTGTTGCCAGATTCATAGATAAATATGAAACAATTACCTCTGTGTTTACATTAGAGGTGTCTTCTTGGAGTACCCAGGATGTGAGTATAATGGATCTTTTGAGCAATCTACTCACAGTGAAGTAGATAGTAAAACTATGGCCTGAGAAGGGCTTTGGAAGATGACAGACCTTTTTTATTTTTTTTCTCCTAACAATGGAACCCTTTTCTTTGCAATTTCCTTACATAATTGGTCTTCTCGATTTCTTCTTTGATACTGAATACAATGCTATTCTGATGTAGAACTGTTTTACACTGGTACATTTCCGTACTCTTCCATGGCCTCTACAATGCCTACTTTTCTGCATTTTGTTTAAAACAAATTAATATAATTTGTTTCTACTTATGTGTCTTTGACAACAGCAACAGCAATCCATCATTCCATGAAGAACAGCCTGGCCTCCTGCCATTGCAGCTTGTGGCGGCTTTGGCTGGATTTCATTTCACACATTGACTGGCAGTTTGCAAGTGAAAACTTTCACACCAAAAAACAAACAACAGTAACATAAGTAAAAACAATCTAAATTTATCATTGTTAATGCTTTACTTCCGGCCTGATCAATCCCTTCCATAAATCCTACTTCCCTGTGTGGAGTCTATCATTTTCCTATCAACCAATAAAAAATTGAATTAATTGATTCTCCCATAGGTCATTACTTGATGACCATATTGCTAATAAGGAGCAAAAATGACCCTGGGCTCAAAGATTACATTTTCTATCGAATATGAGTATCGTACATTCAGAAAAGTGCATGTTTCGAATGAGGTAGCCGCTTAAAAGTAATTACAACCTGATCAACATGAATTTTTGTGCAGTTCTCGGATATATTTTTACATTTCTAGATAGACCAAAAGCCAAATGGGGACAAAAAAAGCTTTGAAGCAAGTTTCATCTGGTAGAGAAGAAATTTGTCTGCAAATGCTCTGTAAATTTTTGTTTGATGTGAGAAACCGCTGGTATGCAACTGCATCAGTTTCTCACGAAAGAAATGCAGGAAAATAGGTCAGAAAACAACTTGACATTTTTCCCTCTGTAACTTAGATGGAAGTGTCAAAGTATTAAAATTGATGTGTGGTGTGTGGAAGGAAGTGATTTTTCTGAAAGCAAAAGATTACACAATCAAATTTGAGTCTTGCGTAATTTTTTGGGTGATCAATGCAGATGTTATTTGTGAAGGATGCATGAGACCTGTCTAAGAACAAAAACGTAGTGAATAGTATACTTTTGTCATATCAATGCTATCTTAAGTTAATGTTTATCATTTGAAGTACTCAATTTTTTTGTAGCATTTTGTAGAGCTTCAACTGTACTGTTAGTGCAATGTACTTGCAATTTTAGCGAAAAATTAAAGGCTTTTTTACATGAATCACAACCGGCTGGGCAGATTACCAAAACAAAAGGTTAATGTCAAGTAAAGAAAGTAAGAAAATGCTAATACTATAGATACGGTTGTTACATCATAGGAGAGCTTGTTAATAATGGAGGTCATATAAGTATTATGGATTTTATCAGAGTAAGGAAAACTCTTTTCAGTTGTTAATCACAGAAATATCACCAGATATGATCAATGATGTATGGAAATTGTGAATTAAAATTAAAACAAGTACTAGTTTGGGCTTCCAGTTGCAATATGAATAGTTAAATAAATCAACTATTTCCTTTTTCATCCCTCTTCAGAAAATATGACAAAAAAGGTGACGAACCCGCGGAAGCGCGCTGAAAGCACCAGAATGGCGCCGAACGGGCAAATTTCGGGAAAACTTTAATTACTTTTGCGCATGCGCAGAAAATGCCTCTCTGCTGCGATCTGCTGCTACGCGTATAGACAATAGATATGGCCAGTTGGAAAAACTTGTTTACGATCACTTTGATCGCGTTAGACAGAGACTAAACACTGTTCAGTAAGAGACCAAGTTTCTGTGATATCTTTCTCTTGAAGGCGCTTTGAAAGTGTGAGATCGAGAGCAAGAAAGAAACTTCTCAACTGTAGGTTCGGTCCAATGTTTGACCGTAATAATCAGCTGACCATCACATTTCCTCAGACGTATACACTCGACGAATTTCACTAACATTTAAACTAACATTTATGTACAGATTGTAATGCTTTCAATTCATTTTTCGCTGAATCCAGCAAAAAGCGACTTTTAAGAAATGAAATTTTGATCCAACTGATTCACTCACGCGTAAATATTTTTAAAATATTTATTACAGCTCGGAGAAAAAAAGTAAATGGCTGCTTGCATTTGCATTTCTTTACATATACCTAATTTTTGTTTTATCATTTCACCAGAACAGCAAAAAATGCGTTATTATTCATGTGAATAGTTTGACTACAAAAGAATATAATTTGCAATAACATCCCTGTTCAGCCCTCGTTCAAACAATGCAAATATTTCTCGATTTGTCGTACATTCCTCTCGAAACCACGGAAATCAAATCACGGATCGGTATCAATATACGGAAATCAGTTACTCCATTGTAAATACTGATAACTTTTTAATCAATTTTCCCAACATGAGATGATTTTTACCGGCTACCTTTTTTTTCCTTGTTTTCGAAAAGTTGATGTATTATAGAAATATGTCTGAAAAGTCGTGCACCGTCGTTGAAAAGTCGTGCAACCTCACGGTGAAACATCCTACCTCAAATTTGTTTACGTTCTAACGTAATAACGGGTTGGTGTGTTCTTGAGGCATGACATTCACGCAATCCGTCCAGTTGCGCTGATTGCTAAGTATTCGATGTAAGGAAACTCCACCGCTCGCACTGGGGGAATTTTACGAGGTAATTACGTAATGAATGACAGAAAATCCAAAAATAGCTTTTCAGGAACTACAAGTACATGGCTCTCCAAAAATAAGTAAACGAGGACCGTGAAAAGCATGATGATCAAAAAATAAATCAAACGCAGAAATTCTCGTGGATTTGTATTTCCATCTGGCGAAAGTAAGTTTTATAGTCGTCTTAATTTCATTTAATGAGATTTATTCTCAGCAGATTGCATGATTTATTCGAGCATGTATGAAATGAAATGTTGATCACAACTTCTGAAAGGAGCCACATCAGGAATTTTAAGTTGTCAAAAAAAGTCGTAAATTTGATAGAAACGTTCGAATAATATTTGGCAATGGTAAAGGAAAACCAATAAGGCTAAAAAAAATACAAAAGGGAAACACGGACAGTTGAAGAGGAAGAAGATTGTCGTGGACTATCACAAATAACAAACTAAAACTTAATACTCACCATGAATGTGCTCCTCAAAAGATATAAAACTGCAGATTACTAAAACAGTCTGTGCAACAGAATCCAGCGTTGTTCGATTCACTTGACACACATTACCAGAATGGGGAGATACCACCCTTGGAGACAACTTGTATTAATCAAAACTTTCTCGCTTGCGGCACTCAACAGATCCGAGTCTTCCACAGAGCTCGTTTGCAGAAAGTTATGATATGTCAGTTAGCAACAAGCATTCAAACGATTGGACTCAGCACTCTATAACTAGCAATAGCAGCTCCTCCTCACTTCAGAGCCTCCCCTGTTCACCAGCTCCAGATAGAAGCGGGTCGATGCAAGAGAATTCATAACCCAGGGGGTTGAGTCCGCGGTACAGAGATCCAATGCCAGTGAATTTCCAACCTGTGACACCAATGACGGGCACTTCCCCAGCGCTAGTGGCTTCAGCCGAGGCGTTGACTCGTTTAACTTCCGGGGATGAAAAGCTGCTAAGTAACAAACATCAAACAAGCTTTTCAAGTTTTGAAGACTTTTCTGTAGGAAATGAGACTCAGAGAGCATCACCTTCACTTGCAGTCAGACCATCGGCGCCCATTGTGAGATAATTAGTTGTTACCACACCAAATCTTCCTACCACCACTTGGCAGTTCTCTTCTAGCACGATTTCAGAAAGTGTAGCCCTAGTTACTTCCATTTATGATGTGTTTAGCAGTCATGGACAAGAACACGTAGGGGACTTCAACAGGCACAGTACAAGCCCAATGGAGATACCCAAGCAAAGAGAGACAAAGAACAAAAGCAATCGCTGTTTTTTTAGTATGCAATTTGAGACCGGTTTTCGAGAAGATCAAACTTGATGTTCGTCTTAGTTTGAAGCCTTTCAAAGATTCTGATGGCTCCTTTGATCCTTCTTCAACAGCTCTGACCAAGCGCTCTCAAACGCTCTCCAACGGTACATGTGTTTTTCGCATTTTAGGTGCTAGTGTTTGAGACCGATTATGGCCAAGAAAAGGCCTATTGTTATTGTTGTGTTTAGTGTTTTGCTTTACTCAGCGTTGCTTTTGTAAGGACATTTCCTATGGACACTCAATTGTGTTGTAAATCTACCTTTGATACCTTCCAAAGTAAGAGCAAATTAATTAAGCGCGAGTGTTGTATGGTACATCTACTGCTATCTTGATCACTGAACGAAAGACAGTTGAATTAGAGAGATGAAAGGAGTCACTTGACCAATGAATAACTCTACAGTGCACATGGCGACATGCCAGGCAAGCGGCTTGGTTCTCCTGTGGCTACTTGCCGGCTTGCTTGTTCGGAAATTTCACTTTCAATTAACCGGCGAAAAAAAGCTAGAGAGGAGTCCTGGAAAAGGTCGGACATAGTACAGTTTGGCAAATGGCGCGACAGCTTTTTTTTTTTTTGCAGAACACAAATTTTGTTAGCCATGTTGGACTTCAACCATGCAAACACTAGCCGACTAGCCTCTGAGTTGAGAGAAAAATGATCGAATGGAACTTCTTTCCTTACCACGGTATTCATGGCCTTTGTATCGGTCCAATGCCATTGCAGCACGCCCTTTCAACCAATTACAGCGCGCGTTATATCAGAACTTTATTACAAGATCTGAGAACAAAACACTTCCAAACGAACTCAATAACAAGCCAACATTAAAACGGAATATTTTCATGGACGATGTACTGAAAAATGGCGAATCCGTGAAATTCTTCACGGGATTTCCCACTGTGGCCTGCCTACTGTCTTCCCATTATTACTTATACGCAAATAGCATTTTGTTTGGAAATGATTGAATAAATGTTATAGCTTCAGTAGAGCTTGGTACCGGATGCAGACGATCTATAAATATACGTTTCTATCTATTGCCTGCTTATCTAGTTTTTCGAAAATTGTGAATAACGACAGTGACTGCGGGAGACAAGCATTTCACCCTTATCATGTTAGGATATCTTGCAGTTATAATATAATGTGTTATGCGTAATAGGAATAATTAAACTCCCGATTCAGCCCAGAGGCATCTGAATGGATGTTTACAAAGCAGATTTTTCTTGTAAGCAAATTTACGACGATTTGACATACTACACCCACGCTTTCAACCTTCAATCCTTTGATCAACGTGTGAAAATCGTTCGACTGCAAATGGTGGAACTTGATTCATGAGTGCACTGAATATAGCCGGAAAACTATATCCAATCACTTTAATTTTTCCTACTCTGCTTTCTGTTTGCAGAACATTGGTTTCCTTAAATTGCAAATACCTGTATTATGGAAAACGAAGCCAGCGGTTTGACAGACTCCTTCGTGGCCAGACACACTATAGACCTTATCTTACGCTCGGATCTGCTTTCTCGTAATCAAAATGGCTCACGCCCTGACCAAGGCACATGGTTGGGGGCACAGGTAAAAAAGATTGAATGCAGCATAGCTTTTAGATGAAGAGAGGGACACTGATATTCCTTTTCTGGGACTACGCAGCATGTCTGCTGGGGCAGGAAGGACGTTTTAAAAGTCATTCTCAATCACCGAAATTGAAGCTGAGATCGCAGCTTTTCTTGAATACGACATAAAAACTGGAAAAAACTATGAGACAGAATGATCCGGAAAATTTGATCGCACAAGCTTAGTGAAAAAATTGATTTCCTGTATGACAAAAAGATACCTTAGGGAACTGAACTGTTGCGACTCCCCCCTTGAGGTGCTTTGCGATATCTGTACAGGAAAAATTTTCCCAATTTTCATTTACTTAAAACAAAAACAGCTCATAGATTTATGAAGCATAAAAACGAGCATTCCAAGCGAGGAAAAATGGGTCTAGCCATACAATAAACGTTTTTGAAAATAGTCGTATTTTGTTTCATTTATCCAGATTGCTGGGTCAAACAATATTGTTAGCGACTTGTCTGCAGCTGGTTCGTATTCGGGGAAAATAAGACCTTGGAATGTTGAGTCTTTAGAGTCAACGAACAACAGTCCTTTTGCGTTGGTGCAAGGAGTAGCCAGAGCAACGGTCCAAATAAACAGGGGAATGCGGGAAAGAGAACAGCGTGAATTGGAGCGGGAACAACTTCAAAGGGACCAGGACAGAAGGGAAGCAGAGATTAGAATGAGACAAAACAGAGAAGTGATAGAAAGGGAGAGAAGGGAAATGAGAAGATCTAGTGGATGGAGAGAATGGCAAGAGGCAATTCCTGGACCTTGGTGCTCATGCCACCTTGAAGAGGTGACTAACATGTTTTTCTTTAGTTTCTTTCCTTCTAAATTGACCAGCAAGTTGTCTTTCCTTGCACCTGCTCGGGGAAAGTTGAAATGACTCAAGCGACCAACGACGGCATTTGGAAAAAGAAAAAATTACGATCTGAAAAATGAGAAAGAAAGAACCCGTGAGCAAATAAAACTTCTGTTGATCCCGTTTTCTAAACTCCAGTTACTGCAGTTTTGCCCGTTGCCCATCATCACTTCTTTCCACACCCCTTTTGAAATTTCTTAGTTTTACCTTTTTTTTTCTTGTTTCAGTTTGTAGGAGACACCATATGCAGAAGATGTGACAGACAGAGATACTTGTAAGTCTATAGCCCTACACAGCTTATTCGTGTAATAATGCTCACTATTCAGCAAAGTTCGTGCCACAGTTGATATTGTTGCTGTTTTTGTTGTTGTTGTTGTTTTTTTAGGATGTCATTACAGCAATTTTCAAAGTGTTTGATTTGTGATTCCGAAAAGGACAAAAGTAGTCTGTTAGCACCAGTCAGGTCAAGTAGCGACGTTATAGGTAGATTTCTATAGAGGAACTCTGGTAGCAGTATATTGTACTGAAGAAGTCCTTTTTTTTCTCCTGGCACTAACAGAGAAAGAAACAGTGTTGTTACCAATGCAGTAGAAAATTTGGATCAACGTTTTGGTCAATCTGGTGACTCAGTGACGAACAGAAGCTATGGCAGCTCTTTGCTTGAATTGGAACAACGCGTGGAAGAAGCGTGCGCCTTGGTGGAAAGAGTGTCGAGGGAGAGAGAAAGTGCAGAGTTTGGCCGGGAAATTGAAAGAAAAGAGCATGAAATACGAACAGAAAGAGTACGGAAGAAGAGAGGAAGGGAGGCAAGACAGCTCCCCGGAGTTAGCATGTGGCCTCAGCAGCCATTTCATGCACTTCTGTGTAACTTTAGCGAGCAGCGTGAGGAGGTAAGTTAACTGAGGACCCTGTCATTATTCATCACCTGAGGAGGAGGGGTTGAAGGATTTTTTTTTTTTTTTTTTTTTTTTTTTTTTTTTAGGCGATCACCTTGTTTTCAGGATCAGATGGTGGGACTCTGGGATATTGACTGCCAATGAAGGGTGGAGGGGGGGGGGAATCATTAGAATTCTAGAAGGACTTGGGTGGAAGGGAATCAAGTACATTTTATTTCTACAAATCCAAAATTTTCCGCCCCTCCCCCCACCATCACCTTAACGATTTGTAAGGACAGGTCCCTGAGCACTACGATGAGCGTAATGGAAAATCTTTCGCTCAAAAATTAATCTACACCTCTTGATAGCCGTCTAGTAATAATTTCCGCACGAGTGGCTAAAATACGAGCGTTCCATATGAAAAAGATATGCCATTCAATGTTAGAATTGACCGAGCTATCATTCGCTTATCAAAATTTTATCGATGTTAATAGGCATGTTTTTTTTTCATTTTAGAATCTAAGAGGCGAAGGTTCTGGAAGACAGAGGTAAGTACAATCAGACTGAATTCTGTAATATGCGCGCTTTTTTGTCTCCTTTGCATAAATAGGTCTTCCCAGTCTGGCTTATGCTAAACGTTAATTCATCAGTTTGTTCATTAATCAAACTGTTAGGAAATGAGGGATTTTTTTTGTACGTGATAAGGGTAACTATATCTCCTTCTTCGTTTAGAATTGTGATGGATCACCCTCTGAATCCCGACATCTCCAAATGTGATGTTCGTCTGAACAAACGGCTTCAAGGAAAACCCAAATGCATTCCACAGTCGGGACAAGATGAATGTTGCATCTGTTTGGAGGTAATGGCTGAGATCAAAGGCCCTGATTTTAGCAACTGCATTAAAACAAGATTGATAAACGCATATAAGGGTCACTTGATTGCGTCTTGGAGGCTAGATAACTAATCACTTAGTAAAGCAAAATAACTTTGTAAGACGTTGTGGTATGGTTTAGATATAAGTGTAGCAACCGAATCAAATGACAGGGCTATGAAATTACTACTAACACACTTAAAGTATTTCGAGCACAGGTGGATCGATTAAACAGTTCCTTGTCTAAATAACGGGCTTATCATCTTATTTTCTTTCTTAGAGGGACTCAGAATTGATACAATTTAAATGTTAACACTAATTGATAGACGCAGATTTTCCTTTTCATCCCTTTTTGAGATCCTTCAATCGATCAGTCAATCAAAGAACTAATCGCTCCGTCGCCTGTAATAGTGACATCCGCTCCGTTTATCTCGGCACGCTAGTTTCTGTTACCAACAACAGTCCTTTTCAGGACTGCATCAACATACTGAGTACGTGTGAGTCAATTGAATGATAAATAAAATCGTTTTTCCCCTTGACTGCAGGACGCCCTCAGTGGTTATCAGATCCTGCCATGCTCACACAGGGTTCACAGAGAGTGTGCTATTGCAATGATACAGAATGGCGTGTAAGTAAACCCAAAATGCCCGCACATCTATAGTGATAAGTGTTACCACCGGAATAAGATGAATGTTAATCAGTGCACTTTTTGATGTCCAGCCACTTTGTTAGATTTCGTGTCCAAAATCACCTCAATGACACATAGACTATTCTAGATAAAAAAGGTATGAGTCATAAGTAGGTCTAAACTTCTCCGCGCCTGCCTCAGTATCCCCTTAAATTTATTCGGGATTCAGCTTATTCTACTCATCTTTATTTCAGCCGCTGCTGCCCCATTTGCCGTCATCAACATCTGGTCTGACGTAATGCACCAAGCGGACAGAATGGATATTGTTTTGAAATGACAATCGATTATCTCATTTATGGTTTCAAAACTTAAAAGTTTTGAAACTTTTTAAAAGCATAAGTAGAGTGTTTCAATGGGAATAACCATTTTTCGCAAAAGAGCCAAAGCATTTAGCTATTAGGTGTAAACATTTTGAAATGTGTCAAAATCTTAGACTGTTTAGTGTCTTATCTGCCAACGCAGTAGCGAAGTCACACCATCTATTCTAGTATCGATAACAGAGACAGTTGGCTCCCGTCAGGCTAAGTTACATTCTGCGAACCGGAAGGGTCTTTCTTTTGCACGTGGAATGAGTTGACAGACAGCTGACAAGTTGGTAAAGAGAAGCAAATGAAAGATTTAGGGTGACAATTAAAGTCGGAGAACACTGCTCTACTTCCGCAGTTCAAAAAAAATCTTATAGATTTTCTTGTTCACAACGACCAAGCCAAGAAGTTCGGAATAGGTTCATTTGTTTACGTAATCGTATGGACCCTCGGGCAATTAAAGATTGATGTCACTTGTGTTTCCAAAGTTTTACCAAAATTGCCCGAGTCACGAAGCGACGAGAGAAATATTGGGGAAAATATGAGTGAAATAAATTGAAAATACAAGTGAAATTAATCCTTAATAGCCCGAGGGCACTTGTGTATCACATGAAGAGCAAAACTTTTGAGGAAACTGCATTCGCCGCGCGATGTCCGCGCGATGAAGCCCTTTTCATGCAGCCGCAAATGTCAAAACAAATGTAACTGACCGATAGATTCAATGAACATTTTATTTTTAAAATACAGTGTACAACGTTACATGGCTTCATTCAGTTATATTGCAATCAATAAATCGTTACCGCAAACAGCAAAAGGTTCAATCAGCATCAAGCAATCATGTCCTCTTGATCACCAAAAGTGCCCTCGTGATTAAGAAAAAATGCCCTCTGTCTCAGCCAATTCGCATTCAGGCATTCTGCCCCGCATGCGTTAAAACCTAAAACACTACTGCCTTGTGAAAATCATGGATTTTATTTGACCATTATATTTACAAATAGTCATGTCATGACCTATGTAGAATGTTTTAAGTGTACTTTGCAATTATTGTAATACCGTCACTATGTTTTTTACGTATATTATTTTATCCCAGAAGAAGTCAAAAATTGATGGAAAATGTGTTTTAGAACGATGTAGATCAAATATTAACTTTTTAAAATCATTGAAATCAATTTTTAACATTCCTGTTAACCCCGACGGAAATAAATTATTCATAAGCCATAAAGTGGCTAATATTTTTACCGTTAGCCGCAATAGCTATCACCCCATTGACGCCCTTTGAATTAGCCTCGTACCCAGACCTTCCACGGCCGAGCGGTAGGATCTGAGTACGAGATTAGCTGTAGATAGATTAGGAGAGACGGTAGATTTCCTAGCTCGGTATAGAAATGAATAACGATATTTTTGTCTTGACACGAACGATTTTGAACGCGGTAGAATTATAGATGTTTTTTCCTTTTTTTTTTAATTGGCTTTCGGTTAACCCCATTGAGACCTACTCATACATGAATACATACACATACTTTCCTTGATTTTTGTATTTTTGAGGCACTGCATTGAGACAATGTACTAATCAACAAAGGCAATAGTAATTACAGTAAGATCCTAAAGATGAATTTAAATCATGTTGACAAAACAAAGTCAAAATAACAAAATCGCAGGTTCTCTTGGCGCTTTTTTAATAATTATAATGCATTTAGTTAACAAGACGGCTCATAAAACACGTGCAGAATTGCAAGAATAACGAGAATGATCTACAGAGTTCCATTTGTTCTCAGTCCTAAAAGGAAATCTCCCACTATCATTACCAGTTTTAAACAGGGGAATGTCCAGCTTTTGAATAGTGATGCTCCTGCGACCGACCTCTGCAGTTTCAGGATAAGAGTTTCATGCTAGACGCTTTCGAGCCTATTAGGGGACTGGTGTCCCTTAAGCTATTTGCCATTCTGAATGAACATCCGCGCTACCAGGCGAGGCAAGTCAGTCTTTGATGACCGGGGTAGGAATCTTGTCTTTATTGCGTCATTGCATGATTTTCACGTGATTGATACGTGAGAATAGCCGAATAAATTCGAATTTTTGGTTTTATTCCTGTGCCAGTAAACTTGGTAACGATTGCTTTCCCCCATCTTCGTGTCCCTCAAGTGTAAACAGATCTGAAACGCGAGTTCGTGACGTCATACGAAGCAGTATTATCATCCTAGCGAAAAACATCCTAACGGACCATGGCGGATCAGAAAGAGGTTTGTTGTTAATTAAGACTGTTCCAACTTTAACTCGTTTTCTTTTCGTATTCTTTTTTGTTTTTTTTTTTCGTTATTTTAAGAATTGATTTCAGCACAGCATTCCTGGAATTGTGGGTTTTCAAAGCGCTGTTTACTCGCCTTGATCACACTTTAATTACTCGCGCGCTACATCTGCACATGCTGGTACATCAGCGTAAGTGAAGATAGACTGAGTGTTAATGATGAGGGAGTAACATTCATGAGGCGAAATGTCTAGAGAGATGGTGATTTAGCACCTTTCTGAACGAAGTTTTATTTGCTGTTCAATTAATGAACAGTTCGATTCGAATTTCGTGAGTTGTAACCATATCACTCGACAGTAGGTTCCGAAAGCAAGTTGCAACGAAATTATGAACCAAAGAAAAAGGCATGCTTTCCGGTAATCTTCGCCTCATGTATGCTAATGTTGTTTTCAAAAGGCTTTAGTCGACTAAAACTATCGAAATCGACTCAAAACTGAAACTAAAATCTTTCCTTCAAGGGTAAGTCCCTTTTGATTGAGTTAAATCTCAATCAAGCGATAAGGGCAGGCTTATCAGTGTGGTAGTATTAGCGGTAAGTGCAAAATGCAAACTGGGTATTAAATTTAAAAAAAGAGCGAGAAAAAAAACAATATTTTAGTCCAAATCGATCTAAAAACGTAAAAATTTTATGGTTTTTACGACGTCGTATTCGTTAATCGGGGTCATTGGAAAAAACCTTTGGGATTTTTCATGGCTCATTTCCTAGAAAAATGCATTTTGTAACTGAACGTAGTGGTTAGGTTAAAATTGACGCAGTGAATTCATGTGGCTATTCAAACAGAGCTAAATGAAGTTTTCCTTGGTCTTGTGTCTTTCCTTTCACGTGAAGGTTTCCAAACGAGTTGCCTAAATACCATTCTAATGTATTTTTACTTCCACTTTTAGAACAATTAATTAGTGCGAGTTAAATGCAAATATCTGTAAACGAACTCGAAGTAGGCGTAGGAATCATATCCACTTGGCTATTAATTCAAGCATTTTGTGGAAATAATTTGGAGGATGAGAGAAGACAGAGTTTAACAGATTTCATAAAAAAACAGGTCCTGCTTGCTAAATGGGCTGAAGAGCTGAGGGGGTTTCTGAAATATTTCAAGGCGGTTTTTTTTCCCACGACAAGCCTGCGCTTTTCAAATGAAGTGCTTCTAGTACCTCTTCAGCAAGATGACGATATTGACCGCAGGCTTTTTTTGCATGAAAGTTTTCATGAGTCGCTTCTTGTTGTTTGATGTGGGTCTTCTTTTAATTTGAGCGTTTTCAGAATACTTTCATTTTAAAATACACCATCTCCAAATGAAAGGCAAGGGTCGGAGAAGATATTGGGTTTTCCGATGAAAACATGCGTAAAGCCCCAAAACCCCTTAAGGGGTGTTTATCTTTATGGCATTGACATCCTAATTAGCAAAAGAAAGAATTGCGCAATGTTTATCTTTGTTATGGGAGTGTAAGGTAGTTGCTTAGCGCTTCCACTGATGTGCTTTAGAAAACATTTAATTAGGTTTGACTGAATTAGATGTAAATTGTCCGTAAATTATGAATTAGATGAATTAGATGTAAATTGTCTCGGCTGAAATGCCCGAGATGACGCATGAAATTCAATAGATTGAAGTCATAGTGTTCTTCCTTTAGAAATTTTTTTGTCTTGTAAGAGAAACTTTGATCAGCTAGCTTGCGCGACCACCGCACAAGCGTTCAGAGGGAAAGGGATATGTGGAGGTTAAGCGCTATCCTATGTGATCCAGAAATGAATTTTGAGCGTGAACAGTCACTAAATTTCAATGATCAACTCTTATTTTTCAGGAAGAAAACGGAGATTATAAAATTCAGGGAACACAACTAAAAGTCTCAAACGAACATTCTGGTGCAAGACCATCATTTGGAAAAGGGAAGGGAACAGAAAGTTTACGACTAAAGAGGCGCCCAAAAGAGGCTCGTGGGCTCCGTAAAAATGGTGTCAACAAAGGTATAGTTCCCTTATTCGATCTTGTGAAAGAAAAATGAGACGAACGATCAGCGAAAAAAAGAGCTAATAATCTGTGTCCAAAGACCCTTTTCTGTAGTTTAGCCTTTAAATGTATTCTTGCATTTTTATCTTCAGATGAGGACGCACATAAAGAACCTACCGGACTAAACGTATCAGTTAAGCAGTTTACAATCGAAAGTAACAAGTTCCAAGGAGAGGTAAAGGAGAAAAAGAAGGAAAATGCCTCGCTCAAAGGATCTAAGGAAATCGAGAAGGAAATTATCAAGCTCAGAGGAATGATAGATAGCTATGAGAAGGAAATCATCATGCTCAAAGGAAAGGTAGATAGCTATGAGAAGGAAAATATCAAGCTCAGAGGAATGACAGATAGCTATGAGAAGGAAATCATCATGCTCAAAGGAAAGGTAGATAACCATGAGAAGGAAAATATGAAGCTCAAAGGAATGATAGATAGCTATGAGATGGAAATCACCATGCTCAAAGGAAAGGTAGATAGCTATGAGAAGGAAAATATCAAGCTCAGAGGAAAAGTAGATACCTTTGAAAAGGTATTTATCATGACCCAAGTTCATTTGATAGACAATAGGAACGAAAAGACTAAACTGGTAGATGAGTTGGCGAGTTGTCAGCAAGAATTGGGGAGGAGACGCACCCCAACAGATCTGTTGAAACCTGAGCCTCCAAGAGATGGAACTCCCAGAAAGTCGAACCCAGCGCGCCATCGACGACATAGAACGGTCCCACCCTTTTCCCTTTCTGAGCGAAAAGTCGAGACTAAGGATCACGCTACCCAGGTTTCGTCATCTGAATGCAACAGCCGTCCCATTGCAGACCAGATTCTGTGTTTCCCTTATGGTATGGTAGTAAATGTATATCTCCCAATACCAACACACTCGCACGCAATTCTCACTGCAGCTGCTTTTCCTCCAATTCAAATTTCAGGAACAGCCAGTGTTTCCACTGAAGATTAGACATCTCTTCTAAAAAAAGTAAGATACGTGCCAATGAGAAAATCACAAACATCAATTTCGTATAGACTGTTCAGTCTTTGACAATTCCAATCTGATTCATTCAGAAAGACTGGAAACTAATAGAAAAAGACTGTCGCGTGACAAAACCCACTCTGGCATGTTATTGCTGTAGATGTTAGATTCCTCATCAGCAATGAGCTTGATATCATCAGCGTAAAAATAATATTAGAAACTAAAACATCCTTAGCAATACCGGTAGCAATGGTGTAAGAACTTTAAAAAAAATATGAAAATAACATTGTCGCTATTGTGATGCCAATTCTACCAGCATCTGCAACATATAGAGATGCTAGAAGAGCTAGTAATAAGCTAACGGATGTGATCAATAGTTAAGAACTTCCTTGCTTTGGTAATGGTCTTCATGGGGTGATGGCTCTCAGGGCTAACGGTTAAAATTGTGGCCATTTTACGGCTAACGATTAATTTCTTTCCGTTTCATTGTGATTAAAAGAAACATTTTTACAGTTAACTTTTTTTTATGACTAACGGCTAAATTGTTTTGCCGTTTTATAGCGAACGGTGAACCCCATCGAGACTCTCTTTCGTGTGTCATACTGCAATTAACCGCTTGTGATTACCCTGTACATACAAATTCAGAGGAAAACGGAAATATTCAAAAGTGTCTAGGTGTAGTTGTACTTTTACAAATTTTGGCGTCGGGCCTTCAGTGTATTATAAGTGGTTCATTGGTTTTTCTTCCCTATTTTTATTATTTTATTAACTGAAAATCGTACTTTTGTATACTTTTGTATACTTTTGTTTACATAAGATATTTTGAAAAGTTAAAAGACAAAGAGACTACACTTTCATTCCGACAAGCCTGTTTCGTGGTTAACTTACTCTTTAGGGGATTTTATGGGGATTTTATGCGAAGAATATTTGTACAGTGTATTTGAGAATTTGTTAATAAGGCTTCAAAAACTTAGAAACGCGTTTCAACATTTCCTTCAACACTCACTCTATTGACGATCTAGTCTGAATTTCGATCCAAAGGGACAGCTATAACTCATGCATATTCAATTAATTCACTTTGAAACATTGGTAATTTCGGTATCGCTTGCTATGGTGAGAAGATGTGGTGTCAAGGGTTGAAGAAATTCCATCTCTTACCAGTTTAGAGAAAATAGTGTGGTGAACAAAAATACTTCAAAAGCAGCCAATGAGGCAAACCCTATACAACCAACAATGGAACAATTACGGGAATTTCATAGCTAGCTCATATTCTTTCAGTCAACAAAAAAACATGCTCTGCAAATGAACGAATTGAAAATTTCCTTTAGTGTCTGATAGCATCTGTTCATTCGAACAGTTATTTAAAATAAGGCTCATCACTGACTTAGATATTTATCGTAACAACACCCTTGAAGATCTCTAAGCGTATGTTCATCTCCTTTACTTTGATGAGGGATTTGATAGAACTGATTTGCAAGAGGATGCCCCAAGTCATTAAATTTACAATTGAAGTTAGCGAAGATATCCATTAGGTCAAGCAACAGTTTCAATTTATGATGATTGATTTTAGTGCATTTCAATCAACTAAATTTGTGTAGAGACGCAAGCGATTCTTTTGAGAGGGAACAGCAACTGCTTTCGTCGAAGCTGAATGTTGTCTTCGTTCGGCGAAAGAAGATAAAAAAGTGAGCGTTTCAGATCAGAATAAGACCTCTTTTGATCAAGACGTTTTTGAACTAGCGGACAAGTAATCAAGACCCGCGAACGTTGGTAAGCAACACCTTACTTGGTGATTATTTCACCAGTAGTTACGATTCAAAGTTAAACTCGTGGCTAGTTTCTACCTTCCTTTTTGGTTCTTTAGTTTGCCACCTGCTTTTTTTCCAAAACTGAGATTATTCTTTAAGCTATGATCGTACAATACTTAGTTAATTTCTTCATGTTGTGATTTAAGTTGACCGATATAAGAACGTCCCAAGGAATAAGCTATTTGGCGTCTACGCGTGCGCGTGAATCAAACTGGGAAGCGAGATTCAATTCTAGCTTGACCTAACTTTTGGGGGATGCCACGGGAGCCAAAAATTGTACTTGTATAGCATATAGTCGATTCTTAGCAAAATCTTGTTGGCAAACACTATATGGAAATCCACTTTCTCAGTTCTCTTGCTGTCGCATTTCCAAGTATCAGCCAAATCATTTCACCGAGGAAATCTCTTTTCAATGCTTCGTTAATAGCAGCCTGTACATCCGGGCTTGGGGTGCTTGAGACCTTGATCTTGTACTTCTCTACCTTGTCGACAACTGCAGCAATAGGCACACTCTTCTCCGAAATGGTATCATTGTCCATCTGGCAGCAATTTTTGTTGACGATCATTTTGTGCATCGTTTGCAATGTCTCGGCAATCTCTGCGTCATTATCACCTTGCCGCTTCTTGATCTCCTTTGGGATACTTGTGCCTATGCTTTTAAAAGAACGTTGTATCACTGCAGCCAAAACTGACTGTAAGTCTTGTCTGCAAAGTACAAGGGTATATGCGTAAAGCTCGTGACTTCTAAAACTCATGTGAAGCATTATTTAAAGTTTTTGTGATTTTAATTCTATTGGCGAACCTATGAAAGTATCATTAGCTGCAGACACATGCATCAAATATGGTCGCCAGCCACTGAAAAACCAATTACCCTTATTACCGTTCCTCCTGCTTGAGAAAAAGGACTGAAAAGGGGAAATGGTTTACTATTACTACTTAAGTTTTTTTTTTAACCAAAAGGCTGAATTGTTTTTGGATGAAGTATATAGACGATATTTTAATGATTATAATTGCCTACTGAACTCAGTTAGTCAATCATACTCTCGGAAAATTGAGATATTATTGTCATATTGTAATGTGGACTGATTATTATTAAAATTTTATCACACAATATAAAAAAAATTTTTGAGTATATTGATGTGTCTTCCATCTATAAGATGTTTAGGTATATTTTTTTGTATTTTATTGCAAACTTCATTAACAGAAATGTAACAACACAATTATTTCATTCAACGGACATGAAACGTAATCAATAGAAACAAGAACGATGTGTAGGCGAAAGATCATTGTATGTTAAGCATGGCTCACTTTTAAAAATATATGCAATCGGCAGTATTCATGATAAGTAGCGTAACGTTATCAAGACTGCAAAGGGACTATAAAACCGAAAGTATCCAATGTTGATAGAATGAAAAGAGTATCAGAACGAATGCCTTACTCATGTCGGTTCTGGACAGGTCTCAGGAGTACAAAGTCAAATGTCGAGCGCACCACGTGCTTACGTAACTGGAGCTATTGGTAAGCTGCTCAGTGGAAAGTTCCTTGCTGGGTTGGCAAGTCTCATCCAGGTGGTCCTGGACCAATTCTTGGGAAATGCAGCAGGACAAAAGTCTGAGAAGATTGATTTTCACATTATCTGCGCTAATAACAGCCTCCTCTGAATCGACTAGATGTTATACAAGTAGGAGTTTGCGTCTACTGGGCTCAAAAGTAACTAACAGAACGCCTTCTGTTGCCACATGCAAGTTGGTATCCTGAGACTTCGAGAGAGTGATCCCGTTGTACGAGCTTACGACGTAGCTAATCTTCCCAGAACTGCTGAACATCTTCAAGGGCTGACTAAGTTTGCGAAGGAGCTCTACAGCACAATTCATCAGTTGAAGAATGCTGCTTGGGGAGACGGAGATGGGTCAGGAGAAAGCAGCGGTAGGACTTCTAGAAAACCCAAACCTTCAAAACCAGGCGGAGAAGGAAACGAAGGAGGTAAGGAAGGTGGAGAACGAGAGGAAAAAGGAGGAGGGGAAGGCTTTTAATTTAAAGGAAAGAACAAAAACGGAAGTTGCAAGCCTCCTAGTTTTCTCCATGTTTCCGGCCTTGGTAGAAATTACCCGAGGAGCTCAGTGATGATCAGGGTAAAGAAGAGTTCAGAAGAACAGAGGAATATGGAGCTATCGTCATGGAACAAACAGAATCAGAAATCGAATCACCCTAATGGAAGAGAAAAACTTTTTAGGGAAGCTGTTGTAGCGTAGTTTGGACATACTTTGGAAGTTCTTTTTGAGTTTATTGTTACGCATAGTATTAATTATCAACAGAATTGAAACTATGGAAACAGCATTTACCTGAGAACAAGTTCGACTCCTAAAGCAACATCACACTTTTATGCTTTATATCAAGCCAAGAGATTATAATAATCTCTTGTTGAAACATTGAACTCTGTCTTGCGTGGCTTGTCCGAGTGTCCAGGCAAATAACTAGTTTACCGCGATAGTGATAGTTCCTTACTTCATTTAAGCTTAAATAAAGTTGTAACAGATATGGTAAAAAGAAACGGCAACCATTGTGAAGGTTAATCAAGAGCGAGGCTGTCCTCCTGATCGATTTTGTTATCACCCATGCAGAAATTAAAACGTATCTCCGATTTCATCTACCCCCATTCTTATAAGAATCTTAATTACTTTCGTCAAAGACTTCTTAATTGTTACTCATCCAACTATAATCAAACAATCAAGCACCGGAAGCCACAAAAACAGGGGACGTCTGGTTTTCGCCGCACCCCGGAAATTTGCTCTGAATCGCAAATCCATTGTGCACTAAATGCAGCGGAATTTCAACGCATCCTCTAAAATCGAAAAAGTACTCAGACCTGCCTAACTTGGCCTCGGCTTTGAAGGAAACAAAATCGAATCCTGGGGCGCTCTAAAATGAAAACTTTGGGACTGTGTTTAACATGACTATGAAAGCAAACAAATTGCTAGGAGTGTTTCTAAGCTGACGTTTCGAGCGTTAGTCCTTCGTCTTTCGCTCTAACGGATGGCTAACGCTCGATACGTCAGCTTAGAAACTGTTAACAGTGGCCAATTTACATCATTTACTCAGTTGATCAAACCAAATTATCTTGTTATAGTCTTCCACCGACGCAGCAGCACGGTTTCTTCGAAAACTTGCCCCTTTTATTTAAATTGCTAAGAAATTTGATTCCTGTTGATTGCAGTAGATTTAGCATGAAACGCAGGCATTTTATGGAGGTATTATCACGAAAGCCTCCATTATGTTGAAAATACTTCAGTTGTACTCATGTTGAAAGATCGGTTGTAAACTACGCGTTCTTAAATCCTATTTTTAAGGACGCGTGTTAAAAAGCGCAATATTAATGAAGTTCCGGTAACATAAGTGACGTATATCCGACTACACCCCGAAATGTTTTTGTGAGCCAGTGCTCTAAGATCGGGCAAATTGATAAAACCGGAAACCTTTTCTCGCTCACGAGACAAAAATCTAAAGCCTTATTTAAAATTAAGAAGTTTAAAAGGGTGACTAAATAAAGGAGTGTCGCTTTTGCATAGTGATCTTATATTTTTCGCGACTTCCGGTCGTGGGCGTAAAGTAACTATAAGGGTCTGGATCGACGTTAGTCCGCTGTACACAGGAAATCTGCACTTGTCTTTCGAGGAAAATCAACAATTTTATTTCAGATTCTACGTATCACTGTGAAACCACAGATTTCTTCGGAGGATATGTTTTGTTAGACGGCTGAATTTAATCAGAGAATTTAATGGAAACTGGTTGCCGTGTTGTCCGAGGACCTGACTGGAAGTGGGGAAATCAAGATGGCAGCGAAGGACATGTTGGCACTGTAGTTGTTGTTGGCAAAACCGGCAGTGTATCTTCCCCGGATAAAACTGTTGTCGTTCAGTGGGATGGTGGAACGAGGACCAATTACAGATGTGGTTATCAAGGAGCATTCGATCTCTGTTTGTTTGACAATGGCCCAGTCGGTATGTATATTCTTTTGAAGTTGTATAATAAGTTGTACACTCACACCTGGGCGAATTTGGTGTTTATTCGGTCATTATTTTTATGTGAACCTTGTATCGATCTAAACATGTGCAATTTGCACACAAGGTGATACGGCATTTGAAAAATCGCGTTTGGACACGGTGCTTCACACAAGCTATGTATTATAAGTGCTGTTACGACTAAAATACACGAACGAAAGCGAAAAAATGGTGAATTCGGCTGCTCACGTAAACAGCGATACGTAATTATTCATGCTTCTACGAATGTTTTTCATTGTTATTTTCCTTTATGAGAGGATAATTACGCAGAAATGCAATTTGAGATTACTATTTGGAGACGCTTTTGCTTTCCGTGAATTTTGGGCGGCATTCGTGGAAAATTTCGTAGAAGCTTGTAGTTCTGAGAATCAAGTCAACGTCATGCATGCATAATTCCACTTGGAAATAGAACTGGAATTTATTATGTTGATTTTTTTTACCAGGTGAGAAAGCTAAGGAATTCTTAAAGGAAATCAATAAAACTTTGCACCATCACTTTCCATTTTACTTTATTAAAGTTATATGATAAGCTAAACATGAACTGGAATGAACTAATTTTTTTTAATCAAATGAGAAAGCTACTGTAAGGGAATTTTGTAAATCATCACTTAAATTTTGCATCATAAGTTTTCTCTGCAAGTTGTTAACTTTTATATGAGGAGCTAGATTATAGACGTGTTTTGATTGGTATTTACTTATGATCTATCTGAGGAGAAACACATGGATGACATCACCATTAATAAAATTTTCTCTAATATCATATAAATTAGATAGATGCCATGTTTCCTTGGATCTTAGAAGACATCAATATGTGGAAAGAAATTTAGTGGCAATTTTTTGGTTCTGATCAGATCTTCAGCTCATCTGTGATCTATTACTGAACAGATGCAAGGCAGCAAGGATTCTATCTGTAAAATGTTATAGGTGATCCACAACTGAAAAACTGTACATCTGAGACAGAGTTACCTGTAAATCTCCTTTCATGTTTGGTCCATGGGAAAGCAACCACATAGTCTCTATTACAGGGGTCTTTAAGCTGGGGTTGTTTTCTAATCTTTCGTTAAAGTGATGTAACAAAATAAGGTTATTGATGACTTGCATTTGTTATTCCAACAGGTGTTATACACAATAATGTTTCTTGTAATGAATGCAAGAAGCAATCCATTGAAGGAATGCGCTGGGAATGTGCAGACTGTCTGAACTACAATTTGTGTACTTCATGCTATATGAATGATAAGCATTCACTGGAGCATGGATTTAACAGAATAGAAGCTCGTGGAAAACCAGGGTGAGTTTTTATTGGTTGTTAACCCTTGAACTCCCAGAAGTGATCAACATGAAACTTCTCCCAATAATATCCTTACATTATCCAGCAAACAGCTAATGAGAATATTCCAACTTATCAGGTAGAAGTTGTTGTCTTGATCTAACACCAAATTCTTGTAACTAATTTACAAGGATATGTGTAGCAGTTAGAAGGGTGAATTACCAATCAGATCTTGGGAGTTAAAGGGTTTAGTTATGATTGGTCTTAACATATTCAAATCTGAATCAATAAAAAGGGCAATTTAAGTTTGGAATCAGGCTCAGTAATTCTCGAATTTCAACTCTTAAATGGTTTTTGCTCAAGTGCATGTCACTGGTGGTAAGCATTTAAATAAACAGTGACTTGATTTTCATCTAGTTGATATTAAGCTTGGCACTGGTTTGAGTTCAGGTGTTTATGTTTCACCCTTTTGTTCACAAGGTCTGCCATGCAATTGTTGTGATGTTAGTTTGGAGAATTTGGTATTGGATCACCTAATAATCCCCTAATTGATACTTTTCTTTTTCTTCATCACTTGCCAGCTTGATGTTGTATTGATATTGCAAAGGGAATTTTTGTCTTGGTCCTTCGTGGAAGTTGATTATTATTGTCATTGTCTTTGACATTGCCATCAACATTGTCATCTTGATCGTCATTGCCATCATTGTGGTCATCATCGTTATCATTTTCATTATGTTTGTCATAAGCATTATCATCATTGTCATTATCACTATAATCATTAATATTATTATTATCTATTCTATTCTCTGTGACAAAGAAGACAATTTGAAATGTGTCACGACTAATTTTAGGTTATCTAATGTGTTTTAATTCCTTTTTTTTTTTTTTGTAGGGTTTACATTGGCCGAAGACTTGGAAAGTGTAAGGTTGAGGCCAAGGGTATATTTTGTGGTGCACAGGTTACAAGAGGACCTGACTGGGACTGGGGTAATCAGGATGGAGGGGAGGGAAGTGTTGGTCAAGTTTTAGATGTGAGAGGTTGGGAGACAGAGAGTTTTCAAAGTGTAGCATGTGTGATGTGGAAACCTATGAGTACAAATGTGTACCGTGTGGGACATAAAGGGAAGGTGTGTAGTTTATATACATACAGAGTTTTCCATGTTTCATCACTGAACTACCTGGGTCTGTAAAAGTAGCAAGGCTAGAAACTTTTTCTTCAAGTCACTTGTTCCTTGGGACAAGTGCAGTGTTTATTTTACTTGTTGGGACCAAAAGTGCATTTGTCTGAAAAACCTGACATCTTACAACAACTAGATTGTAAGAAGCCTGATTTGCTTAGAAATTAATGGGCTGTAATATTTTGTGTCATTTTCATGTAGTGTTTGATAAACAAAATTACATTATTTTATCTTACTTTCTGTGAGCGGTACATCTCGTGGGTAGCAAAGTTATCAAACCTAGTAAAAGTAGCTGATACTTTACATGTCTAAAGTCAGGTAAATGAGGGTGTATTGCCCTTATTGCCCTTTATTGACATTTGAATGGCCTAAGTTTCCTGCCCTTAGTTGGGAAAGTTGATAATAATGCTGTATCAACATGGCAGAGCCAAGAGATGAGCAAAACACCATACCACTATCACAATGTTAATTGGAGAATTTGGTATTTGATCAACTAATAATCCTGTTATTGATATTTTTGCTTATCTCAACACTTTTCAGCTTGGTCACACATCTGTATTAGTCACACATTAGAGTTAGGTGTTAACATCTCTGTAGCTTAGCTGTTGGGGCACCTGACCTCATCTTCCCCTGTACAGAAATTTATGGTTTGACTTAACAGAGAGGTGCAGTGACATCAGAGCTTGAATCTTTTTAAACTGTTTTTTCCAGGTGGATTTGACTTGCATCAGTGAGGGTTCTGGAGGATTTTACTACAAGAATCATTTGCCAAAACTAGGACAGAAGCCTGAATCCCTGATTATTCCTTCAACAAGTAGTGCAGCCTCATCAGCTGGTTCAGTTGACAACTCTGTAAATTTTGAGGTTGGTGAAGGGGTTAGAGTGCTGTTGGATGTTACTACACTGAAGGATATTCAGGAGGGACATGGTGGATGGAATGACAAAATGGAAGAGGTACATGTACATCTTAACATTTGACTGTTTGAAATACTCACTGACTGAATGGTAGATTGACTGATTGATTGACAGACTAGCAGACTGACTGACTGTCTCATTGGCTGGCCAAAAGACTGACTTAGTGACGACAGACTGAGTGACCAAAAGACTGACAAAGGTCAACTAACTCACTGATAGACAAACAGACTAACAGGCAGACTAAATGTCTGACTGACTGACTCATCGACTCACTGATGGACAGACTGACTCACCAAAAGACTGACTTAGAGACTGAATTATTCATTGACAGATAAGTGGACCAACAGGCACTACAGATGTAGCATCACAGTTTCTTCAGAAGCTTATCCCGTTTTAAATTGAACAAATGTCTTACCAGGTAACAGACAAATTGACCAACAGACTTACTGGCTAACCAACCTACTGGTAAATTGACACACTGTCTGACTGACAGCCTGACCAACTGACTTATGGGTAGACAGACAGACTGGCTGACTTAATTTCTGATTCCCTGATTGCCCTACTGAAAGATACATCTCAGTGATAAACTGCCAAACACAACTTATTACAAAGTTATCTTAATTCAGGTGATTGGGCTTGTGGGTACAGTTCATAGAATCACTGAGAGAGGAGATGTCAGAGTACAGTATCCTGGGTTTGCAAACAGGTGGACATTTCATCCAGCTTCACTCACAAAGGTATTGTTTGGTTTTATAGTGAATTATATTTTCTGGCGATTGATCCTTTTCATACACCAGCATATCAAAGGATTTTGCTTAAAGATAAAAGAACGTTCCAGTGACGAATAGTTGACAGAGAAGTGTAGCCAGAGTATCTGTGAAATTTTGAAGACTAGGCAAAAATATTACTTAGAATATACAGCACCAGCATAATGGGTAACTTCAAAATTTTGAAGACTAGCCAAAAACATTACTAAGAGTATACAGTACCAGCAAAATGGGTCACTTCAACTGCATATTTTGTCATCCATCGACAGGTGGAGGAGTTTCGTATCAATGATAAAGTAAGCATCATAAAAGATCAAGCATTGCTCAAGAAACTTCAGGTTGGGCACGGAGAATGGACAGATAGCATGGCTGTGGTAAGGAAATGGATATCTGAGAAATAATTGTTTATTCGTAAAGCGCAAATTTTTACGCTCGGATCAAAATTGTCTGGAACTCACTTTTTATAGCTTACTTTTCGATTGAGAGTAATAAAGTGGAAACCAAAATAATTAATCACTCAATCAATCAGTCAATCAATCTTAACCAATCAGAAGAAAGGAAAATTTTCTTAGTAAGAGCCAATGAGAAGTCAAAGCAAAAAGAAACAAACTGCCTAAAGCGCGGGAAAACGCGGGTGACCAAATTTCAATTTTGCATCTCATTGGTTGAGAAAGTGGCACGAGTTTTTTTGGACCAATCACGGAGCGAAGTAAAGCAAAAACAATGCAATCCCGCATTACTTTTGATTCTTAATTAGAAACTGCTCTAATTATTCCAGTGGTAATTATCTTTGTATTCCTCAATAGGCTTTAGGCAAAGTGGGTAAAGTGCTAAAGATTTATTCCGATGGCGACATCCGCGTGGCTGTTGCTGATCATGCATGGACGTTTAACTCAGCTGTACTGGTGAAGGAGGAATCTGCAGCTACGCCATCTGGTTATGACCCACAGTCCACCTCGCAGAGGGGACAGGTAGAGTTGCAAGGAATCTTACAACCGTCGTCATCCTCGTCATCTTCTTCTGCCTCACAACAGAATCATCATGACAATTTGACAGCAGAGGAACGAAGACAATCTCAGCAATTGCAGACGGAGATAGGTAGAAAACTTAACCCTTTACACTCAAACATCAGTATCCATATTCTCCTTACCCTCCTCTATACGTTTTCTTTGCTACTAACAAGGAGAATTCCTTTAACAATCAAAGCTTCCTAGGTTGGTGGTCATCTTCTTTATTCTCTTGGTTTTGTTATTCTCCTTACCCTCCTCTACACATTTTCTTTGGTAATAACAAGGAGAATTCCTTTAATAATCAAAGCTTCCTTGTTTGGTGATCATTTTCTTTATTCTCTTGGTTTTAATGAATGATTCAGCAGTATTATTGTAAGGAGAAATTAGAGGCTGATCACTCTTAGGGTTAAGAATTGACTGCCACTGCCCCACTTAAGAAGATATAGAACATGTGTGTTATCACAACTTTCTGAATTTGATACAAAAATGTGTTTTCTCTAAAATATTAAAAAACACATTCTTTAACTGTAAGGTGTTAGTTATTTTCCCACATGCCTGTTAAAGTACACATTCTGTTTATGTATCGAAGCAAGACGCATCATTTTATGATGATGATTGGAAAAGAATTTTGGTAAAACCTTTTTGTTACATTTGTTGTCAGATTTTTAAATTTGAGACTCCAAAATGTAAATGAAGAACCATCAGTCCGAATTGATTTTTCTAATCGTCCTTACACATGCTGTCAAAAATATAAATCTGTAGTTCTAAATAGTACCACTCACATGTCAGTTGACAGTCCTTCGAAACTCAATCCACGATCCACGATTCTCGATTCACACATACATACATACACATACATACATACACTTTACTGGATCTCCCTTAACAGGGCTTTTCGGACAGAACTTACTAAATCTACAGTATCTGCAATCATAATTACAATCATGATAAAAAAAGCCAATGATGTTTATTCATTAAATATACTGTAAAATATTCTCGATCCTCGATTCTTAAGGCTCAAGTGGAGTTCGAGAAAGTCGAGAAATTTCCGATTCGAGTTTGGAGACTTTTGTCATCAATTGAACATGTAGGTGGTGATAGAGGCTTCTCTAAATTAATTAATCTTTTTGTGTTTGTTTGTTTTTATGAAGACCAATCGCTGAGGTCCTTGTTAGATCACCTCCGTATCAACAGTTCAACGGACATTGGATCCATGATCATAAGCGAAGCAGGACAAGGGAATGTTGAACAACTAAAGGACTTGTTCCGTGCTCATCCAGATAAGGTGTCATACTGTATTATTCTGACTTATGTTTCAAAGGCACTAGAAAGTCGCTTGTCGTACAATGCATAATTATCTTCAACAGAACGAGTTTCAATTGAGTGGCGAAAATATTCCGGGATTGCTTTGGTTTTACTTTATTCTGTGATTGGTTCAGAAAACGTGCGCCATCCTCTCAACCAATCAGATGCCAAACTAAACACAATCGCGACTGCGTCACTCGCGTTTTCCCGTGCTTCAAGCAGTTGGCTTGTTTTCACCCTGAGTTCTTATTGGCCAATAACCATGTAAACTTTTGTCCTGATTGGTCACATGGATTACTTTGGTTTTACAACACTCAATTGAAAACTTCACTATGAACGAAACTATTGGTTTGATAAGGTAGGAAGACGTGAAAATGAGAGAACAAAGGAACGGGGGTGATGAGAGATGAAGACCTCTTACTCGCATCAAAAGTGAGGAACTTGAATATTTTACCTGAATTTTTTTTAAGATTCTCATATCTTGACGCAAGTCCTCTGAAGCGGTTAGGGTTGGGGCTAGGGTTAGGAATATCGGGGGCTCTCTTGGTTTGAAGCAATGTTACCTAGTGCTTTCCTTAAAGGTTCCATTATTTTGTTTTAACTGACTTAATACTGTGTTTGCAGGTGGATGTGGTGCGATCAGACAAGACAGCACTACAGATAGCCAGTCATCAGGGACTCACAGCTGTTGTTGAACTTCTGAATCAGTTTGGCGCAGATATTAACTTACAAGTTAGTGATTCTGATTAAGATTAATCAATAAATAGACGTCAGAACTTTTTAGCGATGCTGGAACAAAGAATAAACTTAGTCTCTTAAAGAATTTGATCCCTAACCTGATCCCTGTCAGTTTAGTTGTTATGTACCCAACTGATAAAGAATGTTTTCAATGTTATCTATGTTTAAAGGATCTTAAAGTAGGGTTGGTCTCTTAAATTTAATAGCAATATAATCTATTCCATTTAAAGTAACACACTTACCTTGTGCTAGGCAATAATTTTTGGCATAAATTTAGATACACAAACTTGCGTACGAAGCGTCTGAATTTGAGTACGAATCGACTGAATATGAAACGTCCAGGTACGAAACGGCGGATACCACCGCTTCTTGCATGTAATGATACAGTTAGGAAATGATAATTTATAAATTCGATCGTCGAGTAAAGGAAGGTTGATTGACACAGGTACGTATCCAAAAAGGAAGCTTAGGGTTCAGAAGAAACCTAGAACAATTTTTGTGCAAATAATCCCAGGATGTCCAGAGTAATTAGGCTGAACAAACACGTAGTCCATCTAGTTTTAACGTATTGTTTTGTTTCCTTTTCCAGGATTCTGAAGGTGACACAGCTTTGCATTATGCAGCATTTGGGTGAGTGACAGATACTGGGGTTACTGACCAATCTTAGTCTTAGTCAATACGTCACTAATTTGCTTAACAGTCCTCGTTTTTGTATCCATTTGCTCTTGCATGGAGCGAGAAACTGTGTCTTGTTTAAACCCAGAACTTTAAAGAATAAATATCACTTTATTTATGTAGCGCTATTTCTATCGCTATCCAACAGCGCTTTACAATGACAAAATAAACATAAAGTGCTTGAAAATCCCAATTGGCAGGAGGCAGGCCAGTTGGCTATTTACACATCGCAGCCAAGGAGTTGAACTCGGGGCGACCGAGAACAAATCCAACGCATGGCGGGGTGGAGGACTTGAACCCGGGACCACCAGATTACAAGTCCAGCACCCTAACTACTTAGCCAAGCCGCCTCCAGTATATAGACCTTATAAGACCATAATAGGTGCCAGCACTAAAGAGTGATCCAGACCCTCTCGTAATGATTCATAACAATTAACTACAATTTATTCCAATAGTAATCAGCCCACAACAGCTGCCACTCTGTTAAAAGGAGGCGCAGATGGAAACCGGCTCAACAAAAACAAATGTTCCCCGTTGCATGTTGCAGTAAACAAGGGCTTCACGGACGTTGTGAAAACGTTTCTTAGCTGTTCATGTAACGTCAATGCTCAAGTATGTTACTTATTCGTACCTTGTCGTTGATGTAAAGAGTTATTTTATAAGATAAAAATAAAAATGTAGCCTGAACGGACTGGGAGGACCATCAGTGACGTCGCTAACCCTTGTTAAAATCTGTTCATTCGTAGGACTCTTATGGTGACACTGTTCTTCATGACGCTATTGCTAAAGACTTTGCAGACATTGTCGAACTCCTCATAAACTTTCGTGGTATCGACTTGTCGATCAAGAACAAACGAGGATTCAATTGTTTGCACCATGCTGCCCTGAAAGGAAATGCAAGGTCAGTATTTAACGTGAACTATAAAGGGAAATTTCAAGTAGGGGAAAGTGGAAAGAAATAAACTTTTAAACAAAGTAGCTGCAAGTAATTAGCGCGCTTTACTCTTAGCACTCATCAAAATCATCATTTTGTGCAGCCCAAATTAGTCAACCTAGCCAATCAGAGTAAGATCTGAATCACAGGGCGCCAATAAGAGTTCCAAAGAAACATACAAACGATCGCAGGCGCGGGAAAGTACGCGGGCAAACGGCTGAGAGGATGACGTTCTTTTTCTGCACCAATCACGGGACGCATTGAAGAACAGCGAGACAAACTAAAGGGGATCACTTTCCAAACTCAATTTAAAATTTCTCTGGTTTATATAATCATAATGTTTAGCAACACGAAGAAGTTTAGTAACCCATAGGTTGCTGCAAACTAGCAGATAATGCTTCTCAAAAACCAGAGTTCTCGGGGATGGAAGGGTTTCAATGACCTTTGTGACCTTGTCTCTTTCACATTCTTCAGAGCGGCGTCGCTAATTGTTCAGAAGTCACCAGAACTAATGAACTCCGCCAAAGAGGATGGCTTTTCGGCGCTTCATCTGGCCTCACTTAACGGACATTACAATGTTGTTGAATGTCTAGTTCAGGTAAATGTGTGTTTGACTTCCAGCCAATATTTTTGGCTAGTATGATAGTAGCTCAGAATGTTTCAGAAGTATCTTTGCCTTATGGGTGGCTCCGCGACTCCGCAAGAACAAAGATAGTGCAAGTGGCCTAGAGGCTTTGTAGTTATGGACGGCTTTTTAAGAGAAAAAAGCACTACATAGGGTCGTCATTGAGACAATTAAATGGCAAAAAACAGACAAACAAACAAATAAATAATGATTTTCTGATATGTATTATGCAATTGCTTGGTGTAATCTTTTAGCCATGCGATAAATTCAAGCTTTTTGGTAACAATCGAGTGTTCTTGTCAGTTATAGTCTGTGGTGTTGAAATAATAAACCAAATAAAACATTTTTGCTTGTAGATATCGAATTTCTCTTCTCGTGTTCAACTCTACATCTCACTCGTTAGCTGCCCCCTCTGGTGAGATATTAAGTTGAACGCTCGAAGAGAAACTCCATACTCACGCGCGCCCGTGTATTATTCTCAAAATATTTACGAATCTTGAAGTGCAACTAAAGCAGGCTAACATTTTGCCACCTCTCTAGGCTCGCTCTCTTTCTGAAGTCGATATCCGCAATGGTCGTCAACAGACCCCTCTCCTCCTAGCAGTCGATAAAAGACACGTGACCATAGCTAAACTACTTTTGGAAAACGGAGCTAATGTCAACGCGCAAGATGATGTCGGTGATTCTCCACTTCATGTAGTAGTCATGTATCATTCCCTAAAGTTTGGGGGGAATAATGCTGCAAAGAAAGAGGTAAGACTTGGACATGTAGATCATATCAATCAGCTTTTGTCTGTGTCTGTCTTTTACTGATGCTTGACTGATTGCCTGTCTGTGCCCTTTGTCTTTGACTGTTTGCGTCTCTGCGGTTTATTTCTGTCAACTTACCTTTCTTCCTCATTCTCTTTGCGTGACTGCCTGCTTGTCTTTCCCCTTCTGTCTTTGTATTTGTGCCTCTCCGCGGTCTATGTCTGTCTACTTACCTGTCTTCCTCATTCTCTCTGCCTGGCTGTCTGCTTGTCTGTCTCTTTCTCTCTGCCTGACCGTTGCCTCTCTGTCTCCTTATGGCTGCCCTTCTGTCGCCGTATAGTCCATTTATGTTTCTCTAGGGCAGTGTCAAATAGCCAATACTGTGGATGTGCCCCATAAGTTCTCTTATAGTCAGTCTGTTGACCAGACCTACTCTGGGATCATCTGTCTCGTTGTCCCTCTGTTAGTCAAACAGCCACCGTCTCACTCTCTAATTATCCTTGAGAGTCGCATTTAGATGTGCTTTTGTAGGCCAATCTGTCTGGTTATGTGTCTTTCTCTGTTTGTCTGTCAACTGTCTGGATGTCGTCTGTTAGACATTTGTTTATATTTAGTATTTAGTGGTTACTTGTGTTCAAAGTCCGTCGTTTAAGCTATCGCGATGAGTTTCCAAATTATGACCGCTTTGTCTAACTTCCAAAAGTTGACGTGCTTAGTTTGTGTGCTAACTTTGCCTTGGACCGACACGAAAGCTGTTGTTTTTGCTTACGCTCTCAAAGATTAATTTGGTTGATCGGAAACATTAAGTACATTGTTGTTAATTTGTGAGATTATTGTATCGTAAGAGCGTGTTGTGGTCTGCCGCCAGCTCCTCCGACATTGCGACCCAACGACATGTTTCATCTTAACAAGTTTCTCATGCATGTTGTTATCTTTACAGCTTCCTCCAAGCGAACCTACATTTGCCATAACCAAATTACTAATGGAGCACGATGCAGACTTGACACTTTTAAACAAACACGGGAAAACTCCAGTACAGCTGTGCAGAGATCCACGGCTCCGAGAGATCCTATTACCTAATGGCGTAGCAGAGGACGAGTGAGTAGAAATAACATCCGACAGTCTTTTACCGACCAAATTTGTCACGTTTTCCTTGCGCATTAATCCCTTACACTCTTAGTCATTTTTATTCCTTCGTTGCGGTATGTATTTTTATCTTCAACCAACCTAACGTTTGCAAACTCCTCCAAGCTTCCTCATATACATGTAGTTTTAAACGCCGTAAAATAATTTTCAAAATATTGCGTCGTACTCCTTCAAGCTCAGCTACCGAATAAGGAATGATATCGAATTTGTTTGTCTCGAGCGAGTGTCGAGATGTAACAGAGGAATGATCGAAGTTATGAGCTACGCGGAGCTCGAGATACAGCTCCTTAGCACGCAGTCTCCTTTGCGGTGTATTGTTTGTGTTACGTGACATCTCAAAGTACGGCTGTGAGGGAGACCTCGTGGCTCAGAGAAGTTTTCGTTTGATTGTGCGTATGTTTGTGTTTTTTTTTGCAGTGCGACGCCGAAGAAATCTCAGACATCAAATGGTGCCTCTCCGCATGCATCGTCGAGCTCGTCTTCTGGAGTTTCCATGGAAACAGGCCGCAAATGTCGTGTGTGTGATTTGCCTGCTAACGCAACCTTTTCCCCGTGTGGTCACTTGGTCGCTTGCATGGATTGTGCGCCAATGCTAAAGAAGTGTTTTCTTTGTAAGGTAAAGTACAAATTTTTTCTTAACAGTAATGGTCAGAATTTCTTTGCCCCGTAGTAATAATTAATTTCCTCCCTCTATGCTTTGCAGGCTGTGGTTGAGTCGTTTGCCGAAGTACACCAGGGAGGGGACAGTGTAGAATGCGTAGTGTGTTCAGATGAGCCACCCTCCGTCAAGTTTGAACCGTGTGGGCACATGATAGTTTGTGAAGGTACAAATATTTTTTGACTGCGTTTGAAATTTTTATCACTGATACAAGACTTCAATCCTTGATTGAATGACAGAAAAGTTATCTAGTGAGACATAAGCTTTAAGATGACTCCACCTCCCACCCCTTCTCTCTGCCATCCCATTCTTGTAAGATGGGAAATTGAAAGATCTCTTGGGAAACCCTTGGGAGGGACATGTTTTTACTGATCACTTTACTGATCTCTTAGTTTTTATTTCATCATATCTTCCCGTCACTAGGATGTGCCACACGCATGAAGAAGTGCCTTAAATGCAAGAAGGTTATTGAAAAGAAAATATCCAGTGGTGAGTAATTGAGATCTTACATTTTGCTGCCGTAGATCGTAATAAATAAAAAAAAACATTTAACTTTGTTCCCTTGGGGAATGAAGTCAAGGATTTTGGGGATGTAATGTCGGAACCTTTTTCAGACTGTTTGATAATCGAGAGGCTTTCATTTGTCCACACTTCTAGGCGCCTGAACGTCAAAGACTGCGTGAAATATTCACAAGCATTCGAAGGCTAAAATGTGAAATTTCAAGCGAACTTGAAAGTCTATGGAAAAACAAACAGTCGTGGACATATGCATTCCATTGAGACTACAGCAACGTTAGTGAGTGCAAGACAGGCCGTGTAAATACTCAAGACAAATAATTTTTCCGGCGATTTTTAAAATTTTCTCCTTTTTTTTCGTCCGTAGGGAAAAAGGCAACTGCCAAACCAGCAGAATTAAGCGAAAACGATGAAAAATACTTGGAAACACTCCATTCTTTGCTGTCGCTTCAAGCTCATGTACGGGAGATTGAAGATGCCAACATGTGCGCCATTTGTCTTGAAAAACCTCGCAATATGGCGTTCCTGTGTGGCCACGGCACATGCGTAGAGTGCGCCACGACACTGGAGGTGTGTCCCATGTGCAGGAAACCCATCACTAAGAAGATAACTCTGTTTAACTGATCAGAGTGGAGTGCACAGGCAACCCATCACGATGAGAATGACGCTGTTCATATGAACGAAATGTTATGGTGAAATGAATATCTGAGATCACTTGTTACAAACGGTAACTTGCGTTTGGGCAAATCTTGCATCTAGGCATTACCTATGTTTTGTCTAAAGCTTAAATTTGTTCGTCAAAAACGCTTTCTTTTGTTCAAGATAACTTCAAAAGGTCCATATATTTGAGCAGGATTTCAATTGCTTTGTCGGTTGAATTCCTCTTAGTTTAGATAGATAAGTATTTTTCAGAGGATTGCTTACGTATATTAAGACAACACAATTGACATAAACTTCAAGGTGCGTTAGTTTTGGAAAGAAAAAAAAAAGACACTTAAAAGTACGATAAAAAATAGAGGAGTTACAAATGCAGTTCAAAAGACTGTTCGGAAGAATGTTCCGAAGGCTGTTCGGAAGACTCTTCCGAAGACTGTTCTTTTCGACCTGAATATAGTTCTTGCGAAATCGTTGTTCATAATCTTTACCAAGAAATAATACATGGGACTTTAGACACCTTGGTAGCGAAAAAAGTAATGAAAGACAGTCTAGAAACTTTCCAAAAAACGTACGGGTTTGTTAGTATAATGCTTACAGCTGATCGTGGTCTAGAAACCGCGAAGGGCTTATAATTCCTTGTAATTAACTGGAACTAAGAAATATTCTACATCAAAGTTCTCAGATGTTCTAGATTTCTCTAAAAGAATATATAAATCCCAGCCCAGACCCTTGGATGGAGTGTTCGTTGCTGGTTCAACCAGATCTCACTGGATTGTTACGTTACGTCACCGATTGAGACCAACCATGCCTACCAGATTTCGCTTGGGCAGGGCAGCTCGAGGGAAATACAAGGGACTGGTGAAAAGATCCAGTTCAAAGGGTTTCAAGGTCTTTCAGTTATTAACCAATTGAGGGGCTAATTTCGGAAATAGATCTTAGGTTTAGAAGTGTGTTAGAAAAAATACGATTTAGTTTAGCCCCGTTGACAAGTTGTTTAATAATATTTATCCGATTCTAATATCTCATTTGCCACTGATTTTAGCTGGGCTTTTGATGTGGCAATTGAACGATTTTGCCTTTTGACTAGTAAACACAGTAGTAGTGTGACGCGTTCCTAATCGTCTCTTGTCTCTTAAGAACGTGAATCCTTAAGTCAAGGAATGAATTTTGTCCTATTTTAATTTATCGCGAAATGAATTTCTGTTTGAACATAATTTATTATCGAGGCTAAATGCTAAGTTGGTGCTCTTAAATCATTTACCTCAATAGAGCTTGAGATTGGTATGTGAGCCTTTGATGTTTATATATATATATATATTGTTCTTTAGTTTTCATTAAAATGATTCTCAACGCACAATTATGCAAACACACGTTGCAGTTCTGTTTAAGTGTGTATTAATGTGATTGTTTGTGTTATTAACCAATTTTTGGTTGTCCTCCTCACGTGTAGCCTTTTCTAGCCGTTCAGGTAGTATATCGAAGCGAAAAAATAGGCGGCGTAATAATGGCGGTGGAGCGAAAAAAACCGTGAGGCTTGGGCCGGGTCGCGTTGAGGAAGGAAGTCCGACCCAAACCTCCTACAATTACCCGACCCGACCCAGACCTCTCATGCCTTCTCCATCCATCGGTATCTATTGCACTTTGTTTTACTAACTCAACTCCTGGAACAGCCAACTTCACGGGTAGTCTTGTACCCAGACTTTTCACGGCTAAGCTGTCACATTTCAGTTACAGTCACACGGTAGGATTTGGGTACGAGATTACCTCTCGGGTCATTGTTGGATCACTAAATGCGTACGTTATAACAGATCAGATTATAACTCGTCAAAACCCCTAATAAAGTGAATAAACAGGGACTTAGAGTCGAACGTTTATTTTCACATCAAAAAATAATCTATGATCTTTTACACCAGTGTCTTTTAAATAATGTTACAAAACAAGACATGAATTTCATAATTTGTGTTCAATTCTAACCGTTGTTACTGTATTTGTAATCTGTTATGACCAGAGATTTACACTGGACTAGGAGAGAAGGGTGATTTTTAAAATAAGAAGCTAATCAAGCGAAGATTGAGCGTTTTTTTCTGCAATATACAAGAAACTAAAACTTGCAATTAATTGGTATAATTACTCACTCCAGGGTATTCGATATATTTGCCATGGTTCATTTTTTATCATTATATTTCAGCCCACCACCGCGAAGCTTCACAAACTGTTGACTCGCTATTGCTTGTCTTTGTAAATGTGAACGCCAGTTATATGGTTTCCTTGGGTAGAGATTAATTCACTCTACCGATGACCACACCATCTTGATTCAGGTATCAATTTTTCAATCATGACCATTATCTACGCCAAGCAGTTGCACAAGTACTGACATAAATAATGCGAAAAGAAAGGCCTTACTTGTCATACCCCTTTTAGGACTTTACATTTTAAAAGAAAACATTCCGATCTCATTTCAAACATTACGTTACTATGAAGCCCTGAGAGGAGAGTCCCTTTTCTTTAAGGCCGTGACAGAGAAGGCCCACGTCGTCCCTTTTAATGCTGCAGTAGTGATTTAAAGCCCTTGGACCGTACATAATTCGTCTTGAGGCCCTTTATATAGTAAACTGGAGTTATTTCAGGCCCCTTAACATTAAGTATGGAAACACAATAGAATAAAATACAACTACAAAGCAGGAACCAAGGACTGCAGGATTATATCCTAAAAAGGAACATCGAAACCATGAGCGAGGCTGACAAACTTTCTCTCGCGCCTGCATGCTGAGGATTAAACAGTGAAACTCTCTTTTGCCGCCACATTCTTATTGCAGCCACTTTAAAACGAAAAAATATCGGTAAATCATAGATTATTCAAAAACCCCATTACAAATATTCATAATTTTCAGATCAGAGAAGCTCCATTTTAAAGTTAAAACGAGGCACTCAACCCAATGTTCAGTTTTGTACATGGTATAACAAATGTTGCCGTATCTATTTTCTCATCCTCCTTTTTTTTCTTTTAATCCTAAACAGTTATACTGCGTTGTTTTTCATTCGCTGAGATGTCGCTTTCTCTTTTTCTTCGTTGACTCACTTCGCTTCTTCTTCTTTGTCACATGACCTAACACTTCCAGTTCTGTCTCGTCAAGCCCAGGCCCCGAACGGAAAAACTCCCTTTCGTGCGGGTAAGGGGCCTCGGACCTAACATGCACCTTCTGTGGTGAACTTACAACAGATTTTTTCTGTCCTTTTTCATCTTTTTTGGCACCAGGTGAAGGAATCGACTGACGAGCAACGGCATCTAAAGTAATATAAACAAAGTGAGATGTGTTATAAGAAAATGCCTTCAATTGAACAACTTTGATGCATTATCATCCACAACTATGTTAGGGACAACATCAAATGTTATAAAACTAAGGAAGACTGACGTAGATAGATAGATAAAGGAATAAATAAAAGATTTACCCAACAAACCCTCAATAATGTCTTGCTACACGCCTTGACCCTAATAAGTTGCTATCAAGGCTCCAGTTTAACCAACGTTGATAACATCTTTAATCAAAATTATAACACAATTCTCGAACGTGATTGGTAATTACCAGCCCGATTTGAGCACTAATAGTACAAAGCACGCGTCATGCTTGTAATTGGACAGTATAATAGCTCAGTTTAAGGGACAGTTGACACGTCATGCCTGTGTAAGTGGACAGAACAAGTCATTTGCGCGCGCTGTTGTCTCGCATTTCGCCGAGTTAAAGGTTGTTGTTGTTTTTTTTTTTTTGTGAAAACGTATAACCGATGTCTAGTTTCTTTCTCAAATTTTGTCATAATTTTGATTAATTGGTAAAAGGATTTTTCGTCGTCCAATTCTGTCTTTCATCATAATTGTACTTAACACATCGGACTCCCGCTACGTGGTCGTCCGATTTGATTAATCACTCTTATGATTACAGGCCGAATTCTACTCCATTCGGTCCTATTACCATTATTTATCATAACCGTTACAATTTCCTCAAATGTGATTGGTGCATTAGCTGTTATACTTTTACTTAATATTCTCTAGAGTTGTAATAGGACAGTTGGTTGTAATCCTAGTACACCTCCTGTAATCGGACAGTTAAAGGAGCCAATCATACTAAGTCCACTCAGCTAAATCCACCAATCGCAGAATTGATTGCAATTACCATAGCAACAACTACTTACCCTACTAAACTGGGGAATTAAAAAATGGAGGAATTTTTTGCTTTGGACGATGTCACTATCGGAGATGTTCTCCTATATGAATATGCACACTTCTTTTCGGAAATTGTAATGGCTATGATTAATTTGTAACATGACTTTTTGTCGTCCAATTCTGTCAGTTGTCATACTCGCGATTGATAAATTGGAATTGAAAAGACCGAATTGGACTCCACTCAGTCCTATCAAGCCATTACGAATATTTGAGAGAGGAGATAGTACACATCCTTGCCAATGGAAGAGTAATCACCTGTAGTGGAAGGATCGGTACAGGCCGCTGGTTCCACAAACATCCTTTCTTTGATCGGTTGGCATCCCCCACACGACCCTCCACATTCACCGTATGCCATCATTCCGTCTTCCGCCTTACGAACGCTCAGCAACCGCTGTGGTACTTTTGGTGTGCCCCAGGCCTCCCAATCTACATCTTTACGCATGCGTAATCCCGTGCCAGAGAGATCCACCTGGAATTTACCCTTTCGGCATTTGGACGCAGCTGAGAAGCAGTCTCCCGCGCGAGCAAATCGAACCGGGTTGCCCTCGGTCTTTGCAAACTGGAAGTCATCTCTGTGAACGAGACCCGTCGTGGGATCGACACGAATTTTGTTAAACCTGGCATAAAAAAAAAAAAAACCAAGAATGTATCGCTTGCATCAGTTTCATATCTCTCTCTCAGGTTTTAATGAATTTTCATGTTGGAAGTTTTAGGTCGTCAGTTATAAGCAAAACCCACCTTGTTGTTCCCCAGTAGTTCGCCGTCAGTTTGGGTTCAGGGTTGATAGAGCCAGAACAGGATTCATAGTTGAGCAGCCTACCCCTGTAAAAACTAGCGAAGTTCCTATCGGGGCCAGCAGGCAGAGTAATGTACTCACGGGGGGAGGCTGTATCGAGGCCATGGCAGTACAAACGAATAGGATTACAAGAAGGAGTCATATGTATGACGTATTCATCATCCTTGAACCCAGGCCACATTTTCTTGACCTCAGTGCAGCTCCCTAGTTGAAAGCAATATATTGTAATGAAAATACTTCCCGAAAAATGTCCTGAAATTCAAAATTTTGCTGCACTGAAAATAGCACATTTTCCTGAATTAAACAGTGTTACTTACGAGGAATCTGATATTGCAGGCTTGGCCTTAGAATCGGTTTCTCAGAAAGTACCGATGGTGCATTAGGGCACTCCAAGGTGAAGCCAACGGATAAGGAGTCCCTGTTAATTCCTTCCTTGTGCAGGGCCTCAATCCAGTAATACTTGCCAGCCTCCAGTGGAATGTAACCAGACTGTTGGTAGGGATGTCTGGGAGAGGAGAGGTGAAAAGCATGAAAACTGAGTTTCATTCAAATTAGGATCGCGCGAAGTTACCAGACTATAATTATGTTATGGCTGCTGTTTAAAATCTGAGATCAGATAAATTGAAAATGGTTAAAGTTAAATTGAAAATAGCACAATGAGCGAAATTCTCTTTTAAGAAGAATAACCTGGTTGTTGCCAAAAAATAGGGCTTATCCATTTTAAAACGTAAAACCTACTCTGCAAACTTGTTGTGCCCAGTTCCTCTAACTACGGCAAACAAATCTTTGTCTTTTTCTCTCGACGACCCACTAAAGAACAACTCAGCTTCATCGTTACCAGACAGAGAAAACGAGTAGGTTCCTGTATAGGGCGCCACGAAGTACCCTCTAATTCGGGAACCGTAATCGTCGCCCTCGTTCTTAGGTGCGTCGAAGTCCTCAATGATGGAGGCCTCAGAGGGGTTGTTTGGATAGTCTTTCTGCGTGGCCAAGTCCGTTATAGTGGTGCCTTTGACTCCGCGCCAGACCTCCCGCTTGACGCCTGGGTACGGACCCACAAACTTGGCTATTATAGGAAGGAATCATAACAAAAGTAAGTGACATAACATGAACTTTGAGAAAGAAGGCACGTGACAATATTTGAGACACTGATGACGTAAAACCACGACTGGTCTCCGTGATTAGCTGTCACAAAACTAGCCAATCGAGGAAATTACTCGGACCTGCAGTAGAACGTCTTCTATACGAATGTTCGTTCCTTATTTAGAATTTCGAGATATTTTGTCGATTTGGTTTATTGCACGGAGGCAGCAGTAGTAGTTCTATAATAATAGGAAAAATATCAAAAACAGTAATAATGATAACAATTGATAATTGATTCTTTGATTCTTTTATGAAATTTCATTCAAAAATTGGTTTCAATTGACGATGAACTTACGTATTCTGTGTGTATCCTTGAGGGTCACGATTTGATCATCTGGGAGAGCACAGGGGAAGATATAGAACTCATCCAGGGCACCCTTGAATTGGCGTCGAGGCCCCTCATCGTCGTAAAATGTCCCAATATACGCGGCCTTACTCCAATCTGTGTTCAAAGCTTCAGTCTCTTGTGCATCCGTCTGTTCATAGTTCTTAACAGCTCGTCCATTGATGTAAATTGCGGCCTGTTTGCTTTCAGGATTGTAAATTCCCGCCAAGTGAACCCATTTATTTTCTGGGATTCCCTCAATGGTAGTTCTCCCGTACACTGTCTTGTCCATATTTCGTTGAAAGAAGCGAACTTTACCCTTGTTTAAGATCTCAAAGTGGTACTGTCCCTGTTTCGAGGGGTCTGTTATTCCAGGTGCTTCCGTCACGAAGATCTCGTTTATGTTCGGCGCAGTCACGTTCTTAACCTTGACCCATGCTGATATAGTAACACCAAGAGTCGGCTTACCCTGTAGAAGTAAGTAAGTAAGTAAGTAAGTAAAGGCTTTATTTGAAGAGGGTTTGATTAAAAGAAGTAAAAAAGTACTAATAAACTCGTGGTCATCGTTTCACCATAAATTACTTAAAAGTCGGTGTCATAAAGTTTAAAAGTGTTATACATCACAAAGTTTAAAATGTAAAAACAAATATCCTATCGACAATCAAAAGTACAACAAGCTTTTCCTTCATTGAAATTACATAGTTAAAAAATCACATTTCAAGTGACGAGGGAGCTTTCTGATCATTTAAAAATTTCCCATAACTTATATATACTGCACTTGATACGAGCCCCTGATATTTTCTTCCTCATACTTGACTCTATAGTGTTCCATTCCGTAATTGTCTTACTTTAAAAGTTATCCTCCTTAGGTTTCCTTAAGTACTTTGGAAAAATCAAAGTTAAGTTGAATACATTCCTATGATTTTTTTTGTATCAATATGATGCGTTATTTATAAGCTTGTCACGCTAGTCACGCTTGTCACGCTTTACTTTTCATTTTAACCAAGTTTGTTAGACGTATCCTCCACCAAATTTCAAGCTCAAGATTTTCTCTTCTGAGATATGTCGCAAATTCTCAAAGCACCTTACCTTGAAATTCATTCCATCCAACTGAATGAACCCGTCTGATAAGTCTACACCGTTGTCTTGGTTGTATCCCGGCTCAACAACCACACTCCCGCGGGACAGCCCGTTGTTGCCAGAGCCCGACTCGTCAAATACTTCACCCGCGCAAAACTTGTCGAAGTCATAATACAACACGGGTTGACAATTGAATGGGTAAGCTAGAAGGAGAGGAAAGCAAATACAATTTTTATCACTCCAGAAGGAAAAATAAAAGAGAAAGCGTGCGAAATGACTAGGGTTATCAAATTACAAGGACTAAGATGCTATTTTTTGCTAGGTGCTATTTTGCAATGTTGCGTCACGGTTGACCACAACAGAAACTAAAAACGTCCACTCACGTGTTCTCTTGTACAAGTTATTCATGTGTGTTGCAGCTGCTGCGGGCTGGGCGAGAGCTTGGGTAGGAGAAGCAACTTTCTGTTGCACAGAGGGGACTGGGGAGGGAAATGGAGCTTGCGGTCCGCTCTCGCTTGTGGACGGGAACCCTGCCGCCACTGAGGAAAGAATACAAGATAAATTGTTTAACGGTGCGAAAACGTAAGAACTGGCAGCATGAACATAAGTCTGAGTGACTCATGTTCGATAAGAACCAACACGCAAAACACTCGGAACTAACAGGGTTCGAAGCAATCGCCAAGGATTCTTAAAAAATCTCTTTTCTAGGATTTTCCTGTTTCACATTTTGAATATCAACTTGTATCTTGAAATTCCAGTGATCTCCTGAGTAAATTAAGGTAAAAATCCCAAGACCAGTCAAGGCAAAGTAACTTGAAAAAACAATTGCACCATCTTACCGTTACAAATAATCTTGGTCACTTTCTCGGCTTCAGCTGGAGACTGGAGATCGTTAACCCGTACAGCATACTTAGGCTCCGTTGTCATTGTAGAAAGTTCTGATTCAGCGATGCTTGGGCTGCCTACAGCAATCACCTGAAAAATGAAAAACCAACAATGAAGATTACTGATTTCATGCTTGGAATACAGAAATGGTCAGTAAAAAGTGTAGCAATGACGTCATTTCCTCTTTACTCCTTTCCATATTTCTTTACCTTTACACCACTGATTTCCAACTGCTTTGCGAAGGACTTTAGGCTCTTGGCGGCGTTAGTGTTGTGATCGTTTTGGGGTCCAAGCACCGTCACCACAAGGGCCTTGGGGAGATGGGTCCTCACACCGTTAGACTTTGTGAACACCTCGAATTTAGCCATTTCCAACAAAATGACCTGAAAATTGATCGCAAATCCTTATTTCAATAAAAAATGCTTTATGCCTTGAAAGACAGCATCCCAAATTAAAAAGGCATGCGATGACAAAGAAAGGTATCCTTCACATGTTTTATAGTGGGCTCTCTTTGCTATTCACATCATCGAGGCAGCAACCTTGACTTACCAGATTTCTATTACCAGGATCACGTGGCAGGTCATCAAAAGCCTTATCAACCTCTCCTTTCACATTCCTTTCTCCAAGTTTCAAGTTGATTGAAGGTATAGTGGAATAAGCGACCAAGGCTGCATGGGTCCCGCTCTCCTGTACATCAAAACCATCAGCAACTTTCTTCATGAAGTCCTTCTGTTGAGTCCACTGGACAGGAGTAACGTCCGTGGATGAGTCCAAAGCAAACACGATATCCATAGCATATGGACAAACTGTTAGAAACAAAATAAAAATGCGATCTTAACATGGATTTGTTTCAGGAAGACCAACCACGTGACTACCATATGAGGTCTGCACAACACTTTAACCTCTACTGGACACTGAATGTAATCACAATCACCAGCTGAGACATATTTCACTAAGTGATTTTCTTCCATAGAGAAACATGCAGACTATGACGTCTTTTAACCCATAGCTTGCATCTAAATTCTGGTAAACAGAGTACCCATTTTCTCGTCACTATTTAAGTAAAAGATGTATTTAAGCTAAGTTTGTGAGGATACGATTATCCATTGAGTATAACCCGTTGACACATGTATATACATTACTTACCAAATGGCTGAGTGCTTGCAGGGCTCTGTGGGGTAACACCTTGGACAGCGCTCTCAGCCGATTGCAAGGGCGCACTTGGCTGTGCAGGCGCAGGAGGAGATCCAGCTGTTACTTGCGGTGCGGCAGGCGGAGCGGTAGGAGAAGCGACAGCAGGCACCGCTTGGACAGCAGAAACATTCTGAGCAGGTGCACTCGTGCCTTGCGCCGCTGGAGCCACAGTGCCATTGTATACCGGTGCTGCTGGAGCCTGGGCAGGTTGTGGTTGAGCCTGCGGGATTGTGGCGTTTGCTCCAGCTTCTGCCCCAACTTGAACAGGAGCTGCCGGAGCGCTCGGTAACTGAGGTACCGAAGTCGGTGTCAAAGATTCGTTTGTTGGTGGAAGAACAGAGGTGACATTCTGCGGAGGAACTGTAACGTTTGAATACGTAGGCTCAGGCTGTTGCGGATACAATGGCTGTGATGTCGTGACATTAGAATACACCCCCTGGGGAACACCCTGCGGGGACTGAGGGCCGACTTCAGGAGCACTTTCGTTACCGTTACCCTCTTGAGGCTGCTGAGGGGTTGCTGTAGCGTTGGAATAAACTGGTTGTTGCACTCCTGAAACTGGATTGACAGGTTGCTGAGGTGGTATACCTTGACTCATCGTCGCTGGTTGTTGTGTAGGTGTAGCATTTGCGTAAACAGTTTGAGAGGGTTGCGCTGCTGCAGGAACCTGTCCAGTGGGTTGTTGAGGCGACGTTACGTTCGAGAAAACCGGCCCAGTCACGTTTGCAATCGGACTCGTTGGAAGCGGAGCGGATGTCACGCCTGTACTTGCAGCCTGGGCGGCAGAGGTAACCTGTTCAACAGGCTGTTGAGCTGAGGTTTCATTTGAGTAAATCTGTTGAGCTGCAACTGTTCCCTGAGCAGCCGGTAACGGCGCTGACGTCACACCAGCACTTGTAGCTTGTGAATCGGAAGTCACCTGTTCAACAGGTTGCTGAATTGCCGTGGCGTTAGAGACAATCGATTGAGTCACGTTTGTTGCCGAATTAGTTGATGGCGACGCTGCTGTTACACTAAAACTTGCCGCTTGAGGAACAATACCAACCTGTTCAACAGGTTGCTGGGTCGATGCTGCTTTTGAGGGAACTGGTTGAGCTCCGCTTGTAGCCTGACTAGGTGATGGCGGGGCTGATGTGACACCCGCAAAAGCCACTTGTGGAACAGAGACCTGTTCAGCAGATTGCTGAGTTGACGCAGGGGCAGAGGTAACTTGCTGCTGTCCTGATGCCGCGTTCATGGAGAATCCTTTAGTTGGAGCATAACCCTGGCTTGTCTGTTGACCTTGCGTCGGAACAAAGCTATTCATGGTCTGTTGCTGACCGGGTGTTACTGACATTGAGGTTACTCCTTGATATGTTGCTGGATAAGAACCGACGTGGAAGACTGGCACCCGGTGAAATGCGTGACCAGTGCGTTGTTTTTCGGTGACAATTTGATCAAGTAGGAAGTCTGGAGCTACAAAAACAACAAACGAAAATATATGAATTTTACAAAATACTCAGGGGCTCACACATTGCAACTACAAAATATTTGTGTTTTGGGCAAGTTACAAGTAGCGCAATAACGGTAAAATCCTTAACAGGAGGGATATCTTGCGCACCTCTTATGAAACATTATACTACAACTGTGTATGAGCAATATATGAAAACTTGCGCACAACAACTTGAAGATTACATTTCTTACCTTTACACGCACTTTTGACAACCTTCCCAGCTATTGTGATTAGATCGTTGTACGAATCCACAGAAAATGTGTGGTTTGCGTCTGCGATCCTTAACAACTCGTCACGCTGGACACCAGACCCCACTCCTATAGCTACTGGGGTCACACCACCAAACTTCAACCGGTGTACAATCCCAGCAATCTTTGCGTTATCTATCTTATCAGACAGCAGCACCACAAGTGCCCTCGTAACCTGATCACGTGACCCTCCCGCGGGAGTAAACAGCTCGTAATTGGCTATTTCCAGAGCGTCATCTAATCTCGATCCTTGGTCGCTCTTAGCTTCCGGGTAAATGTTATCAATAGCGTTCAGCACGTCAGACTGGTAAAAGTAACGGTTGAATTTCATCTCCATGGTGGCCTGCGACGAGTAGGACAAGACGCCCACGTGGGTACCAGGGTAAGAAATGTTGAACGCGTTTGCCACGCCTTTGGCAAAGTTCTGCACCTCTCGCCATTCCGTGTCGTTTATTTTGGAGGAAACGGGGAGAACGAAAGCGAGGTCTGTTGCCAACTGGCAAGCTGAGATGAAAGAAAAGATTATAAGGCGGATTTGAGGAAAAATTATATCCAAAAGTGAGTGAAAAACTTACAAGGACAATCCTGAATCTTGCATTTTCGTGTCTCGGTACCAGTTCCTCTACAGTTCGCTCCGGTTAGACATTTCCGTGTTCTCAAACTGACACCTGTGCCACAAGTCTTCATACAAGGACTCCATTCAGTCCACGAGCCCCAACGAGCTGAAGCGGAAAAGAAGGACATCAACTTGATTATGATAAAGTGATTAGATTAAACCAGCAGCTTTGCAATCAAACCTCTATATGCATCAGTCGACAAGATTAGATATAATACTTACGTGGGGGAGGAGGTGGCTTGGCTGAAATACAGAAAAAACCACAGAAAATCGTCATGTTAGTCCCTTTATGAAATTACTATTCCAATTTTATTGTTTCAAAATTAATCAGCTTTCAGTCGAAAATCATGGAATGTATCCACGCGCGAAACGATGCAAACCAACAGATCTTAAGGAGCGAATATCAATTGAATGTCGAAAGTAATCTGAAATGTTTTTTTTTTTTTAACTTTGCTTTGTAATTGGTTCGGAAGACATGTGCCATCCTCCTAACCAACCAGATGTAAAACTAAAAATTATTGACTTGGTCATTCGCGTTTTCCCGCACTTCAAGTAGTTTACTCGTTTTCACTCTGAAATCTTATTGACTACTGGCAATTAAATCATTTTATTTCGATTGGTCGCTGGGTTTTTTTTTTCTTATTGCTCACTTTGGTTTTGGTTTTCGACACTCAATTATAAACGGCCCTAATGTGTTGTCAAATTCAGATCATTGACGCTTTTTTAAATGACAGTTGTCAGGGTTGAAAGAAAGAAACCAAACACAATCACATCATTCGTGCGAATTCCCAAACAAGTGGAGCCGTCAACACGTTGGGAACTCGCCGTTTATTTTTGTCTCAGACTAGCAATAAATTCGCTCCGAAAAAGGGAAGTAAAATAACCTCAATGCTCACACAAACGCATGAACAATACAAAAAAATTCACCTGTACAGACTGCGTCAGCCGCTGATTTGACGTAACCAATGATATCATCATATGACGCAACCAAAAATGCATGATCAGGATCAGACGCAAGCTGCCTCAGTTCGTACTGATCCACTTTTTCTCCCACCCCCAGAGCAACAATCGTGGCACCGTCCATATCCTTGAGTTCGCGGGCGCGTTGCTCGGCGCGCTTCGCCGTGGTGTCAGGCGCGTCTCCGCCATCGGTAACAATAACAATCGCTTTGGGCGTAAAGTCACGTGCGCCCGTTTCAGCGGTTATCAATTGATCACGTGTTAATTTCAGGGCGCGGTCCGTACGCGTGTCACCACGTGGCTGAGACATCGATTGAAGGAAATCGTCCATGCTGTCGTAAATATTTTTGTCCTCGAATCTCAATTCGAGATGTGGTAACGTGGAGTAGGCTAAAATAGACACTTGAGTCTTGTTAGGGGCGAGACGGAAACCACTGCTGACACCTTTGACGAAGTCTTTCGTTAATTTCCATTGAGAGTCATCCACTGTGCCAGAGGCGTCCAGGACGAACGCAAGGTCTACAGCCTTGTGGCAAACTACAAAGACAAGTAAATATTTTTATTTTCCTTAATCACTCCTTCTCAACTGTTCCTTTCTTTGAGTTAATAATTGACGTGAAGGGTTGAGCATATGTGACGAGTAAGCTTAATTGTCATTTTAAAAACAAAAAGAACTCACAAATACTTTGTCACGCACCTGGACAATCCTGAACCTTACAGACTTCAATCTCGCGCGCGGAGCCCACGCACGTGGCTCCTCCTTGACATGTGCGTGTTCTGTCACGCCTTCCACCAGCACCACACGTCTTTGAACAAGCGCTCCAGGCGGACCATTCACTCCAGTAACCTACGGATTAGAGAGAACCATTTCTTAAACTCGATTCAAAAGTCGTCTGAACTATGTGCTTGATTTTCTTGGTGATTATGGTAAAATTAACTCAAGAACGCTGACTAAAAGGAGAAAATTTCAGGAAAGGATTATTCAGAAGCACCTTAACTCCGCCCCACAAGACGGCTAGTTTGTCAACGATATCTTCTTTCAAAGCTAAGCTGAATAACCTTTCGTTAAAATTAACCCTCGTAGACACCGAAGTTCTAGCGACAGTTCTGAATCTGAAAAGTTAAAAACACAATAATGAAATTACCTGGGCAATCATCTTCTTCACAATTGTGAAATTCTCTGGCAGGTCCTTGACAGAATTTTCCGCCATACTCGGGTACGGGATCGTTACACTTGCGCATGCGCTCTTGCCGACCGTTGCCACAAGATACCGAGCAAGGACTCCATGAGCTCCAAGCGGACCAACGACCATTCACTAACAAAGAAAATTTCCTACTCAGTAGAAAACACTCAAACAATTTTTTCCGTTCATATGAGACAATGCTTCCTTTAATGACTCAAAACAACATACGAGAATCATAAATTGATGGAATTTCACTTACATGGGCATGGTGTCATGCGACACTCTGCTGTCTCATGACCCTCTCCTGCGCAAGGTTTCCCGCCATTAGAAGGAGCAGGGTTATCGCACGTGCGCGTCCTATGAACTGTGCCATGACCACACGTCGCTGAACAGGTGCTCCAGTTCCCCCATGCTCCCCAGTTACCATCAACTGCAGAAAGAAAACAACAATAAATATCACGTTGAATTGTAAGCAACTTGGTGTGGGCTTTGTGTTGGAATTTCAGTTTACCATGATAAAACACCTTGGCTAACCACAAAAATGGTAACAACAGGAATAACTCATAAAAACCGCAACATCTCAGCTGGTAAGAGAATCAGGAACATTGTAGAGTCATTTTCACGATACATTTTTGTATATCCTTTCCATCACTTCCTTTTTGAGCGTGAGGTTCACCGACCATGATCAATCGACCTCTAATAGACTTCATATCTCTAGTTGTAGTAAATGTATAGAAAAGCCATCAAGCGTACTTGCGCATGCTCTCTTCTCACAACTTTCTGCGTCTCTGTCCATTCCAATAAACGAACAGTCCATTCCTCCAAAAGCCGGAGGGGGACTGGTACAGTTCCTTGTTCGGAACCTCTCGCCAGTCCCACAATTGGAAGAACAGTCGCTCCAGTCGCTCCATTCTGTGTAATTACCTTGAACAGCTTTGACTTCAAAGGAAAAGAAAATATCAGAACGTGAACAAGCTATCATGTTGGATAAATAGTTTTGGGATTTCATTGACTGACGAATTTAAAGTATAGCCATTAGAAATTGCTAAAAGCAAAGATTTGACACGCAAAACCTTGAGTTTCTCGAAAACCTGAGAAAATAAAGACCACTGCGGCGAGTTAAAAACATTGGAGATAAGATTGTATTGATCAGTACCGTAGGAAATTGTACAAATATCTTGCCTTAAGAGGTAAGCTTCTTTAGGGACTTTTGAGACAAAAACATCGGAAAAATTATGAAATTAAGTACAAAAAGCTTCTTAAGTATATATTTGTGTCTTGAAATTCCTAAAGATTTTAATGACTTCCCCATCAAATTTACTCACCATCATCCAAAGAAAACACATAGTTGGAATTTTCCTGTCCGGCGCATTCCAAATTATTTCCCGTACACAGTTTCAACTCATTGTCAACACATCCTAACAGTGGTTTGGGCTGTGTTGGCGCCATGAACAACAGTTGTTCTCCTTCTTGGAAATAAGAGTCACCCGCTCGTTCACCGGACAAACATTCACCATAGTTTTGTAAACCAAACGTTCTGTATCCTTTTCTCTGAGTCTCACGGGCGCATCTGTGAAAGAGAACATACACAACATCTTGTTTACCTGGCCTCCAATCACATTACTTCTAGGATAACATTGTTCTTTCTGATAACTTTTCTGAGACAGGTCTTGGTGTATCTTTCCCGAACTCGAGTCAGATTATGCGGAAGATATTTCCAAAACAATTTTCATCATCTCAAAGACAATTTTAAATGGGTGCCGAAAGTAATTCCAAAGTGCTTTGGTTTTGCTTTATTTCGCTATGTGATTGGTCCAGAAAACTCGCGCCACTCTCTCAACCAATCAGATACAAAACTAAACCCAATTACTACTTGGTTACCTGCGTTTTCCCGCGCTTTAGTAAGTTTGGTTGGCTTTACGTAAAATTCTTAAGGTATTTTCCTTTCTTCTAATTAACAATTGTTTTACGAAACTCAACCGAAAAGCGTTCTAAATCCAAATTCCTTGGACTTCTCGTTGTCTTCCTAGTACGCAGTCGATTTCAAAATGTTCATTTACCTCTTACTTCCATCTTGCGAAGGAAAGTACAAAGAGAGAGCGAAGACAGGGCATGGGAATTAAACATTTCTTTCCGCCTTGTGAATCATAAAATTCTTTTTTCTAGCAGAGAACAGAAACATTATTTACCGGCATATGGCGTCAGACAGATAGTTCGGCCAGTCTTTGAAGTCGATTTTCTCCTGTGGGTCACTGAACAGCTGCTCAGGGAGGGGTCGGTACAAGTTGTGATTATCGCGGTAACAACCCAGAGCCTTGTATGGAATCTCACCTGAAAAAATTATCAATATGTACACCCAAAATACGAAATCAAATGAGTAAAGGAAAGACATTAACTGGAAATCTAATGGTGAATATCTTGCTCTCACTAATCAGCAATACTCTGTGTAATAGAGTCACTACTGCATTTCACACCGATGATCCTCGCAGTACACGGACGGTTGTCTGCAGAATGTAGGACCATTTAGAATTTGTCTCACTCGATCCCTGCGGCCTCGGAGCTCTGTTGGTAGTAACGCCCTAACTATAGAATCTTTGAGGCACGAGTATGAATCCCGTCGAAGCCTGAAATTCTTATTCGCGAGAGATTATTCCTTAAAAATCCAACAACAACAAAAAGAGAAGTCTCGTTCAAATTTGGCGGCTTTAGAATTTTTCCCTTCCCCATACTTGTGCCAAAATAGTCTCTGACTTCTTTCTTAACTTACTTTTTATCTTTACCCAAAGTCGAATTACAGACTTATTGTAAACCCTCTCTACACTTACAACAGTCCTGTAGCTTGCAAGCTTTCCTCTCCACACTATCCCCTACACAGTCAGGCCCACCATAGGAGGGTGGGGGCGCGGTGCAAGTTCGTCTTCTGGTCGTACTTCCGCTTCCGCATGATCGACTACAGGAAGACCAAACTGACCAGCCAGACCAACCTCCGGGTTCTAAAGAAGAAGAGGAAACAAATGGAATGAAGGTCTTCCTTTTTCCATGATAAAAACATTTAAACCTAAATGATCATCCCATTCTTCTGAATTCACATAAAGCTAAATTCGGTGCACGAGGTTAACTCCATTTTAAGCGTGAGAACGCTGTTGAAGGCGTAGTTAACATGATTGGTCACACGGTTGTATATGATTCCGCAACGCCATGCTATCGTAAGGATTTCATTTTAAGCAGCCACGACAAGAAGTTGCATTTCAAACCACTGATCCGTCAATGACAACTAAAGCATTGATAAAGTCACAAACATTAATTCTGTTATACTTACGTGCACACGGTCGAGTGTTACACACATCTGACTGGACCGAGTCACCCAAATGAGTGCAGTTGAGCCCGCCAAACTCAGGTACAGGGTTGGTGCAGGCACGTGATCGTTGTCTATGACCACCGCCACAAGTGACGTCACACTCGGTCCACTTGCCCCAATTGGTGTAGCCGCCGTTAACTAAAACAAGTAAGAATTAAAATTACCCTTAAAGCTCACCTTATACAAGAAATCTTTAAATCTTCTATCGAGACTTGGAGCGTCTCAAGTTCTCTTCGCAGAATTTCGCAGAGTTTTCCTTTTTTTTTAATCACACTGTCTAACTCGCGCTGAAAAATTAGAATATGCCATACCTCTCTAAAGTACAGTGCATTTGCTTGTCTTGTTCACAATTCATCGTTCATGTTTAATATATATTATTTTGCCGCTTGAAAATGTACAGTGAAAGCCATGTGGCGCATTAAACTCCCAAGATATGTTCGTTAATTCTCCCTTCCAGTTGCTACGCATTTCCTTGCGTCACGAGGATTTGGCGTTAGATCAAGATAATGATTTCTAGCTAAACCGTATAGACATCATCGAGAGATGTTACATGTAAATCACTTTTGAGAGCAAAAGGGTTAGTATCTCAACTTCTCACGAAAAGTTAACTCAGATAAAGACCCACCCATGCATGGCTGCAGCTTGCAGTATTCTTCCTGCTTCTCTGGCCCTTCGCATGTTTTTCCGGCGTGCGCGGGTGGAGGGTGATCACACCCGCGTGTCCTCGAGCGCTTAGCAGCGCCACACGTAGCTGAACACGCAGTCCAAGGAGACCAAAGACCCCATTTACCGTCTACTGGGCAATCAGACAGACTGCAAGGCATGGTCTGTCTGTCTGAACCAGGGCAGTTTTCTCCTCCAAACTTGGGCGGTGGATTGTCACACTTGCGCATGCGTTCGCGCTTGCCTGGTCCACACTTGACAGAGCAGAAACTCCACATGTTCCATGAGCCCCAGTTTCCGTGCACTGAAATGATCGAGAAAAACCGGGTAAGTAAAAACAGCCGATCAAAAGGAATTGCTTTGAGTGTGCCGGGTCGGCTGCCCTGACATTGTGTATCTTTTTCCTTCGCTTTGCTCCGAGTTTAAAATGCAATGAAATATCACTGGAAAACTCATTTTGTCGGTAGACTAGCATAAAGAAAAGCATACTTCCTTAGGAAAATTATCATACCTGGACAGGACTGTGGATTACAATGAACTTTCTCGATTGCCGACCCAATCTCTTTACAATCTCTGCCGTTGTAGCGGGGACTAGGGTTGATACATTCACGTTTCCTCGTTTTGATGCCGCCGCTACATGATCTGCTGCACTCAGACCAATCTGACCATTCAGAGTAATTTCCATTGATAGCTGAAAAAAAGAAAAAAAACCCTCAGTTTTAACAAGGTTCCATGGTACACTGCCCAACGTCGAAATACTTCTGGTACTCAACAAAACGTCGTGTTGATATGTATTCTTCACTGTGTAGAATGTTCTTTGTGGCATGCATTGCAGTAGGAAAAAATGGACCAAAACAGCATCTTGCACAACTGTTAAGCCTATCACAGTTTTCGTGTCACGTCACAAAGTACCAACACGCCAGTAAACAAGTCACAGTGTTTTAAAATCGTATAACCTTTTTGGTAAAGCTCAAAAAAAAAAAAAATGGTAGAACAACTGGATACCCTTACGTCAATAGCCATTATGTTCGAAAAGAATCCAGCTTTTCTCTTCAGATATCTCTGACCGTTTCTATTTTGGTTCACTTATTTTGCGATACAGTGGTTTTTTTCTTATACTTTCCTTTGATGTTTTGCGCGAGAATTAGGCATATGGCCAGCTAAAATTGATCCCCTTGCGCATGCCCGACGTTTGACCGCTGTGTTCAAAGTGCCATAAGACTCTACTTACGACATCTCCTCACTGTACAAGGCTTTACTTCAACCTCATCTCCCTCACAAGAGTAACCACCATTACTTGGTTCAGGATTCTTACAGACACGAGTCCTCAATTGAAGTCCATCCCCGCAAGTTGCTGAGCATGCTTGCCACGCACTCCACGCTGACCAGCTGCCGTTTACTGCATTAAAAAATATTGTGACAATTCAGAAATATCACCGTAGATAAGAAAACGTGTGCAATAGTTTGTGAAACACGTATACGGCGTTTTTTCGGAGAGGTTTCAGAGCAGACTCTGCCGATGGGAAATTCTAACGCGAAGATGAGATTTACAATTGCTTTTGCACTTTCAAGCAAATAAAGTTGCTACAGTTGACTATAAACCTTGTTACCAAAAACAAAGCTATTAAAATTTATCCTTAATCTTAACTCGTGCGCTAATTGACTCGTTCAAACTTACCAGGGCATTCTCCTTGGTTACAAGACAACTTCTGTTTTGCCGGTCCCAGGCACACTTGGCCACCGTTAGCTGGGGCGGGACTGTCACAGAGTCTGCTCCTCTCTTGAAAACCTTTGCCACACGACTTTGAGCACACGGTCCAGTTGCTCCACGCGCCCCAGGCGCCATCAACTAAAAATACAAACAGGAGTTAACTTGAAAATCTGTTATTTTTCATGCAGTTATCTGAGACATCTGAGGAAAAACTGCTTTCCTCTAAGGGAGAGAAAATACAAATCGGAGAAAAATCCAAATAAAGGACGAATAACGGTAAAAAAAAATTAGAGATTTCAAGTGGTCCAAAAATGCCCTTTGTTTTGCATGGGTTTTGTTTTATCCTTGTATAAGAAGCGAGCAGCAGTTGGAGGGCATGACAAAGCGAGAGTAAAGAAAACGCTAGGCAAACTCTCCTAGTTGATATTCCGACAAACGTCTGAGATGAAAGAAAAGAGAATAAAAATGACTTCGCCGAAAGTGGGAACAAAAAAAGAACTCATCACGGCAAACCACATTTTCTTTACATTCACCACCTCGGTTTTATGACGTAAAGAAATTCGAATTCCTTTAACATAAGCCCATGGAAACAAAAAAAGTTTGTTTATTTCTTGAACCCACACTCTTGAGGTCGTTTTTCCAAAGCACTATCCTTATCAACATTAATATCATGTTCCTTGATGAAAAAATAGAACAAATGAAGAAAGAATTTATCTACCTGGACAAATCTTTTTGGTATTGCAAGGCTCGCTTTCCTGAGGCTCTCCAAGAGCGGAACAGTCCTTGCCACCATACTCAGGGATTGGATTGGTGCAGTTCCTTATTCGTGATCTCACACCGCCAGCACACGATTTAGAGCACAACGTCCAAGGGGACCAAGGACCATAGTTTCCATTCATGGGTTGAACTGTTAAGAAAGAGAACATTAAAAAAATTCATTCATTGTTTATTTTGTCGTAAAATTGATTTTGCTGCACACTTCACTTAACCTAAAAAAATGGCTTTACTTCGCTCAGAACCATTTTCACGAAAGCTAGTCAGTCAAATTTGTATTAGATAATTCAGCTTACATTCCCGTCTCCTCATAAAATCATTTAACCCTTTAATCCCTAAGGGTGACTAACATCTAAATTCTCCTTACAGGATCACCCCTGAATCACACATGAAGGTCACGAGAATATATGAAATGATCACCAACTAAAGAACATCTTAATTGTCGAACAGATTCTTCTTGTCAGAACCTTGTACAGAAATGTACAGAGAACAGTGTGGAGAATATGCATACTGATGTTAGGGTGTACAGGATTATGAGCGAAAAAGTGCATCACCGAAGAAGAATTATGCGTTCTTACCCTAAATGAAAACAATCCAAGTGAGGATAACGATAGAAGTTGCGTTTCAACACGTTTGTTTTCCATTTAAGAAAATTAATCCCGTGACATTTCAAGGAGAAGAGCTCCTAACATTTTTGCGAGAAATTGAGTTTCTTTCATCCAAATTTCACTCGATAATTGAGGTGCTCACCGTTCAAGAACGCGTAAACAAAGTTGCTTTTCTCCTGTCCAACGCACTGCGAGTTTCCACCGCGGCATCTCTCAAAGTTGTCTCCAACACAGCCGACCCACGGCTTAGGTTCGGGTCTTTGAGTGAATCTGTTCTCGACCCCGTCCTGAGAATACGTTTTAGCAGCGTTAGGTCCTGACCAGCATTCACCATAACCTTGGATACCAAAGTGAGTGTAGTTCTTCGATGCGGCCGCTTTTGCGCACCTAGAAAAAATTATGACACAATAAGATCAACATCTAAATTCTGCCTGTCAATCGCAATTTTCCGCTGTGGTGAGTGATGAATATATATAGGAAATGGTCAATTAGGGAAATTCATAGTAATGTAAAGTCATCATAACTGATTTTAAAGTGATATGTCACATTTAAGTTTGTATTCCCACAAGTCACAGTTTGGTGGGGATTTTAAGAATTCCATTAAATCTGAATGCATATTACGCCAAACACTGAAGCAGATTTTGAATTTTGTAATCTCGTCACTGTTTTACGAACCGAGCTTAAATTGTGGCCCAAGATTTCTCGACCAATAACTGGGAAAAGTAAACCAAAGCCAATACACTGTAAGTTTATATTCGACGCTAAATTGACAATTACACTATCATTGCCTACAAAAAGGAGAGACGAGTCACTAACCTACACACCAGCTCTGGCATATACGCTTCCCAATCGTCAGACTGCACGTTGATACCGCTGTACAAGGTGCTCTGAGGATCATTGTCCGTGAAAACAAGCTCAGGGAGGGGTCGGACAGACAATTTATTATCCACAAAGCAACCCAATGGCCTCATGGGTACACTACCTGCAGAAACGAATGGCAATTTATGGCACAAATTTTAAAGATGTTCTTGTTTTAATTCCTGAGATACAAGTTAAAACAGTCACGCCTCGGAACACAGGAAAAACTTACAGCATTCTCCCGCTTTACAGTCAATTGTTTGCGTGTTCTGTCCAATACAATCTCTTCCGTCTTTGGATGGAGTTGGATTATCACATGACCTCACACGCATTCTCACACCGACACCACAGGATTTAGTACAGGCAGTCCAAGATGACCACTCGCCCCAGTTTCCGTCGACTGCAGAATTGAAACAGGTGATTGAATAAAAACAATTTTTCAAGTAACCCATCAAGGTTATACCAAAATGTCATATGAACTTAGAATTTCCGCATGCTGCTTTCATGATAAGACCCCTCTCAAGTATGAGATATTAAACGAGAATATAGCAAGAAAGCATCACTTTTTCTCACATGAATCAAATACATACCTACGCTCACCCTGTCTTGAACAACGACTTCCAAGGTGCAACAGTATAGTCAAACGTTTAATTTTTGAGCCCTATTTTCCAATCGCCTTTAGAGATACGAGTGGTCTCCCACGACTAATAAGACTGACGCAGAACAGTTACTTACCAGGACAATAATCCTTCACTTGACATGATTTTCGTTCAGTATCAGGACCGAACAAGGAGCAATCTCTGCCGCCAAACTTAGGAGCTGGGTTTGAGCATGCGCGCCATCGCGTCATGATTCCCGTTCCACAAGTTTTGTCGCACACAGTCCAGTCTGTCCACTCGGTGTAATTACCATCAACTGATGGTAAGAAAAAAGGAAAAAATTGTTTATTAACAAAAACAAGTTATCTTGGAAGGTTATCCTTAATTATGACATACAGAAACTATTTTGACAAGTAGAACCATCCACTAAGAGAAAATCAGACAGACGAACACAGGGGGCGAATTTCTGAAGAAACTGTGGTGCTATGTCGGTGGGTTTTTTTTTTTTTATTTGATTATATCAACTGAGTTGATGATTTAAATTTGGCACCGTTAAGAGTTTCTAAAGCTGACGTTTCCAACGTAAGTCCTTCGTCAAAGCAAATAGAAGAATTACGGGTCTGGGAGGTTAATGCATTGAAGGATGGAGCGACACTATTAGAGGGAACACAATAAAGTGAAAACACAAGAATAAACTACTTAAATGAAAAGCGATCGTAGATACTATGTGAATTAAGGATTCCGATTTGAAACATGAATTTTTGTTCTATAGTTTTTTAGATTCCCGAATTGCCTAGATGTGGGGAAAGACCACAGACAGCCATCGGTTTAACAGCCGCGTAAGCAGAAAGACGGCGTAACAAAAAGACAGTAAAACAAGAGAAAATGTTGGCCAAAAATTCCGCTAAGGAAGAATTAAAAAACAAGTAGTGCAACAACCACAAAGGTGAATTAACGTGATTCCACGATTTCGGCTACGCTGTTTTTAAAAATTTTTAATTCCACTCAGCATTATATTTACCTGGGCAGGGTCGGTAGCTGCAGTCACCAACTTGTTTCTCGGCGCCGCGACAAGGTTCACCGCCATTTTTAGGAGGTGGACTGTTGCAAGACCGCTTCCTCTCCCTAGTCCCCGGACCACAGCTGGTTGTGCACGCTGACCACAATGACCACGGACCCCAAACACCATTTACTGAACAGAAAACGCTCGTGTCAGCAAAACAAATTGCATCAGGATAATTGTATTATAAACTTAACTCAACTTAACTTAATGCTAAACAAAAGGAAACGAAAACGACACATTTCATATATATCAATAAAATGCTCATGGTTACCGATACAGTGCCAAAAAAATTTCGGTGCGAAAAGTTTGGAAAGTGATAAAGATCATTACTACTCACCTGGACATTCTCCCAGATTGCATTTCGTGGCTTCGGTATTAGGTCCCAAGTCCCTCTCTTTACATGTGAGCCCACCATATTCTGGTTCCGGGTTGATGCATGTGCGCGTGCGTTTTTTGACTCCAGGCCCACACGTGGCTGAACAAGAGCCCCAGTTGGACCAAGCAGAGTAATTTCCATGAACTAAAAGGAAACAAAAACGATCACAAATCACTGCGGAGATTTTCATCATCGGAAAAAACCAAAGCTTATGCTACCAATTAATTCCTCCATAGCGCCTTATGAAAGAAGACAAACGCCAAGTTTGATTAAAAAAAGCATCTATTTCATCTTCTTGTTTTCGTTTTCTAAGTCTTTGCAAATAACTCTAAGTAAGTAATCATACTGCAACTTACTAGGACACTGAATAACTTGGCAGGGTCGGATATGTTCCGGATCTCCAAGGTCCGTGCAGTCCCGTCCACCATGTTGTGGTTCTGGATCTGTACAGGTTCGTTTTCTTGTTTGAATACCGTACCCACAGGTCTTGGAGCAGGCGGACCACTGAGACCAAGGACTGTACTTACCATCAACTACATAAGGCGAATGAAACACAGTTAAGAGGGAAGAAGAATTTAACTCAACGAAAGCCTCACAAAAACATAAATCTTGTCAGTCAGTCTTGCCAGTCGCCTTTGTGAGCTGTTACTCATATAATGTAATAGGCACTCACCAGGACAGTTCACATCATAACACTGGACAATCTCCTCCCCAGATCCCAAGTGTCCACAGGCGACACCACCATATGCTGGCTCAGGATTGGTGCAGAATCTCTGCCTCTTTTTGATGCCACGGCCACATGTGACCGAACATGGTGACCAGCCGTTCCATTCAGTATAACCACCATTCACTATACGGGTAACAAAAAAAAGGACTTTGTTAATTATGCAGTTCAACTAAGATTCCGACAGCTCTGGAATAAGTGATACAACAATTAGATTAACCTCATCCAAAGTTGTTATTGGTAATTCCGGTATAAAACTGAGTAATAATCTGATTTTATTTACGTATATTTGCTATAAGTATATAAGTAGAGAGTGGATAGCGTTGAAGACGCGCTCTGATTCGAAAATATTGTAATCGTTGCAGGAATAAACGAGTTACTGAAATAATCTTTTTGTGCTATATTATCTCGCTATTTCAGTATATACTAAAACAGCTATTCACCTCAGTGTCGGTGGATATTTACCGGCCGCCGACCGTTATTAATTAACGAGCATTTTACAGCTACTGCCAGATAATAAAATTCACTTTCAACTTGGACCCGAAATTCATTGTCTTTTTTATACGTGAAATTTTTCAGCTTAAATGTCCTTCACGAAACAAATTATAACTGGTGAGCGCTTTTAGGCCGTGTTTTCTCCTATTAAAATGAAAAAAAAAAAAAAAAACCGGTATGTTTACTCCTCCTCTGCGTTTAATGTTGTTCCAATACTTTTGAACTCGTGTAATGTTGTTCCAATACTTTTGAATTCGTTATTGTTGATAAATACCTGGACATGGCGTCAGATAACATTGAGTTATCTCCATACCCGGTCCAAGGGCCTGCTCAGTGCACGATTTCCCGCCAAACTGTGGCTTGGGTGACATGCACGAGCGAGTTCTGTTCTTCTTTCCGATTCCACACGTGACTGAACACGGTGACCATGGTGACCAATCACTGTATTTTCCGTCAACTGTCAAGTATACGAATAATCATTTTGTTATTAAGTTAACAAATTACTTTTCCTTAAAACAAACATGGAGTTGAGAAATTCTGCACTGCAAACCATTTTTTACAACTGGGAAAAAAGTGAAAAGGCACTCTTTTACCAGTGCAGAGATCTGCCGGTATAAAGAACGCTGAGAGCGGCAAAGTCCCTAAAGACAAAGCATTAGAAAATCTTTGTTGGCCAATTTACATTACAACTCAGTTGATAAAACCAAAGTATCTTGTATTATTCCCACCGACGCGGCAACTTTCTAGAAACTTAACCCCTTAACTCTAAGGATAAAGGATGATTTTTATTGCAGATTTTTACTTCAACTGCTAAAATAAAAGTATTCCTTTTATCTCAACAGATTCTGTTTCTCTGTGTCAGTCGTAGCCTTAAATTCACTTTATCTACTTCATCTTTACTTCAAGTACCTGAAGTAAATTATTATTATTTCCTATAATAAGGTATTTCGTAGGTTTGAATACTTACTTGGACATGGTTCTGACCGGCACAGTCGGCTCTCCTTCTTATCATTCTCACATGACATCTCCTTCTGGTATTTGGGTGGTGAGCAGTCCCTCTGGCGATGTTGCACGCCGCCTCCACACGTGAATGAACAATCACTCCATTCAGTCCACGCTCCGCACGTGCAGTTGGCTAAACGAAGAAAACAAACATGTCAGATAGTGGATTTGGAGGCACGTGCAGTGACAGCATAATTTCTTAGCAGTATGCTGCAATATAATTTTACGCTCGGTTGTATGCATTCCTGGTGAACTACAGAATAGAAGCAAATGAAATTCAACGACAGTCCTAACACATTGTTGAGGGTGTGCCTTTGCAATGTTTTTATATGTGAATAGGTATGGATATGTTTTACATATTAGTTTCCATTTAACTCCCTGGCAAAGCCAGCGGGGAACTAATGACATTGAAGTAGGTCAGAAGCATATAGCTGACGGTATCAATGTTCGTATTCATTTCTGATTAGCACAAGACACGCATTGTATATGTATGCCTCTTCCCAACATCCAACCCCCTCCATCGTCCTCACGGCTTACACGTCTGTTGGAATTACCGTCACCGAGCGCAGTAAAAAAAGTGATTTTTTAAACAAAAAGATCCATTGGAAGCCCCGTCTTTCTGTTTTGAAATGCTTCTCGTTTTTGTCCAGGGACGGGGTAGTGGGCAGTTTACAAAAGGGCTGTTATCATCTAAGTCAAGTGAAGATTTTCGGTAAAACAAATGTGTCGAATTGTAGTGTGCTCAAAGAAGCGAGCGACTCAAAGGTGTTCGTTACCTCGGCAGTCCACCAGCTGACAGCTTGTTTTCTCGTGATCCGGTCCCAGCCAAGCGCAGTCTTTTCCGCCCACTGTAGGATGAGGATTGGTACAGAACCTCTTCCTGGTCATGATGCCTTGACCACAAGTCACCGAACACGGCGTCCATAGAGTCCATTCACTGTAATTACCGTTAACTGCAGAAAGAAAGTTTCAAATCCGTTAGCTAAGATCGCTGGATAGTTTTAGAAGTTGTAGAAGCTCTAGCTCTTACCGGGACATGCGTTCAAGTTGCACAGCTCAGTCTCTTTCTCGGGTCCAAGGGGGGTGCAGTCCGAGCCACCAAACTGAGGAGGGGGGTTAGTACATGACCGAGACCTGACCCGACTACCACCCCCACATGTTCGATCGCATTCACTCCACAAGCTCCATGTTCCATACATGCCATTGACTGCAAGAAGACAAAGATGAAAATTTTGAGTTTTAATGAAACAGAAGGTCACCAAAAGATGACGCGTGTTACAATTTAAGGAAAATAAGTATAAGAATTAGACACATACCTGGGCAGGGCTCACTGTGACAGCTGTCACTCTCCATAGCTGGTCCAATCAGAGAGCAGTCTCTCCCTCCGTGCATGGGAGTTGGATTAGTGCAGTTTCTATGCCTGTATTTCACACCGCCACCACAAGACATCGAACACGTGGTCCATGCTGACCAATCGTTATAACTTCCGTCCACTTAAAGAGGAAAAAAATTAGCAATGGTTCAACTTTATTGAAAACTGATAAATCAAAGCGATTAAGAAAACCGAAGGCATGGCTACTTACGCGGACACGATCTCTCAAAACAGTGGCTGCGTTCTTCGCTAGGCCCCAGTCCTAACTCATAGCAATCTTTGCCGCCATTGGAGGGAACAGGATTGTTGCATGCTCTGATTCTCTTTTTGAACCCGCGTCCGCACGTCTTACTGCACACACTCCAACTGGACCAACCACTGTAAGCGCCGTTTACTGAAAGAGTTCGAATTTATCAATGAGCTAATAGAATCAGGTAAGTCTCTGTCCAGAAGTGACTTCCATAGTCGTCGTAAGCCTAAGCAAGTAGAAAGTTTCTGTGGCTAGAGGTGACATGAGATTTGCTTCTTTTCATGAATGGGATGTGAGTCCATCAAAGGTTACTTTCAAGCAGTCTAGCAACATTTGCTAGATGTTCATCAGTGCATGTAAGCCCCCTTGATCCTGAGTTAACAGAATGTTGGTGAGTAAAAACATGTGTGGAAGATGTGAAGAGAAATTGTCCTTAGAGAAAATTAGCTGTTTTTAAGACTCTTCGACGCAGTCTCCTTCGCTCCTGTAGTTTACTCTCGTCACGCCAGCTTACACTTGCGTTACGGGTAAGATAACGCGTTGCGTGACCAGACTAAACAACAGCTGCGAAGAAAAGTACTCAGACAAGGCTCTACTATAAAAGAGTATTAGATAGTATTCGTAACAAGCTAATGCCGCTATTCAGATGGTGTTCGGTAACAAACCTACGTCGTTATTCAGCAGTCAAGCCAAAATTGTTTATTTACCCAAACAGTCCTGTTGTTTGCAAGGTTGGATCTCAATATTGGGTCCTATATCAGAGCAGTCTCTACCACCGTGGAGCGGAGATGGGTTGGTACAGGAGCGAGTCCGTGTTGTGGTTCCCTCGCCACAGGTCGCGGAGCAAGCGGTCCAGTTGGACCAATGCGTGTAGTTACCGTCAACTGCGAAGGAAAAAAAAGCCAGTTGGTGTTTTCATTATTTAGCATACTACTATATCCATTGAAAGGTGAAACAAGCATAAACTATTTGAAGCTTAAACTATTTGAAATCGCTTGCTATGGAATAAAATAGTTCATTAAACAATAATTACTAACTCAGAAGATAGGACAATATTAGCCAAGAGGTTTTGCAAAACAGGAAGATGAAAAAGGACCCAAGAACGAATGGAGACAAAAACTACGTGGCTAATGCGAGCACTGTTTAGAGAGAATGTCACATAGGAACTTATAGTATGAACTGGATCTTGGCACGACCCTCTAACAAATTAGTCATAGAGCTTCCATAAACTGAGCGGAGAACAGTCGTTCGCGAGGATTAAAATATTTATGTTGTTCCGCGCTCGTGACAAAACAAACTCAAATTGTTTTTAAAAAGGGAACGCTTTATTTGACATCAGCTCTCAAATAACTTGTAACATTATTGTACCTGGACAGTCCACAAGATAACACTGAGTACTCTGCACAGGTCGACCCAGTCTTGAGCAGTCGAATCCACCACTCGACGGAGGAGGATTAGTGCACATTCGACTACGAACCATGAATCCAGGCCCACAGGAATGTGAACAAGTCGACCATTCACCCCATTCGGAATAATTGCCATTAACTGACGAGGAAAATATCGACGAAGATTTACAATCACATATCTGAAGGAGCCCCACTTAAGACCAAACCTAATTCCCGTTTGCATTGGACGTCACTGCAATAGAGCGCTTTTCGACTGAGCAAGGAAATATCACGAGGAGCCAATGAGAAGTCGAAGGCAATATGCCTAAAGCGCAGAAAACGCGAGTACCCAAGTCGCAATTGGTTTTAGTTTTGAGTCTGATGGTTGAGAAAAGTTGCATAATTTGTCTGGATCTATAACGGACCGAAGTAAAGCAATAACAAAGCAATCCACGATTACCTTCAACTCTCAATTGAGAGTTGCGTTATGCGCCGAGCGAAAAACAACTCGCGCTTGCTTTTCAACCAATAAAAAATATAATAAATATCATTGGAGATTTAGTAAATCCCGTTTTCCCGCCCTTAGTGCAGATAATCTGCGCTCTCTCATTGGCTCTTTTTGCAGATGTCTTTCGCAGTGATTAGCAACTAGATTTGTGACCCCAAGTGGAGACTGCTCTAACGTTGAAAGCAAGAAATTAAGAAAAAGAGTACAATTTTCTGAATTGTTCAGTTTATACCAACCTCCGCATTGCCGCATGTAGCAATGTTTGGCTTCATTTGGCAGACCCAGGCCCTGCTCTTCACATGACTTCCCGCCAAACTGAGGCATCGGGTTAGTGCATGTTCTGTTACGGGCCTTGACGCCGACACCACATGTAGTAGAACATGACGTCCATTCTGACCAGTCAGTATAGTTACCATTTACTGCAGAGGAAACATAGATTATCAGTCATCATAAACGAACTCGCATTTAGGCGGAATTATTAATTCCTTCAAAATGGAGAGTGACCAAAAGACAACTTCTCCCAACAATTTCAATACATTTTCAACCAGAAGGTTAATGAGAAGAACGAAAACATCAACCAGGGGATGCAGTTTTAAATTATTGAGAGGACTCTGTTACTCATTTACTTCACCATGTTTGTTACGGTACGGAACACTCGGAACACTCGGTGAAAAAGATCGTACAAAGAAAAACAACAAAGAAATCTGGAAAAGGGGTAAATTTCTTAAGAAACTGTGGTGCTGCGTCGTGGGAGAGTATTATATTATCAACTAAGTTGATAACGTAAATTGGCCACCGTTACAAGTTTCAAGGCTGACACTTCGAGCGTTTACCCTTCGAACAAAGAAATCTGACGACTATCCTGGCTGTTCACCCGTACTAACTCTGCCGTAGCATAGCTGTATTTCGGTCAGTGATTAGAAAATAAAAAAAGGTTACCTGGACAGTGTCGACTGTTGCAAAGCCTCGATTGTACTTTTTCTCCCAAACAGAACAGTTCTCCTTTTGGGTGAATACAGACTCGCTTCCTGAACTGGATACCAGACCCACACGTCCGTGTACAGTCGTTCCAGTTGCTCCAGTTGGTCCAATTTCCGCTTGCTAATCATGTGACAGAACGGAAGCACATTGATATATGCGTCAGAAATAGGCTCATTATCATGGAAATAGAGGATGCGTATCGAATAACGTGCGTACAACTTTCATAAAACACCAGATTCTACGAGCTAGTTAACAAGGAAATTTACAGGAGTTAAAGGAGAGAACTCGTGACTTTGTCTGTGGAGTTAATCGGTTACTGTTGAATGGTACTCACCTGGACATTCAGCCAACAAACAAGAGCGCTGTTCAAACGCTGGTCCCAGGTTTGTACAATCCTTTCCGCCCGCGGAAGGGCTGGGGTTGGAGCACGTTCTATGTCTAGATGTCACACCAGGACCACAGGTTCGACTGCAAGCGGTCCACTCGGAAAAGTCTGAGTAACCTCCATCGACTACAAGAAGGTAACAAGGTCCAGTTTAGTAAATACTAAAAGAAACTTTAAGGTTTAGATGCACCAGGGGACAGGTCGCTGCAAAATCTCTCTGATTCAAATCTCCCCGTCTGTATATGTATGTCTTCTGAAACAAGTCACAGCGATCAATCTCACAAATTCAAACCATTCTGAATTTGGGCGACTTGTTTTCAAGCGACAATATGCTGTCGTAGGATGGAAGATTATCCATAAAAAACGAAGTAAACTGTCAATGCACACGTCGCAGGGACCAAACACAGCGACTTTTCTGCTGTTAGGTCTCTCAGACTTCAAGCGTTTAGCAGAAAAATCCGGTAGCTGGAATATCTCTTGAACCAGCCTGCTGGCCGACTTTTCTTGTTTTCAAATAAAGAGCCATCCTATCAATTTTTTTAAGTGCAAGCTGATTATATTTGGCAGTTCACACGCGCAGTCAAAGGAGCGTTCGAACAATTTGCAATCTTCCAAAATGTAGCCTGAACTGTTTTATAATTTTTTTGCATTTTTCTCCATCCTCTTCCACCATTGTTCTTTCTTTGGTCATTGATACATCAAGACTATTTTAATTTCAACTTGTCATGTTTACATTTTTTGTGTTATCCCTCAACTTAGCAGGTTTTTGTTTCTATTTTGTTTTGTTTTGGATGGTTTTTTTTATTTAGTGGGGGCGTAAAATGATGACGAGAAATTAAAGGCAACACGAACTTATCTCAAGCGACCTCAAAGACGAAAACGATTGTTTCAAGATTGAATTTTTAACATCACTTTAAGCAATGAAACCTTTCTCACCTTCACACGGACCATCATTACATGATGACACCTCTCTGTCGCTCCCGAACCACGAGCAGTCGTGTCCACCGTGGGCAGGAGGGGGATTGGTGCAGGATCGTGTCCGGTACCTGGTACCCTCCCCACAGGTTTTGTCACACTGTGACCAGCCGGTCCAATCAGTGTAACCGCCATCATCTGGTTGAAAGATGACAGAAATATTCAATCAGGAAACAGTTCTCTCATTGATAAATTAAAAACTGGGTTCATTACTTCTCACTTACGTGGACACGAAATGAGATTGCAGGCTTTAGACTCCATAGCAGGTCCCAGGCCTACTGTAGCGCAGTCACGGCCACCGTTAGTTGGGGAGGGACTGTTACAGGTTCTGTATCTCTGCGTCAGGCCTCCACCACATGTGACGTCACAATCGGACCAGTCACTCCATACTGAGTACCCACCATCCTCTGCGAACGAAATAAAATAAATTGAAGAGAATTCTAGAAGAAACAAGAACAGTGAACAAGAGAGTTGGCATTCTGTTGTTTGTTTTTTTTTTGTTCGATTATTTGTTTGTTTTTCACTCTGAGTTTGTTAATAGACATACCTGGACACAAAAGAGCATTGCATTCTCTCGTTTCCAGCGAGGGACCTAGAGAAGAACAGTCCACGCCACCCTGGGTATCCTTAGGGAAGGAACATTTTCGTGTTCTCTCCTGTGTACCTCCACCACAAGTGGCCGAGCACGAGGACCAGTGGGACCAATCTGAGTACACTCCTGTAACGGGAGCTATTGAAAAGCAAAAAAATAAACTCATTGTTATATGCACCTCTTGCGTTAACGCAACAAGTCATGCTATACGTCACACAACATGTCATATTATATGTAATGCAACAAGTCACGTCACACGTCAAGTTATAACTGTAAAGCACTTTTTACTTACCTGCAAATGTTGCCGGCATAGGAGTGGTTCCAACTGAAGAGGATTCTTGGAGTTCATCGGAACTAGGAGTCTCTGTGGCTGCACTTGTTCCTTGGGAGTATGCCTGGGTCGCGTGGCTTGTCACATGACCTTCGGTGGCTGAGGTGGCCTTCGAGATAGCATGGGTGCCATTGGTAGCCACAACTCCTCCAGTAGAAGTGAATTTAGTTGTCTTCGGTGATTCTACCGTTTCTCGACCTTCTCCTGAAAATAAAGTAGCCGTACTTTTAGCCTATGCACAAAAAGTTTAGTATCTATAAAGTGTAATTGTGATTTGAGCAAGATTTCCTTACCAAGACAATGCCCCCACATTCCATCAATGTCGTAGTTAGACGTGGTAGCACACCAAGGCCTCTTGTTTTCATCGTCTGTGCAGCCAAAATACTGGGTTCCATGATAAACGAAAGGGAAAACACAGCAGGCGCCTTTACTTGTTCCACCTTCAGTCTCCACACAACGTGCGTTCAGACCTGTGGATATAGAGCCGAGTCCTTATTGAGAAAAATAGGCGACTACCTCATAAAATTTCTGATTAACTTTATTATTATTAAGAAAAGCTAAGGATTTCATAATTATTCTCCAAACTGCGAGATTCATCACTAATATAATTTTATAACGTTATTCCTCTGCCGTGCATGCACGTTACCCATCAATACTACTTTGGATTTCAAAGCCAGGGTCTTCTCTCCAATTGGAGCAATTGATTGTCAAAAATATTCCGAAATTACGTGAGTTTTGCTCTTCTCCGCACTGTTCCAGAAGACTTGTTCCACCTTCTCAACCAATCACATGCAGAACTTAAAAACCAAGCGCAACTTGGTAACCCGCGTTTCTTTCCCGCGCTTTTCCCCCGCGATTTAAAGAATTTTTCTTTCTTTCTTTCTGATCAGCCTTCTGACTAGCTAGTATTTTTCTTTTCCAATTTATCTGACTAGCCACTGTGATGACCTTAGTTTTGGGTTTACGATACTCGATTGGAAAGTGCTCCCGTATGATTTTCATACTTACGTATGAAAATCAAAGAGGTTGTTAGATATCGTACCTTCCTCTACAGGACACTCAGGACAACATTTCCATCGTTTCTTAACCGGATTACGGCAGTTCAATTCAGGACACTCTATCAATGTACAGCGGATTTTACCATCGTCGCATTTGCATTCGGGCGTGCAGGGGCCTGGTGACCAGCGTTCGCCATGCTCATGTTGTATGCCGTCATAGTAACAATCTGAAAGGAGAGAATAAAAAACCACACAATTAACATATCGATTGAACTTTATTTGCTAAAAAAAACACACATATAAAGGCAGCACAGGATATTGTATTCCTTGGCACTGAATTCAAATTCAGCCTCAAAATGTTATTTAGTTATGTATTCATTTTTAATTTTTTGACATATGCACTTCTAAATCTATTATTTGATTTGGCAAAATATTTTTTGAGCATCAAAATGATTTGGAAGATCTTAATCAAAATATAAATTTGCTGAACCATTAATTTATTTTCCAATTTGTAGGATTCTCATGAAAATATTCTTGAGCATTTAAAGTCTTAAACTGTACACTTGGATTCCAATTTGTTACTTACTTGCTTTATGCAGTGGCCCAAATTGCTGTGTTACGTTAACTGACAAGCAAATAAACAAAAATCAGCATCCACAAACAAGAGATCAAATGTAAAAAAAGACAAATAAACAGAGCAATAACAAAGGCCACTACTCACCAGGGGTGGGTGAGACGGTGGGTGCAGCTAAACCAACTGGAGCAGGGGTTGGAACTGCAAACAGATCATAAGTAAGAAGCTCATCAAGCTTGAAAATATGATTAATCTGCAACACCTTACCTAACCTCTTTTACAGTTTTAATGTTAGTTTAATGGTTAACAACAATAAGCCAGGTCTGGAGAGTCAGGCATTTCCTCACTCTAGTCCACTAGGGGGGCTTTCCTTCATAGATTGGGACAGGATAAGGAAAAACTCAATCATTGACACTTTATTTGGTTACAGTTTCAGTAAGTACCTTTACAGAGCCCACACTTTCTCTTGCAGTTCTTAACCAACCAATCATTATCGCATGCATGCATTGGGTAATCACTACAATCTTCATGATCTTTTGAGACACAAGCACCTGTTGAAAGAGGTCTCCTCTATAAGCTAACCAGAAATTACCCAAATAATATTTGATTTCATTTAAGCATGAGGTATTAAATATAAACAGAAAAAAAGATTAGTATTAGAGATTAGTATGCTTAAAAAGTATTAGTAACATTCAGGATGGCTTTTACATGCAAAATAATTTAGAGTATGTTGTGTTACAAAAGTGATTTTTTAATACTGAATTTCAATTATATGTGCAAGTTACTATTATTTAGATTGTTGTTATCCATTTTGTTTTTAAACCTTAGGAGTTTATTTTAACATTCTAAATAATTAAATATTTTATATTTAATTATTCGTATTAATTTAGCCTTTATTTTCCATAGTTTATGTGAAAAATGGTGAGTTTATATTTTAGTGGTAATTTGACTGATCACCAGCTTGAGAATTCTCACCTTTTGATTCACCTTTTCCTGTGGGTTCTAACCCTAAAAATTGAAACATGCATTTGAAAGGCAATCCTCTTTTGCAACCAGTTATAAAATGCCTCTTAGAATTCCACAGTTTGCAGTTGTAAAGTAAAATCCTGCAACCATTTGCCTTAAGGCCCTTTTTTTTAGGGTATGTCAACTCTTTAGCTAAAATTCATAACAATTCCTGTGGTAATCTTAGAGTTCCGGTAAGGCTATCAGAAAAAGCCCTGTATTTTGACTCTGTAACCTTATATGGTTAATCTTGTTACAGAAAATGTTGTTGTTCATTGTGGTTTTGTAGATAAATGAATGTTTAATTACTTTTCCTACCATCTAGAGTCAAGCTATCAATTGTATTAATCACGATGTTTCAACTGTTATACTGTTTGGAGCAATGTGGTCAAAGGCAAAGGTGTTGCTATTTATAACACCATGGTTTGTTATTATTGGTGTGTTTTGGCACACTGTCATTAAGGAATTTTGATCTTTGTTATTGTTTCAACCACTATTTTGTATAGCATAGTCTTAAATACTGTTCAGTGTTAGGTTTGTTAGAGGTAAAGCCATCCATTCAATTTTTTTCAGAAAAGTCAGTGTATTATTGAAAAAGTTTGTATTAGTCAAGACAAGACTTTATATTAACCATTTTAGAACCATACTAGTTTCATTAAAAGCAAATTTACAAACAGCGTTAATAAATTAGCAGATAGAGCCAGCGTTAATATTGACTGCAATGGTTCAAGAACACTCATAAATATCACAGTAAAGTTTGTTAACTAATTTCAAGATAATAGAAACAACCAGATGTTGAAGAATAAAAATTGTATGGCCAACAGGATCTGGCCAATTTTAATATATCCACCTTATCCACCAAACAGACAGCATTATGCAAATGTTAGGAAGGAATTATCCAAATAATGAAGAGTAACTTGTCTGGCACATAGTGTCATTCACCCTCAAATATGGTCAAGACTGTGAGCTTTAGAATGTATGGGTAGTCTTGAATTTTTCCCTTCTTTTTTCTTTCTTTTTACTTTTCTTCCCAAAAACCTCCCGCACAACAAGGTAAAGATTCCAATTTTCTGTTCATCATCAATTCGGAGACTGAATTCCTCTAATTTCAAGTTTTTTTCCCAAAATATAATTCTCTAATAACTTTGATGACTACAGCATTTAGGAAAAACAAAACCCCACATGTTTTTTGTTTTTGCTTTTGTTTGTTTGTTTGTTTGTTTTGTTTTGTCTTGTTTGTTTTTATTTTTTGGGGGTGTATTATACTTTGCAGAGATCATCTCTGTTACATAAAATTAATTCATGCCAGTGTATCTCCATGAAATTAGATGTATTTAGAAAAGCTATACTTAGAACTGTCGTCCTATATTGCTAAAACTGCGTGACAACCTTGCGATCTGGCATCTTGTACGTCGCTTTAAAGCTCTAAAGCCAGGATCTTCGCTTTTCAAGGTCCCTGTACACAGTGCTGTTTCACGCGCGAATACCTGTCACATTTTCTTTCAACTCCGACTCACGATCGAAGTCGCTGTCTAAAATTTAAAGCTTTCTAAATAAGATTTCAGTCTCATCAAATCCACCTACCTTCACAAAAACCGCACTTTTTCTTGCAATTCTTTCTCATCCATTCGTTTTCACAGCTTTCTATCGAAAAGCGACTGCATTCCTTATTATCCTTGCAAACAGCTGAAATTAATCATATGCCAAATAGCTTCATTTCATCGTATAGATGACTGCTATCCTTTTAATTCGTCGGTCAACCCATTATTTTTCAGGTTACTTTAAACTCCATGTCCGGGCAAATTTTCTGCGTCTGCCGCTACTTCGCCGAGGCTAAAATTTACGCGCCTTGTCCGCCATATTTGTTGTTAAACCCCAGTCCCCGCTCAAACAGATTCATAAGCATATACAAAGTGTGGCCGAAAATATCTCTAATCGTGTACTTACGTCGACAAAACTGGCATTTTCTTGGACAATTAAGTTGAACCCATTCGTCATTACACTGGTTCATGGAGTATCGCGAACATTCACTCTTGTCATTACACCAGGGTGCTGGAAATAACAAATAACGCGTCAGCAATACCTAGTATTCTTCATTCGCCTCCTTTAACCGATAAGGCCCCTGATGATCGAAGGGTGGATAACGCTATCCAGTGGATAAATCTCTATCTGGTGGATAGCACAGTAAGTTTTGCTAACACTTACTGGCTGGCTAGTAATATATATTTTTAAATAAATGAAGACCCTTACGATTGATAGAGCTTGCTTCGAAAAACAGAAAAATTCGATGAAATCACACGAGATTAAACAGCTTTAATACCAATCAGATAGCTGCAGAAGAGTCGATGTATGCGTATTTCTATTTAATCGTTAAGAAAAGGCCTTAGTTACCTTCTGGTATTTGAAGAATAGTTGTCCCATGACTCACTGTTACATTGATATGATTTTTCGCCGGACCTTTTACTTTAATCTTAGCTTTGTGTTCGTCTTCAGCTTTAATGTTTGCAGGAAGCTTGACAACTATGGTTTCCACCATGGGTACTTTGTTTGACACCTGGTCCTCCAACGCCGGTTTCCCATTTTCACCTTTAATGTTTACTAAAACAGGCTTTCGTGATGTCTCCAATGATTTTGTGACCTCAGAGGGTACTGTGACAGACAGCTCCGTGTACGGTTTCTCTGTTGCGTTATTTGATGTGTTATTTGTTGTCACTGCTTGTTGAGGTGTCGTAAATGTTGAAGTTGTTTCTGTGATACACGAAACAGTAGTTAGATCTTTCAGGAAATCCAAGAAGGTTATTGATAGACACAAGATACAATCAAATTGAACAAAGTGGCTTTTATCTGGCATGCGTACTAATAACAAGCGCGTCCCCTGCTTCTAGAGTGGCGTTTCTTTCCAGCTATGCTTTAAATCGCGTTTCTGACAGCAATGTATGTTACTATGGGCAACGCGCGCCAGGGATGACTTTGTGCGAGTTTAATTTGAGTGTGTGATGAGAAAACATTGAGGATTTATGGTCGTTCACCGACAACAAAGTTCAGTTTTATTTTCTCTTCCATGGATATGACTTTACCAAGTACAAAGATTCAAAAATTTAAGCAGTGCTCACCATTGCCGCATATTTTGCATTTCTTGGGGCAGTTAACTTTCAACCACGCCTCGTTACAACTGGCCTCTGTATATTTACCACACACAGGGTCGTCATTACACCAAGTTTCTATGGGAACAAGTGATATATACGTTAACAGAACCTCAGAAAAATGTTTGATTATTTTTGGACCTGTGATCACTGAAGAGTATTTTGCCCCCTACTCTAAGGCAAGAGAATACCAGTTGACATTCTCTTGTCTAAAGTTAACATCACTGGATTAAAGTGGGCATTATCTACGATGACAGCTTAAAGTTCTTAAATCATTAACAGTGCATAAATTTTCGTAAGTTTCTAAAAACTGGCGATGATTTCCAAGAAAGAGAAATGAAGTGGTAGTTGCATCGATTTTCACGACAACCTCACTTAAAAGGAAGATACTGTGGTCACAGAGCAATTTTTCAATCGACTGTCGCAAATAATCTGGAATTGAGTTGGTTTTGCTTTACTTCGCGTTGTGATCGGTCTAGAAAAAAAACTAAAACGCGCCATCTTTTTAACCAATCAGATGCAAAACTAAAACCAATCACGACTTGGTCGCCCGCGTTTCTCGTGCTTTGGTTTGGTTGGTTGGTTTGCTTTGAGTTCTCATTGGTTCTGAAAGGAATTTTTCTTTAATTGGTTTTTACGATTACTTTGATCGCTTTTGGTTTTACGACACTTGATCGAAAAATGCTCTTTTTCTCACTAGGTACTCTATTTACTCACCGTAAACGTTTGGCTCAGCTGTAGCATTCTGCTCTACGACGGCTGCAGAAAAATAAGTGCAAATTGTAATTTGAGATTGGACCAAATTGCTGTTAAGCAATAAAAAATACCACTAAGGAAAAAGTTTGTATGTTGACAATGCGCTATCCATCATAAATATTATCGGCAAACATATAGTTTTTAAACAAACACGCAACGTAAAGTTATGCAATGACCGATGAAGAGATTGCATAGACTCCTTATCATGTTTGATTTAAGTGAGATGTATGATTTATTGCACCAAAGAGTTGGCTGCATTAAAGACGAAATGAAAGTCAAAATATTCTGCGAACTCTCAAGACCGACGATGACCACTTAAGCTCGATATACGAATCTGCAAACCATATCCGTACTCGTAAATTCTTAGAGTCATGTCTCATAAGAAACTTGTTGAAACTGATTTTCTTGTTACGAAGGAAGACAAATGAGTCCCAGACCCTAAAAACTAATTGCAGGATATTCATTTTACAACAGAGCAAATTTCTCAGGCTAAAAATTTACTTGACCCTCTTCCAATAGCTCCTTTACGTAATGAACCACAAGGCATTTTCTCTTGAATTAAAACATGAATTAAATTGACAAAAAAGCTACATGAGGCGATGGCAATAAAAAAAATTATTCTGGAGTCAGAGTTAATTCATAAATGGCCTTATGGTCACATGATATAGCTAGATTTCTTCTTTAAATGGCAAAAACCCAAACAAAAAGTTTTAATACCCTCTTAGGGCAAATAATTGGTGTAGATGTTACATTTGCGACAATTAGCTGCACTGGAGAGCTTCTGTAGCTGCAATTTAACTTAGGTCGGAGTAAACAATTGTATTAAGACAATACGGTAGGTTTGTCTCGGTGAAAATGTTCGAAACTCTCAGAAATTTCCACAGTTTCCACGCACCGTCATCAAGTAACGAGCACCCGAATGAAAATCGTAAAATCGGTTAATTTTATAAACGTCTTTCTGAAAACAGTGCAAAATTATCTTAAGACGGCCTCAATCACTACAATGAATAGATTTTGCAACCTAAATCTGACCGATCAAGGTCAGAGCTTATTTTTGACTTTCATCCATCACCAGATAAAAACTTACTCTGTCCAAACACCGCTAGCAATGATGCAATAATCACTTGAAGAAATAAATTGAATTTCATGTTTTCCGCCGCTCGGGTGTCGTTGTTACCATTTTAGTTCTCACATGGCAAACAGAAAAAGCCTCCACGAGCTTTGCATTCATTAACATTAATGTTCGGATCGGCCGGTTTGTCTATCATCGCATCAACGGCCACCCGCAAATCCTCGCAAAACACTACGATTCTAACAAGGAACTCTCTATATGAGACAATTGCATGACCACAGGAATCGCCAGAGTTTACATAGTGTTTACAACTAAGCGCAGTTCAAATATACAACAAATCAAATCTGGGCGCGCTTAAAAATTTATGCTGGGCGGGGAAAATCTGTTTGTTTAGAAAAATTTTGTTTGCCTTGATGAAATTATTCGGAGAAATTTCCAAGGAGTTAGGGCGAAAATTTTGACAGTTTTATCACTTGCCGGTCACAACACCTATTGAAATGAGTCACGGTCTTTTTTGAGTATCAGACTGCTTTATGTAGGAGGAATGCTGATGATTTAGTTCCAAAAGATTTATGCTATTTTTTAAGGGAACAATTCCTCTTAAACTTCAAAGTTAGACGTTCATGATAAAAATAAATTTTGTGTTCATCAACTTTTATCAGTAACTATATTTGTGAAAAAAATTTAAGGACCTTTTTCAGACGTGCAAAGTAGATGGCTATTTAACCGGATTTTCTGTTTCTATTCTATTAAAATTGCTACTTACGAAGCTGTTGCATGGTCACAGGGACACCAGTACCCGTGTTGTGTCTAAAATCCACGGTGATATTCTGATTTGGAGTCAGCGGAGTTGCTGTGGCTGTCGCGTTGCTGATAATCTTATCCACAATTCCTCCCGCAAAAGGATTCACTACATCAGGACCGCTGGGCATGGGAGGAGCCTGCGTTGGGAGTGATTGCGCAGTACTCGGCTGCGTTAACGTCAAGTTTTGCACAGTCACGTGACTTGGAGTTTCATGCATTACAGGGACCTCAATGGGAACTGCTGGTTCTTTATCGGTTTCAAACGAAATTTTAATGTTTTGGTTTTGCTTCTCGGCTGGAGTTGCTTCCAAGCTTATCCCATTTCCTTCAGCTGTTACAGGAGATGTTTCGTTTCCAAGAAATGAAATTTTAATATTTTCCATATTACCCTCTGGTACTGGTTGTAAGGAGACCTCGTTTACACCTTGCAAAGGCTGGTTTTTCTCGATGAAAGAAATTCGTATTTTTTCTACACCGTTGCTTTCAACTGGTTGTACTGCTGAAGGAATGTCCACAACCCAGTCGGGATTCTTTTTAATTTCTAAAACTTCCATTTCTTCCACTGGCACAAGTTCACTTCCGTTCATAACGAGAAGAGGCTCTGAGGTTGGTTCCATCGTTCCCACATGAGCTGAAAGCGCTTCTTGTGGGGTCGACGAATCGTAGACACCTATTTCTGAACCCGATGTCGCACCAGCCTGTACCACCGGAAGTATGTTCTCAGACGCTACTGTCTTGTTATATACATTATATAAGGGAGAGCCATTGGTCGGTACACTGACTTCCGGGTAAATTGTCTCATTAGCTATCTCGTTCGTAGCTACGATTGGTGCATTACCTTCGTATTTTACCTTAGGGTAGGTATAATTATTACGGCCCAGAACCACCTTGGAAGTGTCCGGAACTGTAGTCGGAGCGTTCTCCCATCCCTTAAGGGGATTTACTGTCGGCTGCGCTGTTGCTCCCAAATAATTTGCAACTTTCTCTGTTTCTGGAGTTGCTTCTTCTGCAAGAAAAAAGGATGGTAAACTTCTGTCATAAGAGAAAGTGTTGGGTGAGAGTAGGACATATTTTTTTGTACTATTATGAAGCATTATTTACTTTCCACGACGTTTTGAAACTGTAAGAAGCATACAACTGTGCACAACACTCCCAGTTTTCACCATTACCTATGTACGGTGTATATACCAAACGATACGAGCTGCCCAGATGGCCAAACTCTGCACTCACCTTTTCCACAGTATCCACACAGTTTTGGACAGTTAAGGTTGATCCAGTCATACGAGTCACAGTGAGTCTTTGAGTACATTGCGCATGCGTTTTGGTCAACGCACCACGAATCTAAAAAAAGCAGATCATTTATTCACAAGTTCGATTGGACGGTAGAGGTAAAATTGGAACATGAGCCAGATGGCTGAAACTGCCGCTTCTCCTCCTAAGCTTAGTGAATGCTAGTCCATCGTAGGTTGCCCTTCCCTTACCCGCCACCCAAACTGTACAGGTTTCTCTCTAACTGGCTCTTTCAGTTTTAACTCGTGGATATGCAAAGCATTAGAACAAGTTATGTGGAGATTTGATATGCCAACGTCTTGACGGGTGGGAAAGGCAGGCATCTTATTAAAGATGGCAGACTGATTGTTAAATATGGCGGATAAATTGGGGCAGATTTGAGCGGGGATGACGGGTCAATTCTGTGTCTTGAAATCACAGAATCATTGGCTTTAAGTGCTACACATATGGATATTCTAATACGTCTGCAGAGTATATCCACGAGTTTACCATAGTGTCACTTTGATTTAAAGACACTGATGTCAGGAAACTACTTTAGAAACTGTGCGTACCACCATCTTGGATTATAAGCAACTTTAAGCTTCCCACTGTAATCTGCATGATCCCCTCGATACTTTTGCGAACCTTTGATCGATGATAACTTTAGCAACCCTATTACGTCAAAGCATCTAAAATGGCTCTTACAGGGAAGTTCAATTATTGATGTTGCAAGTAATTGTTCTTAGTTTTACATAGTTTGGTCCCTGTTTCCCATCTGCCCCACAAATCTACTTCTTTATGAAATTTTCATAATTTTAACGTTAACTTGCTCCATCAATGGCGTCTTTCTCAAGTAAGTGTATTACAGAACAAAACAGCCTAACAACTATAGCTCGGACAAAAGGTCTTAAAGCAAAAAGTTTTGATCCAAAGGCAAAGGCTATAGTTCTGACTTTCACTGTTAGCGTGACTCACTAAAAAGCGTTCTTTTCTATTCAAATTAGCTCGCTGACAATGATCGTGGAGGTTTCATGCGGACTTGGGATCTTTGCATCTTTTAGATCAAGTTTAAACTCTGATACTTTATGCAGTTTCTCTCCACATAAACATCGCATCCAGACAGAGGAAGAGGAAGCTTCTTTCCCTTGTTTATGTGTTTGCTTAGAATTACAGTTGTAAACAAGATTACTTGTTTTTGTTTTCTTTAGAGATGTGATGCTTTTCATTGACAAAATTCGAACGGTAAGCTTCGCTAGCTCTCTCTTTTACTGGTTAGGAACATGAGCAACGAACGGAAAACTGGAGAGGTAAACGCCAAAACCAAAGAAAAGAAAAATGCTAATGCAGTTTATTGATGTGTCTGGTATCTATTTCATGATAGTTCAGAAATCCTACAAAACGACCGAGAAAACTTGCCTAGCTTTACGAAAAATTTTTCTTGTTTTGTACATGGAATAACACTTGAAATAGCGCATACACAGGTGCAATTCAAACTTATCGAAGTACATTTTCATGATAATATAAATGGTCTGCTAATCGACCAAAAATTGTATCAGTTTTTCATTCAGTTGAAAGAATTATTGACATACGGCCATTTAGGAGTTATTGACCTGGCTTACTCCGTTCAGAAATTGGTCGATAGCTGACGGCTTACTTTTTAGATCGTTTGCGACGGTTTCGAAACATATATCTCACATAAACATCTACAACTAATTTATATTCATTCCACAAAGTTGATCTTTGGCTTGAAAGCAGCTTGTCTTCAGCAGGTAGTCTGTTAATTGTTGTTACGCTTAGCTGGCATAGCAACGAAAGCGTTCAAGCATATCTTACGAAACCATTTAAATGAACTGTGGCGTATGCATTATTGACAGATTTGAGCGGAAAACCACTGAATGTCTTTCCAGTAAATGAGCCTTACGATTGCAAAGGTGAATTCAAACTGAAAAAAAGATTTCGCACAGCAAATATGTTGCGAGATGAAATCGTTTATCCAGGTGGCAACATTTATTATGGTGTTACACCAGTTCTTTTTTGTCTTTCGCAAGTATCTATTCATCAAATATTTACATTTAGGCGGCAAAGAGAAAAATGCCAAAAATTTTTGAACCACTTCGAGAAGAGAATTGCTAAATTCATGAAGAACTTCTATATAAAAATTGAAAAGATTAATTCTGAATTCCATTTTGCGAGTCAATCCGTTTTAATAAGGCTTTCCGTCATTTTTTGAAAGAAAAATTTTTAATAACCGATATAGTTGATAACCGACATTATGAAGTAAGATAAATCAGATAACGTCTTCCTAAGCTTAATCCTCTCGTTCTGTTCTTTTCCTTATTCAAGTTCAGTAATCTCAAAACAGACAACGTTCTTGAAGTCACTTATCTTACTCAACGAAAAAGGTTTGACAGCGAGACAGTTTTAAAATCGATAAATTCGCGGGTATATCTATTAGGGTATGTTGATGAAACCAAATCTTCGTTTTGTAAGTAAAGTGTATTTCGTATAAAGAATGTCCTAAAAAACACTTACCTTCTGTGGCTGTGATGACTTGGACAAGATACACAAAAATACAAAAGTGTATCCGTCTGAAAATTGCCATTGCTAGTTGCTTTTTTCCTCGGCTTGTGAGTTGCCCCTTTTCCTTCTCAATCGAGAGGAGGCTATATCCTCCCAATTTCTAACCTTTTTCTGCTGACAATAAAACTATTTCTTACCAAATGGATTTGAAATAAAGTTTTTCCTACATAATAATATTGAGAAGAGATATGATGGAAAGAACATTTGATAAAACTTGTTATAGTAGTGTTGGTTGAACCACCTAACGACCCGTTTTCTTGAATGGTGCTATATTGATTTTTCGATATGTTGGGTAACCTGTCGCATCACAAGAGAGTTTAAGTCCAAAGATTAAAAAAGTATCAGGTCCGACTTGAAATTACTAACAAATTAAACTTGACATTTCGAAAATATAATCGTAGACAACAATTTTTTTTTCATTTGCTGCCTTGAATAGTCAAAATCTACCAAGTTCTACTCTTTCAAACCAATTTCAAAATCGTGAAATATTCGATCTAAGGAGTAAAAGGTTTTATTCTTGTGTTGACAGTCTTTTTGAAGGTCTAAGATAAAGTATCTATTTTCAAAAAAACCAGAAGACTTCAATTTCATTTTCGTTGCCAGAATGAAGCTAAGTTTTTCCTTGGAAATAAAGATCAGTCGACCGAAACTAAGTCGGGAATTTTTCCGGACAGACTAAATTGCTTTCTTATGAAAATGAGAAAACTAACATTTTTTTAAATTGCTATCTCTTACCTTTGAAAACAGCAAAGTAAAAATATTCCTGTTTACTCTCGTTACGTTATCAGCAAGTGGAATTTTAGCCCCATCTCGTTGTGTCCAGTGTCGACATTTCTACTCTGAAAATACGAGCCCAGCAAATAATTAATTCTTTTGTTAATAAAAATGCGAACCGCGACTGGCGCATGCGTAGTCGGAGGGCCACGTATGTAATCAAATAAGGAAGTGACTGCTTGCGCATGCACCTTGATCTCCATCAGCGACTTAACCGGTGGACCAATTAGAAAATTTGTTATCGTTACTGGTAGTGTCACGACGCTCGCAGAAACAGGAAGTCAGAATTTGACAGGTTCATATAAGACACCTAAGGAAGGGCTTCTTTCAGAACTAGACATGTAACAGTTTATGCAAGAAGACATTGTTAAACGCAGTTCAGATCTATTTCACACTTTCCCAAATCGTACAAGTAAAAATTTGAAGAGTACCTCTCCTTGAGACAGCGCGATAAAATGACTGCGTCTCTCCATTAGAGAAGTAAAAGGTGTTTGGTGAAAGTGCAAATATTCTTTTTTATCAATAAGTGTGATGGATTCGAGAATTTATATCCTGTGAAAGCTCGATACTTAAGCTGTCAAACGATAAAATATCTAGAGTTGTTCATTCCACTGGTCGTTTAGCTTGCAGTGAAACTAATCATCCATAAAAAAACACCGAATATATTGACCGAATATGGCTTATTTTACAGCAATGTAACCGTCGAATCAGACAAAGTATTTAACGGATGGCAAGATTTTTGGAGATGATTAACTTTTATTTTTTCACCTTGTTTACTCGGGTTAGCTCATTAAAAACCAAGCAAAGTGACTGGTAAAGATCAAAGATCGAGGTGATGACCGGGAATGTATTTTTATTGCTTTTTTCACCTAACAGGTAACGCATTCATTTGATGAAGAAACTCCACAATTGACTTCCATCAGTACAGTTCTCAGGTTTGAAAGATCAATTGTTTCTGATTATAACTCTCGGTAAGCTTGTAAAAGCTTCATGTTCTGTTTCTGATTATATTGTTTGTTTATGCAGACAATCATACTACATGATCGACAGGTTCATTAAAACCATTCAATATACGTATGACGACCATATTATTCAGACTACTGATACAATGAGAGTTACGAAGTCTGCTTGCTCATATGACTCACTTGTTTCTTTACGGCATGCATTGAATACTTCGGGGAAACTTTACAGAATGGAGATTAGATAATTCAGTTACTAGAGAGACTGATTTTCATCAAAACGTTTCTATTTTTTGTCTTATGACGCGTATTTACAGCAGACTTACGGTCATTTTCAAGTTGAGTGCGATTCCTGACCGGTTAACCTTGGAAATGATCGAGAGGGACTAGATTGGTCTTAGACATAAATGAGTTTAGATACCTGTTCTCCTAACCTGTCAACGCATGTCAGCTGTCAACTGAGTGGCTACAAGTAGATTTGGGACACTGTTAGCAACTGAGTCAGTTAAATTAACGTTTATTAACAAACAAAACTTTCATGGCCTTGACTCGTAATTTTCAATATTTTATCCGGAGATAATTGAGCGAGAAATCTCTTTGGAAGCTAAGCATTCTGTTTTGTTTTTCGAGAGATTGCTCGAGTCAAAACAAGAAGTGAGCGTCGTTCTTGACCTCCAAGGTTTACAAGAAAGAACTTATGGAGCTTAAAATTCAGAAACAAAGACATCTTTGGTGGAGCTCTGTTCTATGAAAAGACAACATCAGCAAAACTCAGTTATAAAACTTGGTGTAACATCAAAGATTCAAATCAGATGTCCGGAAAGTGATTGAAACTACAGGGTACGTCATGTTTTATCCCGTGTAGTATGACCCTGGGTCCGCACCATACTGCTGTTGGTATTGTTGTTCGTTTGAATAATAATTGGCTTGTCCCGCAGTATCTTGAGCCTGTGATCTGTCGTATTGCTGGTAAGCGGTGTTGTCATAGCTATTGTAAGACTGTGCGTTATAGGACGGATAATTGTTTTCAGGACTGCTCTGCTGGGAGCTGTAAGACATGTAATCTGCTTGAGGACTGCTCTGTGTGTTATAAGATGAGTAATCTGGTTGGGAATTGCTTGGTTGATCATTGTAGGGAGCCTGGTTCTGGTAATAACGCTGAGACGAGGCTGCTTGATAGCCGTATGATGCCTGATTACTTTGTCCAACTTGATTCATTACTTCTGCGATGAAAAAATACATACACTCTTCAATTAAAAATAAATATCACTTGATCAGAAACCACCTAACTAAGAAGATAAGAAAATTATTGCTATCGTTAAAAAAAAATTGCAGTTCAATTTACTGCTAGAGTAACGTACAATGGTCTTACAAAAAGATACTGTCTTTTCCTCTAAGAGATGTTTGACAGCACAAGTCGCATGTATAACGTAACCTTTTTTTTATTTTTTAAGTCCGTCCAATTCCGAATTGATTTATTCTCACGGAATATCTTTTAGAACTTGTAAAGATGGGCCGAACTCGTCCCAGTCCTTTCAGTCCCAAGATCTCATTAGTAATTCTTTTTATATTAGTGTCTGTAATGCAATTCTTATGGTGTGAATTTTGAGAATTTGTCATTGGATCAACTACTATAATCCCCTACTTGTTATTTACCCTTATTCTCATCACATATCTGCTTAATAATGCATTAACATTGTAACGAGAAATTCTGTTTTTTTTTTTTTATTTATTCATGAGAGTTACAGGGTCAAAGGGCGAACTCGTCGTGTTTGGAACGAATGGTACGCGAAAACTTGCAACAAGGCGAAGCCTCTATAGACCTTCCAAATTGCATCTATGTTTGCAATCCCTTCACACTAACTCAATCTCCGGATTCCTTCATACGCAATTCAGCTACAAACACAGAAAAAATTACATGCAGATACCAGAAGCCCATTACTTAATGGGCTTCTGCAGATACTTAAAAGTCGCGAAGGAACATTTTTGGTGCCAATCTCGAGCTTACCGTTGGTCCTGTTGAGAGTTTCGTTAGGTTTGCCAAACCAAGACTCAGTCGTTGTGATGTTATGGTTTGCGTTATATTCTGTTGTCGTCAACTGATGCACGGCTTGACCAGCTTGGCCGGGAGCATTTCCTGGAGCCTGGGTCTCTCCAGGAGTAAGTGTTGTCTGCGATATCGGGAAAGGAGAGCCGGGAGTTACACCCTCCACAGGTGGCTGGCCTGGTACCGGAGCAGGAGCAGGAGCAGGCTGTAAAGCTGGTTGTTGACCGGGCTGTGGAGTGGGCTGTTCGGGAAGTGGTAGTGCTGGTTGTTGAGAGGGCTGAGGTGATGGCTGTTGCGTTACCTGTGGTTGCGGCTGCTGAGTTACCTGTGGTGTTGGACCTGGCAGCGGGAGTGTGGCCGTCCCGGCCGCTGCACCTCCCATTCCAATGGATGGCGTCGGTTTAGCTCCTGGCTGCCCTATGACTGCGGTCTAAACACATTTTAAACATGTCTTTCATTTGATCCTTAAGTTATTGCTACAAAAAAAAATTCACTTTGAGTTCAAATCTTTTCATCTCAATGTATCGAAGGCCGGAGACAGACGGCAGTTCTTCTGTTCCAGTATTGCCATATGCATGAACATTACTTTTTAGTTTTTTCCTCCCTTTTTCCCTTCCCTTTTCTCCCTTTCCTTCTCTTCATACTCGAAAAAACGCATCGATGATCATGTCTGTTTGTTACTGCAATTGGTTTGATGAAAGATGAAATGCGCTGAATTATACTCTCAATGTCGTATATATTTACCTGGCCTGCCTGTGCCACCGACTGTGAAGCGGCTGGTTGAACACTGCTGGCCATAACAGCAACTGACTGATTGCTGGCTGGTTGTACTACACTACTAGCATTTTTCTGTGGTACCACAGGGCCTCCAACACTCGTAGAGGGAGATGGCATGACTGTTGCATTTGCAGTCGCAACAGCTATCGTACCCGTGGCTTGTGGCTGAATCGACTTAGTGGGTAACGGCTGAACAGTTTTATTAGCGGCAGAAGGAGATGCATTTACTGATGCAGCCGGCATTATCGCGGTTTTTGAAGGTTGTGCACTGGCTGGAATGACTGTTGCAGCTGCACCTGAGGGTGTGATCACACTGGACTCCGGGATTGCAGGACTAGCATTTGACCCGCTTGCACTCTCGTTCGAGACACTGTTAGCCACGTTGTTTGCTATGCTAGATATAAGATCATCTGTGCTTTTGTATTGTTGTTGAGCCTCTCCTCTGTGATCTTTGAATCGTAATGTCTTAGGTGTATCACCGTCATCTGAATGAAGTGAGACGAGAGATTGATGATAGAAGTGTCCCGTGGAAAGATTTCAAATTCGTCTTAAAAACACCGTAAAAGTGAAGCTGTGACCAAATATTCTCTAAATAAAGTAGTAAAGAGCTTAAATGGCTGAAAAATAAGTTATAGACGCCATTTTCTCTGATATCAGGAGAATTAAAAGCAAAGAAATTTTAAGAAATCATGACTCTCATGATATTGTTTTAGGCTTCTCTCTTACAGAACGAAAGATGAAAGAGAGGCCCGTTCCTATCACATGCGCTATTGAACCCTATCATACAAATTATTTTGCAGCGAAAAGGGGCAACCGGCAATCCCTTAATAATTGAACTGAGAAGTATCTATCATCTTGAAAATTAGATGAGAGCAAATTGGCTATTTTACCTTACCGATCGCTAGCTAAGCCGATTTCACAACCCAACATTCTACGGAGCAAATATCGAAGAAAAATGCTTTTGATGTGCATTACCTATACACTCTCCCCAGACTCCATCCCGGTCAAAATTAGTAGAGATTGAGCACCATGGCTTGTTGTGATCCAAGTAAGTACAAGTGTAATGCTTGACGCCGTTATACTCGAAAGGAAACACACAGCAACCACCATTACCGTTGCCATTCCTACTCCACACGCCACAAGTGGTCCCTTAAAACCGGAACACGGCAATTTAAGAACAAAGGAAACATGGAAAACAATGTTACTCATTCTTTGGACGAGATGAAACTGAGAAATCCTCCAAATATGATGTTCTCGCTCCTTAAACAAGGAGTTTGTAGATCAGCATTTTAGAATGTATAAAAGCTATAAAACTGAATGAATGACAGGAAACGTGATTAAGACAGTCTAAGAGTTGTATCGAGAAACAGTCCGATCGATTTTCTAGATTTCAGCGAGTCTAGTTCATTTTCAGGAGCAGGAAACGTTCTCAATCAGAGCTCTGACCTTCTTTTAAGATATGACGGTACAGACTCAATTGCTGAGAAAATTGTAATCTGTGCTAAAGTGGAATTTTGATCTTACCGTTATCCATTAAAGGTAAGCACTCTGCGCAGCATTTCCACTTTTTCTTGATGGGCTTGTCACAGTTTAAATCCGGGCATTCTATTTTAGAGCACTTTACATGACCATGTGAGCATCGACATTCTGGAATACAGGGACCTGGGGACCAGGCATCGCCATGATGTCGGACAACACCATCGTATACACAACCTAAGACAAGGAAAACACAACTTTGATAATCCACACTTTTTAGGAAGGTGTTTTGAATATGAAAGGTCTTCATTTTTGACACAAGTTTTGGCATATGTGTTCGTTGTGGTAGCCTAATAAAACTTTTGTCCCGTTGGTTTTTTTCGAACACATTGTAGATAAGCATTGCATACGATTTATTGAAAAGAGATATGTAAGAATTGGAAGTTAGAGAATGATCGTTCTTTAAGAGTTCATGAAAATTATTAAAGTTTTTTATTTTCTAGTTATCGATCTATTTTGGCGAGCATACTGATGAAAATAATATTATCGAAAAAGTCATTACTTTGCATTTATGACAACATACAAACATCAAACAAATTACACTTCGATTTAAGACAAACATCTTAGGAACCTATAATTACTACAGGAAGTGAAAAAAAAATGACGATTAGAATAGGATAAAAATCACGTCTTTTTACCTTTATTGTGCGTGGCAACATTCGCTGGCAGTTTGATGGTTATGAAAGTCGATTTGCTTTCCTGCGAAGAATCTGTTGTCACAAAATTGATCAGAAATAAACAATTGGCGTTACAACAGGTTAACCAACATGAAATACTACGCTTTAGCAGGTGGTAAATAAAAGATGACAAAATCACAAAATTTTTTAATTCTGATAAAAAGTCTTAACGAATTTGGCACTTTTGTGTTCAATACCACTCGAGGGAAACGATCGATTACCATCGGCTAAAAAACATACAACTATAACTGATATGTTTGGTCTATGGAAACTTTGATTACATTTACTACACACACTTCAATAATCATCGTTTTCCAAATAACTCGCAACCATAAATATCCACTTCACCATTATGAGAAAAAGCTTAGATTTTGATGCACTCTTGCATCAAGTCATTACGACTAAATTAAAACGGCTTCTGAAGTCGTGCAGTATACGGGCGCGAAATGACAAGCTTCATACTTAGTAACGTTATCACGTTTAAAAGAAAGGGTCTTTATTTTCCTTGCTGTTCGTTACAAATATGTCTGAAAACTTACCATCGTTGTTTTTGAAGTGCTTTTTCCCTTGGCAAACAATTAAACAAATCAGCAGTATAAACAACTCGGGTATTTCCCGTTCGAGAAATAAAAGTCGCATTTTTTGAGACAATTTTGTCGCTGCCTTCGGTTGAGGCAGTTTCAGAGTCACGTGACCACAGCTATTTTACGGTAGCTGATTTCGTTGGTTACTTACATTATTAAACGTTCTGTGGTAGACTTCACTTGATTTTCCTTAGTATGTGTGGAGGTGCCCATGTGATGGTCACTAAAACTGTTGGGATTAATTCAATAGTCTAAAATAAGATTATAGCTGTCCTTTGTAAAGGCCTATAATCGCCTTTAATTTGAGCGTCTCAGATTTTCACGGAATAGGAATATTTTCCTGGATATATATTTAGGGAGCATTGGTTAAATAGAAACTCGAACGCTCTCCTCGTTTCCTCCCCGACCACTACAAACGATCGAGAATGTCTAAGATTCCTCACTCTACAGTTCTAGATCCTAACAATCATGGTCGTCCTAGCCAGAAAATTCATTACAATATTCCAGCACTTTTCTGAGTTTAGTTTCCTCTCCAGGGCTCCAAGCGCCTCAAAATGTTTTCAGATTATAGGGAGGATCACGTGGAAACGCCCCCCTCACACTTGATGTATGACTCAAACAATTGGAGCGTTTTTAATCGTCCGGAAAATTATTGTGATCTCTATAGAAAATTCCACAATCGTGACGTAGCAGAAGTAGAGAGGTATCCAAAATGATCTTAGCACATGTCATCTTTTAATTCCAGACCCGTCACCTTCTTTCAAGGTTAGGCTTTGAGAATGGTAACCCATCATCTCTTTCAAAACTCATCTTGATTTTTATGGCATGTGGTGAGCATTGCTACTTTCCTTGGATGGGATACAGGTGCATCACTTCCTTAGTACTTGTTAGTACTTTTTGAACAACCATGAGTGGAAAGATGTCTTGTCCTATAGGTTAGCGGGCTAGAATCGAAGGTTTGGGTTCGAGACTCGAAAGTCGCGGTAACTTAACAGGCCTGAAGCCATATTTTAGCATAATATTTTAAACCCCCATCTTGAATGGAAACAGAAAAGCTTTACATGCTCGTTAACTAACCGGAAACTTCGAGAAACGGACCCCTAGCCAGGTAATTATGTTATTTTCTAAAGGAAACAAGGTACTTTATCCTCACGGCACCACGCTCCATCCATAAGTATGGATTGGTGCTAGCAAATTGTAAGAGAAGCCTGCCACATACTACCATCCCACCCAAGGAAGTAACAACACTCCTTTCTAATCACGTCATAATATAAAGACTGGGATAAGGTCAATTGGATTGGCCATCTAACTCAAGAGCAGACTAAATCTTTTATCTAATTCAAACTCACGAGTAGAGAGAGATGCTGTGAGAGCAAGTTATCTCGCCATAGAACACAAGAAAATGACCAGGTCAGGGTTCGTCCTCTAGCTCGTCGTTGGTCTTCTGGCAACCACGCATGCTTTAAGCCCATTGGGGACAAGAGACAGTTTGGATTTTATTACCAATGAGTTTCTGGAAACTTCTTTATGGTCTGTAAGGTTTTGACACTGTGGGGACTTTGCCCTGAGAGCTTTTAATTTGTCATTCGATTCTCACTTCTCGCTTCATGTGTCATCTCACGGTCAATGACATTGTGGGCAGCAAGTCGAACTCAACTGATTTGCCTTGATTGCGTCGATAGCCCCCTATAAAGTCCCTTATCGGCCTCCAATATCATATTCCTAACAACAGTGCTTCTCCCTTGTCCCGCTATCGGCCGTTTTGAGAATAAAAAATCCTATTTAACGAAACAAAATCCCTGTACGGTTGTACATGGCTAAACGAAAATTGTAGGCGAACACAAGTCAGTTGTTTGATAAATGCAAGACGTAAGTTTTCAGATAGTGACTTTATTTATTAATGCAGCGTTTAAATGGCTAACAACTTTTCTGTTCTCTGCAACAACATTCTCCTTGAAATAGTAAATGAACATTAGGAATATCTTTAGAGATTAAATATACCTTTTTTAAATAAAAAAATGAAAGGTATGAAATAAGATACGACTGCATAGTGTTTAACTTTCTGTGATTCGTCTTTCCTCTTTCTCGCTGGTTTAGCAACCCTGGTTTGTCATCTGTTCGTAGCGATCTTCTCCATCTGTTTGGAAACGAGAAGAGTAATACTAGCTCATAGGAAGCGTCTATGTTTTACGCTTGATACCCCTTGGTAAACGATGTGTAATAAAGTGATTTCAACCTTGTCCCAAAAGGTTTTCACGATTCTTCTGAGACCCAAGGGCATTATTTTTACACTGTCAATAAAGGTTTTCCGTTCATCGCTACGGGAAAAACTAATTGCCGACCAGTTGCTATGGTGACAACATATGACGTCAGGAAAAATAGGAGATTGATGTATTTCTAAGTAATGAGTTTGCAAAAAAGTGTTTGATGTTCCTTCCGATCAAACAAGACTCGAGCACATCGTCCATTCTTTTTCTTCAAGAAAAAATATTGTTTTTTTCTTATAGAATTTTTTCAAAGCGTCGACAATTTTTAGCATCTATTTTGAATAACGTCACAGGCCCCAAATGATCGTGTTTTCCAATCTTCCATGTGAGAGAAGTCACATAAAAGGATTTTTTATCGGCAGAATCAGCTTACCGTTTCGAAAACCAGAAAAATCATTACGGTATGATTAATGTCATAGAAATAAGTTTTCAAGAACATTTTCTGCTACCTACCACATTTTTTTTAATGGTGTCCTTTTCCTTCGCTGCCGCTTTGTCCTGGTGGACACGGTTTGTCAGGGCAATAAGGATTAGGATCAAATACGACATCCTGGCTGAGATCTGTGCCACTGGACGTCACAGATACTGTTTGAGGGCCTTGGGCTACAACATTCACATTATTGGGGTCCATTTTGCCGACAACTTTCTGATGATTTCCTCCACTGTCTATTTTCAATTTGTGACCGTTTATGACTTGCTCCTCGTCTGCAATAGAAGAAGAACAAAGGGAGTAGATATCAGAGACGTCAGAGACATCAAAAAAAACCGTGTGGTTGACGGTGCAGATTTCTCCGGACATGTTCTGGCTCCAAAAGTTAGCGAGTCAATATCACCCTGAAATTGATCTTGTTGGACGTTTTAATTAAGAATATTTAAACGTTTCCTTTGCCATGCCTGGTGCGTGATTATTTAAAGTCAGTTTGAAGTCGTGAAAGATTAAGTTCGGTTCAATTCTGTTCATATACTTGCAACAATTATCTGCCGATGTTCGGAGGAAGTGCCTCCTTTCAATTAAAAAAAACCTGCCCATAAACTTTTTGTTACTTAAAAGATTTTGAAGATGCTTTTGTAAATTAGCGAGTCTATTTTTCGCTGAGGGGGGGGGGGGGGGGGGGGACGGGTAGGACGGGCAGGGGGTTGGCCATGCAAACTTTCGACGATTCTCACTATCTGTGTTAATCTTAGTTACTACTCACGCTTTGGTTTCTGGTTCGCAACAGGTAGAGAACTTTCAAGGTTTTTAATAACCTTATTGGCAATCTTGTCAATGTGATGGAGCACGTGAGTCATCGGCGTCTCAGCTCCAGGTTTCGTTACAGATTTGTCCTCCTCCTCGGGTTCATGACCCAACTGCTCGGGCTCGTGCACGTGATTTACATGTCCTTCTTCGAGTGAATCTTCCTTAGTTGGTTTTTGCTTTGGGCGTTTTTGATTTTCTTCGTCTAGTGTAAGACTCGCTTCATCGGGTAAATCTGCCTTGGTTGGTTTTTGCTTTGGGCGCGTTTGTTTTTCTTCGTCTAGTGTAAGACTCACTCCGTCATGCCCTGGTTTTTCTTCCTTCGATTGTTCTACTGGTGTCGAGGCCCCTGTGAGAGGAAGTGGTATGGGCCCTTTGAGACCTTAAATAAAAAAGAAAAGAAGTCAGGGAGGTGAGCTACTTATCAGCTTATAGCTTATCAGCAAATCATGGTTTATTAGCTTATAACTTATCAGTGTATCATGATTTATCAGGGAAACGATGAAAGCTTCGGAGACTGTTGTTTAACGATCAACTCTATACGATTATATTTCAGGAGAATTGATATCCCAACATAAATAAAGACAATGATCAGTCCCCCATGCGGCAAAAGTTAGAGATTTCTAAAGTTAAATACAACTCCACTGCGCTGAAAATAAAGGTACATGTGTCGCCTCTACCTGTTTTCACATTCACCGAGCTACACTGCGGGCATGCGCCGCTGTCCTTTATCATGGTGATGGTGTGGTCTGGTTGCTGGTCTTCAGGGTGCACATTTAGCTGGCTGGTATCCAGGGAAACCGTACCAGGCCCCTGCATTGAGACAGACACACTATGTGGACCCATGTGTCCGGACACTTTGTTGTCTTTGTGTGATTTTTGCACCTGAACATTATACACGTTCAAGTTCTGGGGATCTCCAGGGGCATCCAACAGGGGCTGGTCAGCTGTGGCTTGTTGGTAATACTGTACAACCTGATTTTTCGGTTTTTGATCGGGTGCTATAAAGATTGGGATGATGAGGTGAACATTTACAAAACTGCACATTGATTGAATTTAATCCGAGCTAGAAAAGAGCCTTGAGTGTATTATTGCTCATGATTAACAATTCATTAATAACTAAAATAAGGTCAGAATAATTTGAACAAATTCCTTTTTTACACTCAACAATCTTAAAATTTTGTAGCAACATTATAAGAGAAGCCTTAAAGGGGTAAACCGTTAGCTTTAAAGCGACAAAAATATAGTCAAATTGTCAAATTTTAACCGTTAGTTTTAGAAATAGATTATCCTTAAAATGTTTCCTTCTACAAGGTGTTATTTTCTGTCATTTTGGGTTAATAAGCCGTAAAAGGGCCAAACATTTTGAACCTCAACCGTAAAAGCCACAACCCCATTGAGACCCTCTTATTAACTAAAAGTTACCACCTGAAGTTATATGGCATTAATTGTGTCAAGGACCTCAAAGCAATTGAGTCATTTCTAAAGAAAAGATTCTTGTTGGACATTCGTAACAAGCTCGAGACAACGAAAACTCCATTTCCCAGTATGCTGTCGGACACCATTACGACTTATGAATCACATCGACTCCCCTGATATAACCTAGGTAAGCTTTGAGACCTTGTTTCGATATGAAGGTTCTGAGCCGGGCTATTCGAATTCCAGCCTGGATCAGATAAAAAACTTAGCCTGCTGAATGAAGTGTCGAACTGATTGCCAAATCAAAAAATTTCCTCCTACCCTCAAACTTTCCAGGGTTTTAAGATGAATAATCTTGCTATCTATTTTTCTCTGGTCGCTAGGAACTATAAACTTTCATCACGAGCTCAATTTGTTCCATCAATGAGATAATTTAATGACAAATATGGCTCAAATTTCATGAAATCGCTCTTTCCTGTTAACAAGGCAATTCCTTATTTTTTTCCATATATTTTGATCAAATTTTGTCATATGGATTCGCAGAGAATACGGAATGTTTTAATTAATGACTTCAGTTAAGGAATTAACTATTGTAAGCTAAATAGACGAGATGAAACGGTAAAAGTAAGATAAAACAGTTCAACAGGTAGAAGACATTCTTTTCATTAATCAGCAAGCAGTGGTGTGAGAGAGGATCGTTGGGGGGCATTATTCTCCCTTTCAATGAAATCAATTGTAAATTGAAACATGTGCGTCAGCAGCTGAAAAGAATTTCTTTGCAAATGAACGGAAACAATGAATGAGTTTAAACTTCAACATCGTCAAAATAAAATTCCCATACTTCATTTTGATCTGTCTTCTGATTTCTACGTCAGTAAACAATTGCTTATTTCATATGTCATAATGAGACGTTTAAGTGAAGTGAAAAAGCGACAGGTTTTTTCGGGAACGTTATAGTCGAAATCACATTTTGTAGCACTTTTGGAAAGGAAATCTTAGAAACATTCGACTTCCAAGTTCCTTTTTTTCCATAAGCAATTAACAAAGGCTTTTTTTTTTGTACCTGGTTTGGGTTTGTGGTGATGTCGGGGCCAACCATCTACCAAAACCACAGCCAAGAAAACCAACCAAAACTGACAATGGGACATGTTGTAATGAAAAGATCTCTATCTTCAAGTACGTATCAATGTTACCGAGTTCAGCTGTCTTTCGATTTATAAAATTCTGTTTTTGCCCCCGAACCTGTGACCCAAAACCTTTTCACGCTTGACATCATGCATTAGTTATTTCATTACTAAGATAATCGTGCTCGAATTTGAACCAATTTAATGGTGTTAAATTCTATTAGATCATCTAGTACTTTTTACAGGCATTTTTCGCTTTTAAACACTACGATTTGAGACTAGAAGTATAAAACACTTTCAGTATTATGCCTTTATGTCAAAGTTAAGAATAGACGGCTGTCAATGCTTTAAGACATTTGTAAACATATCGTCAAGGTATGTACCCGCCTTATTCAGTGAGCACCACTGCGCCACCCGATAGGTCAATTAGATGGTAATTAGCGGTTTAACTGTTTACTTCGATTCATGCAAGATACTGCGCTCTTTTTAGTTAAAAAACGCAGTCATCATTGCTTACAACGCACGTGCAAATGTAACGCTTTTCAAAATCGTTTGTGTTTCTCTAACCGTTAGATTTGGTTTGTCGATGCGTCTATCAGTTAAAAAGTGCCTGGCTAAAAGATTCTAAGAAGCGACAGGTCACATTTGTGCTTTGTTACCCTAGCAACTTGTTGATTGTCATGGGCAATAGACATTCCGTGAGTGATTGAAATAAACCCCGCGCCGTCGTTAGCGATCCATGACAGCATGTAGTTGCATGAAAACATGTCAAGAATTCTCAAGTTCATCCTTGTAAATAGCCTGTTCCTCTGCCAGCCGAGGGATGCGCAATGAGGTTAACGATACGGGAAAGAATTCCCCTGCCCAAACCTATGTCCTCTTTTTCTTGATGATGTCCCTTTGCTAAGCTGGTCACGTTGCACCTAGACTCTATTCGCTCACTACTGTCGAACCTGTATTAAGCGGTTACCCCCTCTTAAGCGGCCACTCCGTATTAAGCGGTCGGTTGTCAAAGTCCCGAATCTCTACCCCGTTAATTACTGCAGTTCTAAGTTTTATTTAGCGGTCGCCTCTATTAAGTGGCCCTGGTCACCCTTTACTGAGTCCCAACGGCCTGTTTGTATTGTCATCCACCTGTAAAGAACGATTACTTAAAGTAGAAGTATTCAAAGAAAACAAGGGAGAATATTTCAAGTTAAATTTCATGCTTGTTTATCTCCCGAAAATCAGTGTTAGTAGTATTTTGAGCGAGGTTTTCTGCATTAAGTGGTCAATCATTGTAAGAAATTGTGTTTTTTATCACTTTTTTTAAATACCCCTATAATGTGGAACCTGGAAGCGGTGAACCTGTATTAAACCAGGTGCAAGTATTTATTGCTCAAAGAAATTAATTTGCGTCCGGCCATATTGACTACAAATCAGCAACGAAGTAACAAAGTCGTTTAGCCTTAGTCTTTACCGTAGCTTCTGTTTGGTACCCAGCTAGCCTTATAAAAAAAAAAAATTATCCAAGCGTTTCTTTATTATTCCTCTCACCTCATGAAATTAAAATAAGTGAAAAAGAGCTGTTAGTTTCGTCCTACGGAAGGCTGGCTAAATCAATGGTGGCAAGAGAGACAAAACGCATACACAACTATTTTTCCAAAAAATAGATCCCATGCAGTTTAATGGTCTTCTGCCGGCAAGGGTAGAGTTAAAAAAAAAAAAAAAAAAAAAAAAAAAAAAAAAACCTCTCGCACAGTAAATAAACAGCCACAGGGCCAAAATTAGAAAATGAATACGAAAAATTTTTTATGGAAAATTTACATTAATGAAACAAATTTTGCCTTTTTAAAATTCAAGAAATGTTTTGATCACTTACCTCACCACAAAGCTAAGCCGCTTTGAGAATTCGGCAAATTTTTCTTTTTTTGCGCCATGCTGTTGTACTCACCGACCCTCTACACCCTAACATCAGTATGCATATTCTCCATAGTTTTCTCTATACATTTTCCAAGGTGCCGTGGAGGAGAATTTGATAAATAACCAAGAGCTTCTCTAGTTGGTGATCATTTCCTTTATTCTCATGACGTTTATGTGTGATTCAGGGCTGATATTGTAGGGAGACATTTTAGCTGCTAGTCACGTGATTCTTAGGGGTCAAAAGTTTAAAGAAGCATGATTCAGGATTTTGATTATATTTCTTTATTTCTGTTTTAAGAGGTATTACCAACAATTAGCAGGTTATGCAGGGAACCTATGGAATTATGTAAATAGAATAACTATAAACTACAGAATCCCATGATGATACACGTCTATTTGCCATTAAATGATCTGCTCAAATTTTGCTCTAGCAAAAATGTCTTTAAAAGACTTCAAAGTAAACTTACAATAACTCTACAAGTGAAAAACTGCCGAAACCCAAACGAAGTGGAAACAAAAACATGGTAGGAACATAACACAAAATTGTTTTATACCAAAAATTGATAATCCGTTACGGCAATACTGCAGAGGTTTTGGTGATGAAAGTGTTGTCACTGAAACTGCTGAATAATCCTTTATGACATGCAGGACATCGCAAGCAGAATTTGAAAAAAATTGAACCTTTCGAAAAATGTATCGGCGAATGTTGCATGCTCCACAAATCAACTTTCTCCTCATCTACAAGGATGTCTAATTTGCCAAAAATGAAATTGAAAAGTGAAGCTACAACGCACGAAGCTGGCTGAAGAACTCTTTAAACTTAACTTTGAACAAATTTTGAGATTCGCTTCACAACAGAAAAAAAAAGTCTCTGGTAAACAAGAGACTAAAATTAAAGTTTATAGTCCTTTTCTTTTTCTTTTTACTTCTATTTTATGTTTAAGTTTTTCTTTCAATGGATAACAGTTAGGATCTTGGGTCGGTTTTACTTCGAACAGAGTCTGCACTTGAGCCTGCAGTTGGTCTGCAGCCATGTTTCCCTGCAGCGGTCATCAGGATAAATTCTACACACGCTGTGGTCAGAGCAAGTTTGAGGTGCTGTTGAATTTGAAAGAGAGTGATTATTAATAAAATTTAAAAATTCTTAATTTTTCATGAGTTTTGAATCTTGCTTTAGAAGAACCATTAGATTGTGAGAGTACAAACAGTACACAGCAATTTCATTACCGCTGTAATAGGCAGCCGGAGCGGGGGCTGGAGGGGCTGAGACTACTGGAGCTGGCTGCGAGTAAGCTGATGCCGCAGGAGCAGCTTGTACATCCTGGGCTGGTGACTGGGTTTGAGGAACTGCCTGGTCAGCGCTGGGTGTTTTTTGAGGAGCAGCTGGAGTCTGGGTGGACGCCGCGGAATCCTTGGAGGGCGACTGCTGAGGTGCATTTTGGGATAACCCTGGCGTGCTCTGAGGGGCAGCTGGAGTCTGAGTGGAGGCTGTTGAATCCTGAGAGGGGGGCTGCTGAGGTTCCTTTTGGAATGAGCTTGAATCAAAAGCAGGGGCCTGGTCTTGAGGAGCTGTGTGATCGGCACTAGGCGCGCTCGGAGGGGCAGCTGGTGTCTGTGGTGAACTAGCAGCATTGGTCTCCATTGCATCTTTTGCATTTAACTGCTTAGGTGCATCTTTGGAAGTTTCTGAGTCTGTAGCATTTTGAGAGGTCGTTTTATCTGATGCATCCTGAGAAGTCGAAGGACTTGTCGAATTCTGCGAGGCAGACGGCTCTGATACTTTCTTGGATGTTTGTGTTGTGTTCTGGGAAGCTACCCAATCTTGGGGTTTGTCCTGTTCATCTGTGAAAGAAAAAGACAATTGTCAATCCAGGTTTATCCCTCGGTTATTTTTTAGAAGGCTCATACCTTTAGAATTCGTCTCAGACTTCTGAGCAGCACTTTCCACAACTGCTTCTCCTTTGGTAACCCTCATCCTCTCCTTATGGTTTCCTTCGATGACCTCCACGCTTGGCTTTGACGCATACTTGACTCCCTTTTCAGGAACATCAATCTCGATATTTTCAATGAGGGGTTTTGTTACATTTTGCTTTAAAACCATCATTGGTTTAACATATCCTTTGGTGGAGTTGCTTCTTGGTGGCATGATGCGGATTTCCTGGATCTGTGGGACACCATCTTTTAACTTTGGCTTGACTCTGATGGTATACTTTGCCTCGAGGGGCTTAGGTCCCGAAGCAGGAGCGACTAAGTCCGCCTGGAACTCGGAAACCTCCGGGGCATCGTCGGCACTCCCTGTTGCATCCTTGAGGCCTGTAGCTGTGGTGTTGCCGCTTTCCTCTTTTTTCAAATGAAAAGGGGAAAGTATCAAACAAAGAGGCCCATATAATAATCGACTAAGCTCAAATCCATTGAAACTTGCAAAGCCACCTAAAAGAACTACTCTATGTATTTCAATGGTTTCTGAATGGTTTCTGGCAACAATTTTTCAATTCTCCAAATTCATACTTTTTCCCGCTCTTCGAAATTAGTTTGTTGTTCGCTAAAATTGTGGCTAAAACAACTGAAATGTCCTTTTTGATAATGTTCGTTTTTATAGTCAATAGGTGTAACGAACTGATAAATCCAATAACTGAGGCGCTCTTCAAGGCTGCGTGTTGGACCAAAATCCTAACTATTGACGAAGAGACCATGAGAGTCTCAATGAGGTGATGGTTTTTACGGTTAATCAAAATTTTGGACAATTTACGTCTAACGGCTAATATCATTACATGATGGTCACCACGGTTTATTTTTTTTACGACTAATGGTTTAAAACATTTTTCAATTTTTACCCCTTATGGCTAAAATTTTTTGGACGCTTTACGACTACAGATTAACCCCATTGAGACCCTCGGCTATGGAAGAGTATTTAGTTTGCTGTCATAGAATGTGTTTCTTCTGAGTAACTTGGTTCTCATGATGACAAAAAAACAGAGCAGAATTCTGCCGCTGTTTTGCCCCCTACGCTATTAACAAAGCCTACGAATTGAAAGCCAGCTACTGGTACTTATGTCAAATCCGACACGCATGATCAGTTACTATATAAAAACTGTGGTGAAGAATGTTCTTCATGTGAAGATTTTCCACTCATATCAAAAGCTAAATTTTGAAAACACTTTTAAATTAACCTTCGCCTAACTGTTTCACAAGAATAAAGTTGCTGCTTTCATAAGACTTACACGTTTTTTTGTATGTTAAACTTCTTTCCAAATTTTCATAAAAAAAGCGATCCCAAGTCCAACATTTTTCATATTTACTGTAGAACAAGCCAGTCAAAAAATTTGAGTTTTGTTTAATAAAATAAGAACCTCATGTCAGACGGATTGGACCGGTTTTATCAACTCCAGATTCAAGTATGAAAACATTATTTAATTATGGATTTTTGACTTTTTCCGAGATCGAAGCAAGTTGGCCTTCCTAATGATTTCTGGTCATCTTTATGTTTTGGCCTCATCCAGAATCTTTTATATCACATTACTTTAGTGTTTATTCCTTTTCCGTTTTGGATCAACAAACTTACGAAGTTTAGTCTGAATTCTTGTTTTTCTTTAAGCGGTTTCCGAATCTTACCCGTTGAAATCATGTTATGTAGGCCAATTCCAAATTATTTTGACTTTAAAACTGGTAGTAACCAACCAAAGTGTCAACACTTACCTCGAGCAAATCTTTGGATATTTCTTCCCTCGGTTAGGGCTAAGCACACGAATAACAGGGCGATTTTTATCATTTTTTTTCGAGAGTAGGCTAACGTTCACTTTGTCACTAATGGATTTCCCTGCCAAAGACTGACAAGTTTGAAGATGTCAGCTCACGAAAATTTTAGGAAGGCTTTTTACTGGTGACCTTTCTGCTTAATGGGCTGGAAACATCCCTTTGTTACTTTAAAAACCTACCGTGCTGATACGTAGGTCCATCGGCATTTCAAACAAAAAACAATTATCGCATCGGATGGTGAACACGCCAGCTTTTCCATTATTATCGCTTGTAAGTAGAAACTTTAGATCTATTGCTCGAGTCCATTTCTTCCATAATGCACGTGGGGCGGTATAAATGAACATTTCGTCATACAGTTAAGAAAACCAAAGTGACGGGTTTGTACCGGGGAGTAGCCTTGGATTGTACAGGAGATTGTCAGGGTTAAAGCAGTTGTTGGTAACAGTAACTAACGTTTCGATGAATTTTAGTGGAAGTCATTGACAGAGTCAAGTGACGCTGATGATGACTTCCACTCAGGTTGCCATAACGCTTCAGCCACTGAAACTGACAATAACTGACAACGGTTTTTTCAGAACTGCTCTCCTCTGAGTGGACGATCACATTCCAACGTTGTGTTTAGTCAAGTAGGTATGACTAAATAAATACTTATAATGCGGGCGACGAGTTTTAATGCTAGCTTTTAACCGTATACGTATCTAGATCGCTTGCAAGTCGCGTTATAATGAAAACAGGAAACGAAATTTCTAATGCAAGCTGTTAAACTTTGGTTTGGCCACTAGCACTAGATTTGGGGTAACAGAAGATAATAAAATTTATAATTTTCCGAACATAAGAGCATTGGGTTTGAATAAAAGGATACTATCAGCAAATTCCCTGGAGCAACGCTAAGGGGCGTGGAGAAAGTTCCCTTTAATTTGTTCATTAACGCATTTCTTCATTCATTCAATTATCCTTTTTGTCATCTACTAGCAGGTTCATTCAAACTTACGTTCGTTTGTTAATTCAATAAATAATGTACATAAGAAAAATTACGCGCTTCTGATTGGCTGAAAACGAATGCATTCTCATATAACGCAAGTGCAAAATTATAACACGAGTAGAAATTACAAATAGCGCGCGCACGCTTTCAAAATTTCGTCTGCCTTGACTTTCTCTGTTGTTTTCTCATGTACATTGTTAAAAAGTAAAATCGTGATTTCTCTTGCAGTTTGGAGTAATAAGCACTTGTAAATTTTTCACAGGTTACAAACTGCACGTGCCTAAGGGTTCGTGTATATTTTTGTCTTAGAAAAAATTTTATAAATGTCCATTTATACTTACCTATACAAATTCTTTCCTTGTTTGGTCCACGATCATGCATTTGCTCGTTCGTAGATTCAGAAATTCTTCCGTCCCGATTTGTTCAACGATCATTTACTGCCGAGCTGAGCTCGAAACACATGTACGTTCATTTATGACGATTTTTATTTAAAGAATAAACATGCACTTCACAAGCAAAATAGAATTTAGTAATCCAAAAGATGGCATTTGTATTCATAGAATAGCTATATGTTTGATTCACGATGACCTCTCACCACTGATTCACGTCTCTGGAAGAAAACCTGTGATTTAATTAAGTAATCTAATAATTGAATATAACACCGCACCTAGACGATTTTAAAACAATACTGATGACTCGATTTCCCTAACTGTACCGAGAACAGCAAGCTGCACATTACAAATAGCCTCGTGCACAAAAGAGATCAAAGTTAGTTATACTAATTTCAAATTAAGGTCGATTCTAATCTACTGCTAAATCAGTAATGAAAACCACAAGGCAAAGCCATAAAGTGAAGTAACGCCATCAGCTGACTTGAAGCCCTAAGAGTTTTTTATCTACAGCTGCAGTCACGTCCAAAACCTGAGAGAGAAAAAATATAAAAAATCAGGTTTTCAAGAATATCCAGTTTCTTTTCGTGTTCACTTGGCTGTGGGACTCTCCCCTTTGGCATGGATATGTCATCGCTTGACATTCTTCTCCACAGACAAAAATTTTCCATTTTAACCATATGGGCTTTTACACCTTAATTGCTCCGGTATAGAGGTGACGGACCTATCGTCTCCAGCCAAGTATTGTTGCCGCTTTTTTCTCGTTTTCGTTTTGAAGCTAAAGAGCCACATCTACCCACCCTCCCCTTCCTTTGCCGTAAAAACAGGATTACGACACCCCATAAGCCTATTTTGTTGTTATGATAACAACTTAGCAGCTCGTTTAAACTTGAAGTTATTTGGTTCTTTTTAGATTGGTATGTTAACGGTAATTTAAGATCTTCATGCATAGGAGAATACCTTCATCTCTCCCCGCTTTCATTCAAAAGTAAACCAAAATGCATACCTTTTAAGTATTTAACATAGTTTGCACAAGCTCTTGCAGTTTTCTCTCAGCCACGGATCTGCACAACGATCAGCGGTGTATGGTGCACATCTGCCATCATCAGTACAAGTTTGGGCTGTGAAAAACACACAATTAAGCAAAATTATGCGCAATTCGTAACAATTCGTAACAATTCGTAACAATTCGTAACAATTCGTAACAATTCAACAATAATATTGATACAGACTAAGTAACTTACTGCTGGTATAGGCAGCAGCTTGAGCAGCTGATGTATCGGGCAGAGTAGTTGCAGCGCTGGTGGCATCGGTTTGGGTTGATGTGGTAGCAGTAGCAGCTTCAGGAGCTGCAGCGGTGGCTTGGGCTGTTGTGGCGGCTTGGACTTGGTCTGCCTGGTCAGCCGATGTTGCAGCTTGGTTTTCTAATGGAGACTGGCTCTCTGAGTTTGTTTGATCTTGGGTGGCGTTGTTTGAAGCTTCTTGTGTTACTGGGGAGGATTCAGTCTGGTTGCTTGCAGTTGCATCAGTTGCCTCTTTTTCGGGCTTTGACCCTTTAAATTTCATATTTAAACAAAAAACGATGCAACTCAGGAACTTACATCAAAAGTACATCAGTAAAAACAACATTTGTTGCCACTAAATTGATTCTTTTCTTCACATCAGCAATCAACTCAAAACAAACGTAGGGGTAAAATTGCGATCTATGGCTGATCTATAAGAGAGATAGAAGCTTTTAAAAAATACATGCTTTAGACCTCTCTACCTACAAGAACTCCTCCCTTTCCATTGTAAAAGATCATTACAGCAGATCTACACCCTCCATCCTACCTTCAGGCTCCGTCTGAGACTTCTGCACGGGATCCTCTACTATGGCCTGTCCCTTGCTCACTTGTAACATCTCTGTATGATCTCCTTCAATGACCTCCACACTTGGCTTGGAACTAAATTTGGCACCCTTTGGTGGGATGTCGATCTCAATATTCTCAATCATAGGCTTAGTTATATTTTGCTTCAGCACCATAAGTGGTTTTACGTATCCTTCGACCCCAGCCTTGTTTGGAGGCATGATGCGGATCTCTTGTGTCTGTGGCACGCCGTTAAGTAGCTTAGGCTTCACTCTGAGAGTGTATTTGGCCACAAGGGGCTTGACTCCGGGGGCTGGTGCAACCAGATCCGACTCCAGGGTGGCGTTCTCCTTAAGATCGTTCACCTCAGATGGATAAATCTCTTTGGTCTGAGTGGCTTCAGTGCGGCTCTGCGCATCCTCGGCTGCAGGAAAGGAAACCCATGTTCGAAATTAGCAAAATGTAAGACTGTGAGTAAATGAACGTTGATTTGTTAAAGGAAAAAATGTTGAGCTCGTGATCAACCAAACATCTTGACGACTTGCTTACTTTTGCAAAGGTTGCATCTCTTGGGACAATTGATCTGCCACCAGGTGTCGTTGCAGTTTGAGTATCCATAGGCACAGTCTTTGTACAAGTCATTGCAATAAACGCCGAATATGTGGGTCACTGAAATAAGATAAATAAAATATCTAATACATGCAATCTGAAATGGGAGGCTGAGTTCTTTTCTCATGGAGAGAAACCAGTGGTTCGATTTTCAAATTTGATAATAGGGGCATAACAAATGAGAAAGAGTAACACTTTTACCCATAATGCAGATTAGGGTATTTCCTGTGAGTACAGAAAATTTTCTTAATGCGAAGCCTCACTTTTTGCTGTGGTCCAGAAATTGCAGGTTTCATCTACTGATTATTGCTGTGTTTTCCTCAACACTTAGAGAACAGAGGAGTATTTTGCAACTCAAATTATATATTTCCATTTTCCAGCGTACGGAGGCCTTAATCATTCGAATATACGCAAGAAGATGAACATGGGACCACTTACATGGTGGAGCCTTTGGCATATCAGGGCACTTCTTGCAACCTTCTGGTCTCGGCTGTTTCTTGCAACACGTCCACGGGTAATCAGCGGCATTCTCAGAATCCGCCTGTTGTGGGTCTACAGTGACATCCTGAGTAAAGGACTGTCCAGTAGACGTCAGATCTAAAGTACCTGGACCAGACAAAGTAACACTTGCAGCATTAGGGCTAAAATTTCCTTGCATTTTACTCGACTTATCCGAGTTGACAAGATGAAGTTTGTGTTGTGAAGTTACCTCTTCTTCTGATAAGTGGAATGGTGACAGTGGTGAAGCATTCGGCGATTCAAGTGTTTCCTCTGTGGATGCTTTGTCTTTCAGAAGCGCTGATATGGCCAATGCGTTTGGTGATGATGTATTTTGTAATTGTGGACTAGTTTGATTTTGTGCGAGTGCTGATGATTGCGTCAAATTTTTTGATAATGAAGAATTCTCTGACAATGACGTGTTTTGTGACAGTGTTGAATTCTGTGAAAGTGGCTCTATCCATGGTTGAGACTGATTTAATGAGGTGATGTTACCTTGTGCAAGAAAAATTAGCGTCTCCAGTTAGCATTGCAACATTGAGCAAAACGATAATGAGAACAACACAACGATAAACTACTGATATCAGAGATTGATCCCCAAGGCAGTAAAACTCGTCTTGTGGTCTAAAAGAAGAAATACTACTTGGGACCAAAAAAAGAAACAGCCTAACCAACAGAGCAGACAAAAATGGTAAAAAATTTCATTTGTGGTTGAGAAACATAAAAATGTATCATGAAAGAGAGAATTAAATATGTAATATGTGAGCTTCCTATGTAGTAGGCAAAAACAGTATTTAGGTGTGTACATTTGAAAAAAAATTGTATTATAATGACTAAATCAATAGAATATCAAACTTATCCATGTCATTAGGAAATGCAACAGCTGTGCTGAACTTGATTTACCCCAAAACTAAGCAAGAGAATATCAATTAATATTCTCTTGTACTAAGTGAGCGTTACCTGTAGCAATGGTCTCGTTCGAGGTCGTATTTCCCGCAGTAAATGCTCCAGCCATGATGGTCTGGTTTGGTTGGCTCACGTTTGCCACAGATGGTACAAAGCCTGTTGTGTTAGACGCAAGTGAAACTGTTTGATTGATTACTTGGATGGTTTCATTTGCAGCTGGCTGTTGCGCGGCGACAGGTTGCTGAGCTGCAATTGGTGCAGCAGGCTGCTGAACAGCCGCAGCAGCCTGTCCTACTTGGGGAACTGCTGGGTTAGGTGCTGCAGGTGCACCAGCATTAGGCACAGCGGAGGCAACTGCGGGAGCAGGTGTTTGAGCCGCTACAGGAGCAACACCTGGTGTTGCACCTGCGGTCGGAGCAGCTGCAGATGTACCAGCAGCAGGAACAGCTGCGGGCGCAGCTGCAGAAGCGGTGGTAGAGGCAACTGCAGGGGAGATGCCGGCAGCAGGAGCAGCCACAGGCGCAGCACCAACGGCAGGGGTAGCAACAGCGGAAGCTGGAGCAGCAGCCTGTCCAGCAGGAGCGGCATCCTGGGCGCCAGGAGCTGTCTGCTGAGCCGCGTTTTGCTGATAAGGGTCGGCAGCTTTTCCCTCGTCAACGTACTGCATATGAACAGGATGCTCGTCCGGGTAAAGGAATAACCATTTCCTGTAGTTGCTCTGGTAGTCAAAAAGCTTGTAGCTGGTTGTCGGGACAACGTCGGGCTGTTTGGTTGGTGAATAGTCATTTGGATGTCTAAGGAAAACGACATCGCGTCTATCGCCATCATCTCGTTTGTCTATGTGTTTGGCAGAGTGTTTATTCTTGTGTTTCGATCCACTTATTCCATGCTTTTTGTTTCCTTTCTTGTAATACAAGACGGCAGGAAGCTTCATTAATTCAGGTCCTGTAATGGCGTCGGAATAATAAATATTTTCATTATACAATCAAGTTTTAAACAACCAGCTTTGGCACATCCTTATTAATTCTAGAAAAAAACAACAAGGTTGCCTGTAATGCATTTAAATTTACCAGGAATAAATCCATTGGTGTGGAACGCAACTGCTACCGTCATTTTGGGGGAAATATACCGTTAACTAGACGACTGAACGGCAAATAGGCCCATCAGAGTTTTCTAGCCTAAGTAGAATCATTTTGTGCGATACTAGCACTAATCGATGGACAAAGACAACTAGGTGACCCTTCTGCTGTGATAAAACAGAGTGCTATACCTTCATATTCACAGAGTCTGCACATTCTGGGGCAGTTCAGCTGAACCCATTCTGAAGCGCAATCAAGATCACTGTATTTGGAGCAGTAGGAATGGTTGACACAAAATTCACCCTTTGGGGCTGAAAGAAATTAAATAGAGATTTCATTTATTATCTGCATTTAATGGTGAAATTGGAACCAGATCTGAAGGTAACTGATCGGCAAGGTAAATAATCTTATGTGTACGATTTACCATTGTATTTCTTGCTTCCACTTTGGTGAACGGCATGTTTTGATTTCTTGATGGCTGTTCAAGGAAAAACGTAAAAGGAACGACTCAATAAATACACTGAAATAAGCAAGAGAGAGTGAATAATGTAGCGCATTAAAGAGAGGGCCTGACGCTCCACTAGCTTCCGTGGCCGGAGGTATTTTATCAGCAAGTGCCCCGCTACTTTTCCGAGAAGTTGTGTAACCTGCAATGCAAAGGCTCCACTAATAGCTTTTAAGGTCCAAGAGATGTAAAATCTTATATAGCGCACAGATTTCCTGAAATCATGATGTCCAAAAACCTAACATCTTTCTTTGTCGAATATGAAGATGTTCATCATCTTTTCGCAGTCTCTTTCTTCCATAAATGTTGTGTTTCCTTGTTGGCGAAAAGCTGTTGCATAGGCTGTTTAAGATGCGAGGTATATGCGGCATTTTATGTCTGTGTAGTCCCATTATATTTTTTTGCTGTTAGAGAGGCACGGACATTGAAACTCCATGATGGAAAAGAGGATAAAATTTTAAGGAATTTCCTTGTACGCCTCTTTTAGCTAATTCTCTCCATGTTAAACTAAATCAAAATCCTTGATTGTCTCCCCGTCATAGATTACCCAATCACCGATAAACATCGGTGCTTTGAGGACAAAGTCATGCTAATAAACCACGGCACAGTTGTGTATAAGTAAACAAACAATTCCTCTTGTGTCTCAGTACCAAAAACAATCAGCCATAATAAGAGTCCCAGCATTGAATGTTTTTTTTGGAGATGAAATTCCCTAACAGCTTGTGATCTCATTGGCAATGCGGGTGTTCTCTTCAAACGCTGATTTTCTCATAATAAACTTACAAGTGCCTGTGTTGGTTTTTGTAAAACCAACCATAAAAAAGTAATAAGGAAGGCCGACAATCCTTCCTAGAATATTGATCTAGCTTTGAAGATTATCAATTATTATATTGCTTGTTTTTGTGAATTTTCCGTCACAGAAAAATAAACCTATAAAGTGCCCTCTTTATCAGGGTATTTTTTCGCCCTCTTTGTTCTCCTAGGAATTAATCGATATTTTGGGAACCATCAATCTTTATCATCTTCTGGGGAAGAGTCGGTGGTTGCGATGAAAGTTTACCTTTTACTGGGAAATTGCCACGGAAATTCCATTTTCCTCTTAAAAGCCATGTACCGAACAGAACAATTAAATATTGCAAAGCGAAAAATCTGGAAAGTGAATAATCTGACTGCGGACTACAGAACTGATGGTAGCGAAATTAAGATGAACTGCACTGATTGCTTTCATTTTGATAAAGACAGAAGTATTTCAGCGATTTCCAAACATCCATATTCGCCTGTTTGAGTCAACTGTAAGGCAACTTTGCTTCTGCGTTTTCCAAATCTTCCAGGCTGAGCTGGTTATGCAGTGTTTGTCACTGACAGATTGACCTGTAAAGCTACGTTAATTTAATCTTCAAAGTTTTTCAATTTCAAGTATTGTTCAGCCATCCAGTTTAAGCGCATCTTAAAAAACCCTAAAAGTAATAGGGTATTCCTCGACCTAAGATGAATTCCTACATTTAAACCTACGGTTTTATGTTTTTTTAAAATCTCACTTGAGACAGGTGTCGCCGCATTACTTGTATGTAAACTTCAGCTGGTGTTGTTCCAGCTGAAAATGGCCAAACTGTTCATCATAAATAATTCACAGTGATCGGAGCACCACTATTTCGTCAGGAGAACAATAAAATCATAGTACTTAGTGGCGAAATCATTTGTGAAACCTTTCGGTTCACTGAAGCTTTGCGTTTCAATCTTGTTGGCATTGAAGCTTTCAACCAGCATTTATCCCTGTTTATTTGTCATTTGAATTATCTTTCATATGCCATTATTCAAAGCTGGTAAAGATCACGGCCAGAATGAAAACAATAAGTCAATAGATCGATTAATTGAATTAGGAGTATATCAAACCAGGCTGTTTCAGTGGATAAATCTCGTATTTACCTTTAGCCTCCAAGAGTCCATGCTGTACAGCACAAAAGAATAATATGAACAGTGCCTTTACGCCATATCTTGTCGCCGTCAACTTCATCGTTTTCTTTATCTGACAAAGGAGAGCAGGTTATAGACCGGTTGTTAAGATCGAGTCTGTTAATAAGATGAACTCCTATATGCATGCAATTTGTCGTGATTATTCTAAAATGCTGTAAAAAAAATAGATTTTTACATCAGCTTGAACATGGTTCTATGGAACGAACAGAGATAATGTAAAAGGTATTTGTTATATACACTAGAGAAGCACAACTCATTATCTAACAGTAATAGTAATCTGCTGAGCAAATAACAGCGTAAATTGATATAAATTGCGTCTAATGACGGCGATAATGGTAAGAATTTTTCATTTCTCAGTCTCAAGATATGCAGTCAGAAATAAGTCAACTTCATAAGCGTGAGAGAAATGGATCGATTAAATAGTAATAACTTGTTCAACAGAGAAAAGTTGTGTCCAATTAATTGATTTTTCTGTCAATGTTCCTGGAGCTCAGTTCGTATATCTAGACAATCAAACAATTTACTCGATAAACAAGCTTTTCATGAACATACTCTTACCTGATAATTTTATGGTTATGAAGGAGACATAAAGGAAAACACGAACGGTCCCTCGGAAAGGTTGTTTTGAATTTCAAAAATATGATAAAATTTAAAACAATAATTTGGCAGCTCTTTCAATTGAGAAAAAATATGATCCCATAATTCTCAGCGAGTCACGTGCTTGTCTGTCCGAGAGGAACATTGATCCTCCAGGAGCTGAGTACGAGTTAATGGTCGCACCCGTTTTGTTCAGAGGAACATAGTTAATCTGAATTTTGCAGATTGCGATGTTGGAAGATAAATGTTCACAGTGATCGTACCAAACAAAACAGCGCGTGTGTAATGCTGGGGGTATCTTTTGACAATTAATTTAATTTCTTTTAACCGGCTAAGGATACGATTCGGTTTGGAAACCAAACTGATAAATTCGAATTTGGAACAGCCCAACTTCATAAGGTACGGTTAATGATGGGAACGGTGAACTTCAATACCCGTTCTGGCTGTACCCAAAACACCTTTAATAGAACTGCTTCAAAAACACTTTACGAATATGGTTTGAGACGGAAGGTAGTCCTGTCAACAAGCGGCTCCAAAGGTATGTGTCGAATCTTGCAGTTGAGCAGCAGTTAGAGCCATATAAAGAAAATAAAGCCCTAGAAAGCATTCAGATTTTGACGAGTTCAAACCAGTGTCCCTTTAGATAAAGACTGAGACCTGGAACTGAGCTACGAAGCCTCGTGATAGGAGCGAGGCTCATCTCAATCCCCACAGTATCAACAAACGCTTATTCTTGTGTTTTGTGTTTTTTTTTTCTTGTGCTTTATTTTTACCATGCTCCCACCAAAAGCGTAGCTCTATCCTTTAGTACATAAACCACACACAATCCAAATTCCTCGATTCGGTCTGAATGCAGAAATACAGTTTTTCAGAAACTTACCCCCTTTAATCTCAGTGGATTCATTTCTTTTGAAAAATTATTAAAATAAGTCATATTTCGGTATTAATAAGTGGCGGACTGAAATTCAGAATCTAGGGGACTCCCACTAGTCTTCGAGTTAGTTCAGAACTTCAGATCTCAGATTAATAAAAAGGAAAAGAAAAAAGATAAGAAATGCAGGTGGCGACATTTAACTCAGAATGAGGATTCGAGTCGCAGGGAAGAATCAGATAGTCATACTTCATTACAGAAAAAGATTTATTGCGCAAATTAAAGACTTTTAAGGTAGTACATAATTTCAAAAGTAAATGTATTTATTTAAAATACAATAAACTGATCATGCGAGGGAAGTCGACATAATACCAATCTGAAAGCGTTGATCTTCCTTGTGAGTAAACACTGTTAAAAGCTACTGACCTACTTCACCTGCACGTGAGCTGATAAGTAAAGTCCAGGGAAAAAAACTACTCTGAAGTTTAATAATTATTTAGTATTTCTACATTATACATTCTGATGAAATAACGTTCACATAAGCGAAATGAAGCAAAAGTCCTCATTTTTCAATCGTAAATTGTTATGAATATTGATTTTAATTTTTTAGCTTCTTCGGTTTCGTGGTTTTAATCTTTGGCTTGTCTTGCTTCACTACTTTATCAATTTTTTTGGCCTTCTTCACTACTTTATCACTGCTGACTTTTTTCGCCGTCTTCTTGACCTCAACTTTCGGTTTTGCATCCTCCACCTTCTTGGCTTGTTTCTTGCTCTTGACAATTTTAACATGCATCGCTTTCAGAGGAGCGTCCTTGAATTTGATTGGCTGATGGACCATCTTGGCGACCACGGGCTCACCACGTGGATCTGTGTCAAGTCTGATTGGTTCTTCAGGTTTGTCCTCAGTGTTGGCCACGCCTGATGCATTGTCGTCATGATCATTATCATCTTCGTTTTCGTCATCAGAGCTTCCTTCCCCGCTCACATCTTGGTCCTTGACAAAATCGTAAAATACCAAAGAAAACTGCTATTAATACCATTATCGGAGGATCTTGATTGGGTCACAGCAACGTTTACCTGACTTTGACGAGGGCTTTTTGAGTTCACGATCTATTTCCTTTATACCCGTGAATTTAATGCTTGATTCATGAGTGAAAATATTTGTGATAATATTGATAATATTAAAGCGTTAAAGTAAAAGGGGACATAACCGTGTTTGTATAGCAACACTTCTTTCCGAAAAACACTTTCTGGCACATAAAAATAAAAAAATAGTAATAAGCTAAACCAGTTGTACTAATGTATTTGCTTACAGTAGCATCTTCATCATCAGCATTGTCATTATCATCATTGACGTCATCATCGTCACTGTTTTTCTCGCTGGCGTCATTATCACTTCGGGTCTGTGTCGGTTTGAGCTTGGCAATAACAGGTTTGTCGTTCTTCTTCTCGAGTGTCTCGACTTTCGCTGCCACTTGCTTCACAGCATTTTTAACTTTCTTGGTCATTTTCTTAAGGACTTTTTGCAGTTGTTTCACACTGCCTATCTGTTTCGTCTCAATCTTCTCTACCTTCTGCGTGGTCTTATCTTGCTTCTTTATGGTGTCACTGAAATGTCTCTTTTTGCCAATGGTGATGTGGGCGTTGCCTTGACGTTCTAAAGAGAAAAGGAAAAGTTTACTTTCATATCATAGAACTAATTATTTTTTTTAGCCTTCATTATTCAGTGGTAAGCCAAAATTATTATTCTCCTTTACAAGTATTATAAAAGGGTTAAACTCTCTATCATCCTTACAGAATTTTTATTAAGACATTGGTCCTTGACGCCTTTACATTGTGCAAGAATGAATTGACGTGATGTAACACGATGTTATTTTCGGTTGAACTAGAAAATTCTTGTAAATAAGAATTATATCAACTCGTTTTAAGTACGGGCGTGTGAGGTTTCCTCTCTCGTGTGTTTCACTACTAAAAAGGGGGAAATAAGCTTGCACCAACGTTCTGTCAGTCAACTTTGACAAAAGAAATATAACCTACAAATCGTAATCTTCGTTCATTTTCTCTTGCTTGGTTTAATTTTATATTCTACTCACCATAACCACATGTTCCACATTTGGATTTACACGTCTCCCTGACCCAATGCACCATGCAAGCAGATGCGGCAAACTTCTTACAGACATCTAAGTCTTGGCAGCCAATGAAAACTCCATAAGGAACTAAACAGGCCATACAAATCAGAAATTTCAAGTTAAAATTTCAATAAAAGGATATAATACAGTGTTCGGTTGTTCTTAAGGCTCTTAAAATTACGAGATTTGCAAATCTGAGCGTCCATCTTCTTGCTCAAACACTCATTGAAGTTTTAGTCAAAAACAAATGGACAGCTATCAAGAATAAAATTCGTCGTTCGCGACTTTCATACATAAAACAGCTATTACTGCAAATGTGTTGAAACACTGACGCACCGAAGTATCAGACGATTATCGAGCAATAACACCATTAAAGCACTTAAACTGTTGCTAGGAAATCAAACCCTATTCCCCAATTCTTATTCAGATCCTTCTTTCGGAGGATGAGAATGAGAGAGTTCCTGGGGAACAGGTGGCTACGCAGCTTCCTTGGCCTGGGACGAGTACTCTGCTGAGGAACCGCCGTTTTTAAGAGAGAGTGACATGAGAACGTCTCTCCTTTTCTCATGCGTTACCGAATTTTCAATGCTCTATTTTCCGCTTGTATAATTAATTTCTTAGCCTTCTTCTCACCTTTACATAAATCACAGCTTTTTCTGCAATACCTCTGGGTATAAACATCTCTACATTGTCCGGTCTGGGCGTAATTCTTGCAGTAAGGCTTGTAGTCTTCACATGGGAACAATTTCTCTACAAAAAAAATCATTTAGAGTTGACAAATGAATTTTCTTCTATAAAAAAAAATTCATTTGCGTCGAAAGTAATCCTAGATTGCTTTAGATTTGCTTTTCTTCACTCTATGATTAGTCCAGAAATCTTGCGCCACTTTATCAACCAATCAGATGCAAAACAAAACTCAATCGTCTCTTGGTTAACCGCGTTTTCCCGCGCTTCGGTTAGTTCACTTGTTTTAACTTTGAGTTCTCATTGGCTCCTTCTGATTTGTCCCTTACTTGTAATTGGTCGTTGTGATCACTTTGGTTTATATTTTAAGACACCCATTAGAAATGCACTCTATTCCACATAAAACCTCATGATCAGTCAAGAACTCCTTAAATGCAAGACCTTTCAAAGGTCTAAATTTTTTCTTTACGGTTCAGATTATTTTTGAGGCTTGAAACAAAGAGTATGAGAGAAATCCAGTGAAGTGTATTGAATATTTAAGGTGTAAGTGTTATCAAAACCAGAAAGTGAAAACCATGTACAATAACTTTGATTTCATGTGACAAATACGACAGTCAAAGCATTTGCTGTGCTCTTTGGCTAAAAAAAGCAAATCTCTGCCGATAAAGGCAAACCGTAAAATTCATACCTTTCTCTTCTTTTGTTAATTTGAGATCATCCATAGCTTTATCTTCAGCTAAACAGACAATAAAACAAGATATGAGGATCTCACGAAAGTGAGAGGAGTGCGTTTCTCACATCCATGGAAATAAAGTCATATGAAATAACTGTGTATCAATAAGGGCTAATGAGCACATCAAGGTAGTAATAGTTTTTTCATAATGGATTTTTTTGATGATTTTGTCTTTGCTTTACCACGACGTTTCTTTAAAGGTTCACTTTTTTTCATCGCATTATTTTATTCATTCATCCATGAATGCGTCAATATTGTAGACGATATCACGAACCTGTCTTTGGCTTCTTTGTTGCAGGCATTACTAAAGCTTCTGTGAGGAAAAATAAATAAGTTATTAAGTTCTGAGTCGGTCAACAGCTTTGATTTTGTAGTCTTTTATTGTATCTAATTGTATATTTTTGTAATTTCAAATTCATTAAGAACGAAAGTCTTAAGATTTAACCCAAATATAGAAATATATTGCATCGGATATATGTGTTACTTCAGAAAAGGCTTTGACAAAATGCATCACTTGTGATACTTTCCACAGGTGACCAAACATGCAACATCTTTTGAACTGACGGCAGAGCAGTTAAAAAAACGATTGTTCTTATCTATGAGTCTCTTGATATTGGAAAAAGACATAAAGCATAAAGAGTGGTGTCTTCCGAACAACACGGCTGTCAAACGTTGGGCATGCGCGAGGGAATCAATTTTAGCCTGCCTAACGCGCGAATTTCCTGCGTAAAATTCTAAAAACGAGAGAAGCAACTGCTGTCTTGAAGAATATGTGAAAGGCAATAAAAGTAGGGAAAATGACAACTCAAGACTTTTCGAACATAAAGCATATTCGAGTACGGGTATTCTGCTGATCAACCCTTATATTTTGAGCTTTATTAAAAAAGATGTTCGCTTTAAAACACAATGAGTTACTAGCTTGTGGGGTTGTTTGTAACTCGTGAGATACAACTTGGTTCTGACAATGTAATTGTCATTGCATTGTTATTACAACGAATGTCATTACATTGTTATTACAACGAATACACACTCGCAGACGTTTGACCTCTGTGTTCTCCCGAGCTGATCTCTATCAAGGCTCGAAGCTAGGGAGATACACTCGCTATGCACAAAATACAATAGTTATTGGTACGATTAGAACTTTTTCACGTGATCATACCTGCCATCACAGGCAGCTTGCCGTTGCTGTTATTAGATGCCTTGCTTCCAACAATGAAAGTTGTTGTATCTATGGTAACACAATCATGAGTGTTTGTCACCACTATAATAAACCATGTATAGTTGCAAAATTCTATCGATAAATAGAAAGGGAGTAAATTGTAAATTGCAGTGTATGGTCCGATATTAACGTACCTGAGGGAGGACCTTGCACGAGGGCCCCGGGTTCTTTTGGTGCTTGACTCACGGGATTGTGCAAATTCATTTTGACGCCATTGACTTTGATCTCTGTAACAGAGAATAAAAAAATATTTATATTTAATCTTCTTTATAAAATCTTTGAGTTAGAATAAAGAAGCTTACCCGGCATTTTCTGGCCTCCTTTTCCAAGGACCATGGCAAAAACTGAAATTCAAATCGAAAGCATAAAAAGAGAATCCTTCTTTCAAACGATAACAAAATATTTAAATGTGAGGGAGAGTGGCACTTTCTGGCAGCGTCCATGGGGGGACAATTATGAGTAGTACTATACGAAGGCTTAAACTGTTTATTTCCTTCTGGTGACAATGTTGTTAGGCCGGTTTCTCGATATAAATTATTGAATTATTGCGGCACATGCACATTTAGCGTTATCGATGAAGAGAGCAGGAATTTTAGAACGGGAAGCCTGCACAAAGGACAGGATAGTGTTATTTTGAAACATGTATGTATAAATATTTGTACTGTTTTAACACACTACGGATAGGCCCTAACCCTCCCCTCCAATGTAAGTTACACCCTTAGATATTGACCATTGTTGGGCCAACAAGGATGGGGTGGGTTAATGGGTTAGTTGACAGAGATTAAGATGCAAGGTTAACACCACCAACTTGAGGTTTTCTGAGGTTTCAGTTTTAACGAACCTGTGTGTTGTCCCTGCTGGGCGTAAACACAGCATGTGACTGACAGCACAGCAACCAATAGGAGCTGTCGTCTGTCCATTATCTTTCTCTGATAAAAAAAAATAAAAACAAGAGAAAAAATGCGATGAATATAAAGACGTGTTTTCCTCAACATTCTTGACAGTTAGAGAACGTTAGGTCCATGATGGTAATATACCTTCACGGTCGTTGAGGTAGAAATTACAGCGATTCT